CTGGTCCACGACGCAAACGAAGCTCGAGTCTTGATAGGAAACCCCATCACGAAACCAAGGACTATCTCAAGACTCCGACCCGCCAGAGAAGCCGCAGTCTGAGTACGGAGAGGATTGCTCATCGAGTAGCTGAGAAATTGAGCAACGATCCACGCGACCGCACCACCAGCAAGAAAAGCAGAGCCTACCGAGACGACGACATGGCGAGTCCTGAGTCCAGTCTGTTGAGCGCTTCAGCTGTTTCTCACCGCAAGTCCGGCGACCAATACTCTTTCCGGTCGGGAACTTCCAAGTCATCCCTCAACAATCCAAAACTGCTGGAGACGGTTGAGGATGCGATCAGAAGATTGATTTTGCCCGAGTTGAAGGAACTCAAAAAGGACCAAAAGGTCATCTCAAACACTTCCAAATTCGAACGTGATCTCAATGCTTCCCATACCTCCTCTGCCAGCTCTCGGTCTCGGGATGAGCTGGGTCGGCGTCTATCCAAGCATGCCAGTGCGCCAGATGTCATGAAACCAAAAGTTGTCCTGAACAAGAATAGCAAGGACGAAGGGATCATACTCTCGGGCGAGCCGGTGCGGGCAACGAAGGAGCGCCGCACAAGCAAGGATAGCGAGAAGAAACTCGAACCGACCTATGCAGTCTGGGGCAATCGTCCCGAGCTGACCGAACAAGACAAGTTGCGGAGACAGAAAAGCAAAGGATTGCGCCATGCGGAAAAGGCCGCGATTGTAGGCACTGCATTGACCGCGGCCGCTCTGAGACGTCATGAATCGCAGTCCAGCATCGATAAGGATGAAGGCAGAAGAAGTGGCGACAGAGACGGCGCCGAGGAGATCAATGAAACAGAGCTGGTTTTCCAGAAACATAACGTGGCGCCCATGCCGTTGCGCAGTGCCGTCGAGACGGAATTGACCCGGGACTCTCTGTTGTCTCAACGAAGCGCAGAGACTGAAACTCCACACAAAGAAAGCAGAGTCCAGGACGTATCTCGCAGCTCGCCCTTGCAAGTTAATTCTCCTATCTCTCGCACTCCCAATCGGACACCCATGGGCTCGCGGCATGAATTGGCGCTGAAACACAGCAACCTTTCACACCACGACCTCTCATTGCACAGCACTTCAAATCCTTCTCTTCACGATCGGGATCACTCGCCCGTCAGCGAGGCTGCTGCTGGGGCTATTGCTGCTGCGGCTGCGGCTAACCTCTTAGACGTCCATTCCGACCGTCGAGACTCCGACTTCAACAACGACTCGCGCCGACGCACGCTCAGTCCTATCCAAAGCGTAGCCAGCTATCAGAGTGACTCTCAATCCCAGCAGTATGCCACTCAGCCCGATCAACATGAATATTCTGAAGGCGAGAGGGAGCTGGAGCCGCGACTGTCGATTGAATCGCTCTCCTCGGCGCCAAGCACGAGTCTCGCGCGGTCAACACGACCAGACGGCTTGACAAGTCATAGTGAGATTCTGAAAAATCGGGACGAAATCGATCATGAGTTGGGATATGAGGAAACGCCGAGGCTAACACCCCAGAACGAGAGCTGGCATGAAGGCTCGGAATTAGACGGGCCCAATAACCGACACTCTATAGCAGACACTATTGACAGCGAGGGCAAACGGTTGACCAATTACACTGATGAAAGCGAAGTCAGCTACATCAAGAAAATTGACGAGGGCCAGCGTGTTGCTCAGGGGATCGGTGCAAATCCTCAATACGTCCAACCCATTGCCGTTGAATCAGCGGTTGCTTCGCTCCTTGATCCTTCAATTCTGGATACCAAGTCGAATCAGTCAGGCGGGAACCTTTCGCAGCAGAATCTGCCTCGCATACAAGACGACCGCAGCCCTGAGCCGCGCCAGCAGACAGCCCATAGGTCTCGCCAGGGTAGCCCTCTCAAGCAACGCCAAGATGCATCCAGTCCGGATGAGACGTCTTTCCCGAGAAGAATGGGCGCCACATCGCCTCCCCAAAGTGTGACTCAGTCGCTTGAGGATCGGACCCACTCGCCTCAAATATATGCTGATGAGCACCGCAGTGCAGGAAGTCCCATAGGCGATGGTCGCGACGTGAGCCCCGACTCTGAATCGGAGATCAATACAAATCCTTCCATCATCCAAGGTCCGATAGGGGGTGTTGCTCAGGATAGCAACTGGACGTATCACCAGACGGCGCCAAAGGGTGATCAGTCGCCGCATTACCACGAGCATGCTGGCGTGGGTGCCGGTAGAGCGGGCTTAGGAGTAGAGTCTATGGATCACCATGGTTACCACAAGGATTACTACGCTGCGGACAACTATGGACCTGACAGCTACTTTGATCAACCATATGGTGGTGGTCACATGTTCGGCTCGCCTTTGGGTGCCAAGGACGAGGGCTATGTATCGGCCGCCAATCCTTTGTCACCAGGTGCCGATACTCCCGAGCCGGTCAGTAAGGGATTTGGTGGAATCGATGCCAATGGCATGGGCCTTTTCGACACTCCCCTGGAGGCCGACGACCCAACGGGGCCTTCTCACCAGAGGAACCTAAGTGGCTATTCCCACGGCATCGGTTCTCCTCTGTATGATAGCGCTACAGGGAGAGGGATCGACAGAATCCAGTCAAAAGATATCATTGCCCTTATGGATCATGTGAGTATTCCTCTCTCCCCCCTTTTTAAAATACAGAACACTCACTAACGTTTCCACTAACTAGCTCACCGTTCGTGACGCTCAGCGGAATGCCAGGGACACTGAGATCCTGGTGACCCTCGTCAGAAGTGCAGCGGAGATGCGCAATTCATTCGAGGAAATGAAGAAGTTCATCGCTCAACAGGACGGCATGATCATGGAGGCCAGCGACAAGCAGCATGAACGTGTATACAAAGCTGTCGGTGGACCGCGCCCACTACCTGCCAGCGGCTCAAGAAACTTCCGCCAGGCGGCGGAAGATATGGAGGACATGCGTTCGAAGCGAAAGAGCATATTCAAACGGGCGCTCAAGGGGCTGAGTCTCAAGTCTTCGAATGATTTGACCAAGATCGAGGAGATGCTGGAACAGCTTCTCGAGGAGGTTGAAGCCCTGCGCGCAGGTCAAGACGACAGATTCGCCCGCAGTGTCAATCGAACAGCGAGTGTTGATCCGGAAGGGTATGAGCCTGAGGGTCTCGCCGGTTCTGGCTCTCCGGGAACAGGGTACCTCTCAACATCTTCTCGACCTTTCCAAGAATCTCGTGGCAATGGACAAAGAAGAGAGCTCGACAACCGCGTCAGCACAGTCCCAGAAGGCGATGAGGACGACGATTACGACGATCGCGGAGAGTTTCTGAGCCCGAACATGCCGTCCCAGGAGAAGGCGGATGGACACCGTGAGGGGATTGAATCTGCGCCCCTTTCAACTCCACCTCGAGTGCCGGTGGCTTCGGGCGCTCTCAGCAACGAGACTAGCCCGAAGACGGAAAAGGCACGCAAGCACAAGTCGAGCAGCTCTTCCTTCTTTCCCAAGATCTCACGATGGTCGAAAACCACCGCATCTTCTATGGGAGATAATATCCGCACCAGCCTCCAACCCGGACGCAAGGAACGCCCTTACTTCGATGCGTCACGTTCTGGATCCGATATCAACGGGCCCTACAAGACGGCTGACTGGTACGATCCGGAAGGCGATGACCGGCTGCGGTCCAACTACACCCTGAACGACCAGCAGCAGGCGAATCGACCTCCGTCGCCTCTCGTCCCATCACAGGTTTCCGAGGCTCCGAAGTACCGCGCTCATCGCGACAGTCTCGATCTGCAGCATCCCCAACCGCGCCAAGGCCCTACCGGGCGCTACCAATCCCAGCTAGAGACGCAGGCGCAGATTTACGGAATGCCAATGACCGGAGCGACTTCGGATCAATGGGGTTCCAATCCCAGCATGTCCGCCACTAATCCGAATCAGAATCGATACAGTGGCGCCAGTCGACTTTCACCAATCTCGGATACTGGCTACTCGCAAACAAGTTCGAGAGCTGGGCAACAAGGGCCCCCGAGACCTCCCAAGATCATGGACGAGGGTCCGCTCGTCCCTGAGAGGCCTCCCAAAGTTAAGGAGGAGGAGCGATCATACGCGGAGCGTGTTGCGTCCCAGGTGAGCTCCCTTTGTCTACCACATCAGGAACGAGAATGATACTAATTACCTTACCTGCAGAGTTCTGCTATGCGTTCTCCACGTGGCACGCCGCCTCCGCGCAAACCTACCGGGCCTCGACCTCTCAACTCCGGCTCACAATACAGTCCGAACCGCAGGAAGATGAGTCAGTATCGAGCAAGCCCCGACCAGGTTGATGTTGAACACAACCATTGATCGGTTGTCACGCAACATCACTCAGACAGAGGCTTTGAGTGACGCTTCCAAGACGATACCCAATCTCAACTAGGGATTGTGATCCTTGTGCTGATCAATGTTTAATGACCTTAATGACCTTTGCAGTTGATCATTTACCTGATAATTGACGATCCCAGCGTTCCTGCATATCACATCTGCAGCCTCTTTTTGCCCTACCTGATGACTTGCTTTTGGTGGAACGGGTAGAAGTTGTAAACATTGATTTTATGGCATTACATGTACTTTTCTGTCCTATTTGCGCACGAATGATTCCCTACTCTCTTCACGTTCCTGCATATTTTGTTTATTAGCAGACCAGTCTTGTCGGTCACTTGTGATGATGCTTGTGATGAATGTACTTTGCAGTCACATGCATAGCCTGGACATAAAAGCATGGTCGGACCCCAATTCTTCCCATCAGTCACTCTTCCACTTAAGAAAGCCAGAGCTTGGATTCATGATCCTGACAGGATTATCAAGGACTGTGGCCATCATAGATGCAGTGCGCAATCGAAATGCGGGGTAAGTTATCAAGAACGACATCATCCCCTCACCTGATCTCCCCCGTCTCCAGAACCTCTGAACTTCTCTCAACCACAGCGACGACAACATTACATTTGTGACAAGAGACAACCTTTTGGACCACAAACATGTCTGACTATTTGGACCTCATTATGTGTTCCACCTGCGGAACACAGTACGATACCACCTCCGAGTCCTCCTGTAAGATCTGCGACGATCCACGCCAATACCTCCCTCCAACTGGGTAGGCGTCGCACCCAGCACTCACTTCAAGTAAGGTGTTTACTAACGTTGTCAATGAAGCCAATCTTGGACAACCCTCCGCACTCTACAATCAGCAAACCAATACCACAACGACATCGCCCCCGATCCGGACCACCCAGACTCCCTGATAACCATCCACACCAGCCCCAAAGTCGGCATCGGCCAGCGCGCCTTCCTCTGCCGCACAGCCCACGGCAACGTCCTCTGGGACTGCCTCTCCTACATCGACGAGGACACAATCCGCCGGATCAACGAGCTAGGCGGCCTAGCCGCGATCGTCATCTCGCATCCGCACTTCTTCGGCGCGAACGTGCACTGGGCGGAGGTGTTCGGGTGTCCTGTCTACATAGCAGCGGAGGATAAGGAGTGGGTGATGCGCAGGTCGGAGAGACAGGTGTTCTGGGAGGGGACGGAGTTACGGATCCCCTTGCCGGGTAAAGGCGATGGGGATGCAGATGCGGACCTGGTAGCGGTGAAGACGGGGGTCATTTCCCCGGTAGCTCGGTACTGTGGTTCAAGCCGTTGAGGAAGTTGCTGGTTGCGGATTCGATCGCGGTCGTGCCGAGTGGCGTTTATCATAAGGATCGGGTGCCGGGTACGGCGTCGTATACATTCATGTGGTCGTATCCCAATATGGTTTGTGGTTCTTGCTTGGTTGTTGGTATAGGTTGAACTGACCGGACAGATTCCCCTCCCGCCTGATGAGGTGCATAATATTTGGAAGGCTATCAAGCACACAGAGTTCGATGATGCTCACGGTGCCTTTGTCGGTTGGGACACCCATGGCGATAGCAAGAAGCGCGTTCTGGAAAGTGCAAAGATCTACGTTCGGGCAATGGGATATCTGGATCATGCCATATACCAAGAACAGTAGCCCTGCTGCTCTGTTGTTTTTGGATGAATTCTTGCTGATTTGAGCTATGGAATCGGGTATTAACCTGAATGCTAACCCTGTTTCTGACACATGAGACTCCAAGTAATGATGAAAACACGCTTAACTCTCCATTACTCCAGACAGGAAAAGCAAAACCAAGAGCAGAACAGAACAGACAATTCAATGTCCAGTCAAACGTCGGAAAACGGCCTGACAGAAGTGGTCCCTCGGCCTCTTATATGGTGCGGTGCCGTGGCAAGAGAGCTAAACTCCAGCCCATCACTGATGGGAAATTTTCCAGGAAAACTTTCCACCGAGTGGGTTGCTCGCAGAGTCTCCATTTCAAGCAGCGTCTGGTCGTCCGCAGAGTCATCAGCCAGTCGAGGCTGCTGTCCCTCCGTGGACTCCATCGACATTGGCCGACTGGTGGTGCTGAATTGTGGCCTGCCAGACGCAAGCTTGGCATACTGCGCCGCCGAACCTGCCATATGTTGCTGCATACTCGAGGAACGCGAGTACATTCTGCGCACAGAAGTACTTCTTTTTATCGTCGTGTTCGAGTAAAGCGAATCGCTGCCGGCCGCTGGAATCATTGAGTCCATGCCACTTTCCGATTTGTTTTTGGCTAGCTCAGCCTCACGATCCACGAGTCCCTGGGACATGCGGACTGCAGGCTCAATACTGGAGGAGACTTGCATCAGCAGACTGTTCTGGTTGGACGATGTCCTCTCAGTAGACTGTACTTCCGCCGCATTTGTCGGTCTCTGGGACTGCTGAATCGAAATAGAATTCGTTGCGATGGAGGTTAAGGGAAGGTCGTTGGAGAAGAAGTTCCCGATAACCGGTACGTAGTAGCTTTCCGGAATTGACGATAGAAAGATTCGTACGATTTGCTGCTCTCTGCGATGAATGGCTCCCCGAACCGGGTGCCGTGCTGCTGCTTGCTCTATGCGAAAGACCAGCGCCACAGCATGCAGCATCTTCAGCGTCAACAGTGCTCCTATTAGCTTGAGAGCCTGTGCCAGACTGATTGCTATAGGTCCATGTTTCTGAGACAGGTCCTTGGGTGCTGAGGTCGTCATGAATGCGGTCCTTGGGATGAAGCGGTATTATCTATGCTGGGACAGGATTGTCACAAAAATGAATATAGAGCAGGGAGGCCATAAAAGGATCGAAATACTATCCATTATACAAAGAAGTAAGAGTTCCATTCTCAGGGAATTCTGCCCAAAAGTAGCAAGCTGTATTCGGAGGAAGGAGCAACCAGCAATGGCATTTTCAGCATATGGGATATTGTCCCGAAAAGCTCAGTAACGTAGGTCGACTTGTAAAATAATGGCGTCTTTACAGCTCAAGCATTATGGACAGCAATATATCACTCCAGATGCTCTTCTGGGAGATACCGCTGGCCCTGTGTACTGCCACTGCCTATCTCCTCTAATCTCCCTATCACGTCACTTGATTCGATCCTCACCACCATACCTTAAATCTCCCGCACCCAAACAACAGCCATTTCATTCTATGCTTGCATCTCGTACTTTCAGCCGATCCTCATCTTCAGTCGTCTCAATGGCACTCTCACTTGAGAATTATGCCCTCCGACAACGACGCTTCGCTCCCCTCAACCCAGCCCTCGCGGAATCTTCTGATGCGCCTCGGTTAAAAGGAATTGTGTTCGATGTAGACGGCACACTATGGTGAGACTCCTACTCCTAAGAGAAACCAATCTGGCGTATTCTTCTTTATTATGATACAAGATGCGCTTCACGCTCGTTGAGTTCCAATAGAATACTGTAGTCCTAACTAGCCGCAACAGCCTACCACAGAATTACATGTTTACCGAGATGCGGTAAGGACTCATCAGCCAATACCCAATTCAAAAGATATGACTTGCTAACAGCCCATAGTAAAGCTCTGGGCATCGACAAGAAAGTCGACATTCTGCACCATATTCGGGGTCTTCCCACTGCTGCCGAGCGCACCGCGGCAGCCGAAAAAATCAAAACCATCGAGCGAGAGGCGATGAAGCATCAGCAGCCTCAGCCAGGTCTGGTGGACCTAATGGACTACCTCCAGTCTCGGGAGTTACATAGGGCCCTCTGTACACGCAACTTCGAGTGCGTCGAAGCCTTGCCGCTGCTTTTCTAGTCGCTCATGGCGAGGAAGTCGCTGACTGTGCTGTGTATGACAGGGCGCCGGTGATGCATCTCTTGCAGAATCACCTTCCTTCTCACGTTTTTCTACCCATCATTACGCGGGAAACGCCCGGTCTACTTCCCAAGCCTGATCCGGCCGGGATTCTACATATTGCCCGGGAATGGGGACTTGACAATCACGCTGGGAATTTGATCATGGTAAGTCAGCATCTTCTTGATTCGCTTGTATCCAGAACCTAATTCTGTCTTTCCTTGGTAATGTCGCAGGTTGGTGACAGCATTGATGATATGACTGCCGGTCATACGGCAGGTGCAGCGACTGTGCTGCTTGTCAACGAGCACAATTCTCATCTCAAAGACCATGCTCATACGGATCTTTATATCGACCGTTTAGACGAGCTGATTGACATACTAGAAAACGGCTTCGTTGGTCACCGGGGAGGAGATAAGCCACCCACAAGTGACAGGGATGGATAGAGTATACAGAAGAGCCCTCAATCGTCGCATAGTCTGGTTTTGTATAAAGAGTAAACTGGTGTACTATACACATGCGGGGAGTATATACAGTCCGCGAATGGGATGCAAAGGCGTATTCTCAATGCCTTTATGGATATAGACTCATGAAAACATGGTCACCGTAATGGTGCCCGAATTGGGACATGATGGAAGATAATGCTAGCCAAACAAAGCCCCCAAGTCAAGACTCGAATAAAAGGTGATAGACCCATAACGCCATTTCCCTTAATACACAAACAATAGCCGCATGAATATATACAAGGTCATCTGGCAAGGTCGAGTCACTCACAGACTTTGGCAAAGTAACCAGGCCCCTGCACTTTCATGGGTATCGTTACACTGTCCATTTCATCATAGTCTGTATCTGTCCCAGTTTTTTTTCGCGGCACTTGGCATCGGACGATAGCCATCCCCGTTGGAACCTCCGCTGGCACCACCTCGTTTGTTCCCACCACCACCTCGTCCGCCTCGACCACCCCGACCCCCGCCGTTTCCTCCGCCTCTTGTCTGACGGGACGGCTCCGGTCGATTCCGAGGAGGCGAGCGAGGCGGTGGCTGCCGGCGGTCATTGGCTCTGCCCGGCTCGGGCGCGCGTTGGGAGACATGGAGCGCTGGCGGGAATTGTGGCCCCCATAGTCCTGACGGTCTCGGTACGTCTGACGGGTATCCCGGTCGGAGGCGCGAGGGCCAGCAGGTGCAAGATTCTTGCCCCTTCCTATCCCGCTGCCGATTCGGATGTTGGGCCGGTTGCCGTTCGCGTTCGCGTTTCGACCGCCGGGTTGCCGGCCCGCCCTGGGCATCATGTCCTCGCTGTCTGAGGATGCCGATGGTCGGTCTGCACGGCCCCGGATTTGCATGCCGCTCTGGCCTCTTCGGGGGCTGGTCCGCCTTGCCTGCCGCCGGTTACTGAGTTGATGTTGGTCACCATGTGCGGGTCGATGCCTCGGAGTGTGAATGATGAGGAGACCATCGATCGTGAGAAGGACGGGCAGTCGCCTACAAGGTGGCGGTTGCTGGTGCAGTGAGAGCATGAGATTGAGACTAGCACGGGCCCGGAGGGCAGTTCCTGCTGTGGAATCTTCCACATCATATCACACTGGAGCTCCAGGTGGCTGGACGATCCACAGAGATCGCAAGGTATCTCGGATGCGGAGCCTTTGAGGAGCGACGAACATTGCTCTTCATCGTGACCGCGTTCGCGACATCGTTGACATCTCCGCCAGGATGGGCAGAATATGCTTTGGTGCTGGTTCCAGGCGCCACAATGTACGCACTATAGGTAGTCAGTAATTGCTAATTGCATTTGATAGACTGCAGTAGACCCTGAGTGTCATGGGAGGAATATGCCTGACACTCAGTCGACTGTTTCTGGAACGTACCTCCTTGGAAGGACACACTACTGCAAGATGTCCCTCTTTTAAGCATTCGGTGCACGATATAGGCAACTGAAGGTTGATGTCGTTGATTTCGCGGTCATAGAACAAGCACCTGGCCTGTACCTCCATATCATTTCGATCGAGATCCGCGAGTATTGTTGGAGCGACGGAGTACTTTTGGGAAAAGAGACGATGTGATTCTTCCTTTGATATTGTCGATCGGTCGCCTGCGGCGGTTCCATTCACCGAAACAGGTTTTACTTCAGCAGATAAGCCATCTGTTTGATCATTCTGATCGCCAATATTCAGCAATATAGAGTCATCAGCCTCGGAATCCAGAGATACGGAGTCATCCGAATCTCCAGATTGATCCATGTCACTTGACTCTGCTGATGTCTCCTCGTCAAGCTCCCCTTCCTCCATGTCACCCTCGTTTTCAACCAACGTAACATCCTGATCGCCACCGTCACTAGACACGGAAGCACTGCGACTGCGCCAGAATTTGTCGTTGACGGCCTTGAACTGAGAAGAAGCTTGTTTGTCCTCGCCCGTTCTGTCCGCTCGCCTAGATAGCGACGTTCTGATGCCACTCTTGCTCGCCTTGTTCCAGTTAATGGCAGGTACCTGAGGATTCGTCCGCGCGGCGTTCTGTTTCTCTGCATCGGACGTAGTGGATTTGCCGTCGTTATCGCTGTCGGACGAGTCAGAACCAGAGCTGGACGCGCTGTCCGGATCTACCTCCAGCGATACGGCAGTGAAAGCAGCACCTTGAGGGACAAAGTCTCGCACGTCCAGCACCGCAGATTTGCCATTTCTCCGTTGCCTTTTTCGAGGATTCGGATTTGGATCCGACGAGTTGGGGCGCGACGAGTCGGTCGAGTCATTCAAGCGACTGCGCTGGACACCAACAGAGGCGGTCCGCGAGTCATTTTCATTATCGGAAGATCCCGCCATGATGCCTCATCGAGGGTTTGGGCGCCTGCGAGGGGTCAGGAAGTCGCCCTGGTGGGATAAAGGTAATTAAGAGATGGATGGACATTGTGCATTCTGGGGTTGTTTCCGATCGAGAAATTTTACGGTAACCGATAGAGACCAGGAACGTCATTTGTCGCCGCTGGAACATGGTCTACGGTGAACGTGAGGATGATCAGGGAGTATTGGAATCTATCTTGGAAGCCATTGTCGGCCTGCTGTTGTGATGTTATCCATTGTGCATGAATTAAGTATCGATATGGAGCTGCAATTGAATATAGCCAACGGTTTGGAGGTAACAGCTCCGGACGGCCTACGGAGGACTAGTAGATAGTGTGGCCTCAAGTCCCATCTGTATAGCCAGGGGGAGATAAAAATAACAATCCAGATTGATGAACATGTTTATTTTGTAGTTTATCTACAGAGCAGTCTAGAACATATCCAATATAGAAGTGATTAATGAGGTCCTTAGGCCTGGCCTCTGCACTAGTTAATTGTTCTTGTTTGATCTTCTTCACCATCTTCTGCTTCTCCTTGTGAATCTCCAATCTTTCTTCCTTCCGCCGACCATCTCTTCTTTTTGCCCCTCGACTTCCAGCTACACGTCGACCCTCTCCTAGGGTTTTCTTGTCACTCACTGCTCGAATTTCCTTTTACTTCTTTGGTCTATCATAGTATCGCCATTCATTGTATCCTTTTTCTTTGCTTTTGACCAGTCTGCAAGTCTTGTATTTGCCAACAGTGCGGTTGTTGTCCACTGACCCCTGTGACCCTTCATACTGCCGGACCTCTAAGATCTCGCGGTCGGAAGTTCTACGAGAGTCTGCATTCTCATTGGAAAAGAGTGAGATTCTTCAGGGAGAAAGAAGAAGGCCTGCGTTCATTGGTGGTTCCTGGTCTTGCTTTTTCTGCACCTCCCGACTTATCTCTGGCAACCTCTTCGACCTCGCTTCGTACGACCTGACGAAACACCGCCAAAGTGTCTTCCCTACTCGTTCCCCGTGCCATCTCCTTCCCTCCGGAAGTCGACACTGGTTCGCGCCGGTTGTCTCCGGACTCCAATATGTCTCAATCCAAGGCTGGTCGGAGGAGGAGATCGAGCAGTATCATCTACCAGGAGCCGCCGGAATCCATCGAGCATACCAGTGATCAGGCTGCCCTGCCGAACCTCAATGCTAACTGGGTCAATGCCAAGGGTACGTGAGCTACATATTGTGTACAAGCGAGTCCATGTTATTTGAAGGGACACAGCTTGGTATGGGCAAACAGCTGACTCGAGCTCGTCAATTACAGGTGCCTGGACAATCCATTTCGTTCTCATCATCGCCTTGAAGATCTTCTACGACATCATTCCCGGCGTCTCGCAGGAGACATCATGGACCCTTACGAACATCAGCTATATGTTCGGCTCCTTCCTCATGTTTCACTGGGTGCGGGGTATTCCATTCGAGTTCAACGCTGGAGCATACGACAACCTCAACATGTGGGAGCAAATTGACAACGGGGACCAGTACACGCCAACAAAGAAGTTCCTCCTTTGTGTCCCCATTTGTCTCTTCCTACTCAGCACACATTACACACACTACGACTTGACATACTTCACTATCAATTTCCTGGCCACTCTAGGTGTTGTCATTCCAAAATTACCATTTGTATGTCCTCTCCTGATTGATCGCGTGGTCATTGCTAACCTGGACCTTAGTCACACCGTCTGCGGATAGGTCTCTTTTCCGACTTACCGGATGAGTCGACATAGTATCTCCTTTCCTACACTACCACTTGGCGTCTCAGTGTTTCCTTTTCTCTGTCTTTTACGAGCACTCCATTGCTTGCTATATTAGTCTATTGGACAGCACCGTCTACGGGATCGACTTCTCTCTCCAGCTTTACAACTACGCTTACAACAATTTCCTTATCTGCTGCATGTTCGTGGTGTGACTGGGGGTTTGGGGGTAATTCAATAAAGAATACTTGATATATGAATCGGCGAGAGCCGGATTAGAGTGCGGCAAGGAGCAGTTGTTCCTTGTACTGCAATAAAGCCGTGTTTTAAATACCTACGAGTCCATCATTAGCCTCATCTCATGATTAGCCAACGCTTGGCTGGTGAACCACCGTTTGCTTGCTGAGTTCGACCAGTCCAGGCCTCCATTATACGTACGGGTGTTAGAATGCGTCGATTTTAGCTTATATAGACTACCTGGGCATGTCGCCGCACTACTTGTCCATCCAGGCGTCTCCGAGTCTATACCACAGTGGTCCGTCCATATGGCTGCGCGTGTTTCTGCAACTGTTGGGCTACGCCGTATACCCTGATGCTAATTCCTAGCATGGAAGAGTGAATCCAGCCAAGCCTCGGTCAGCTCAATGTTCGGACGGTGATCCGATCCCGGAGACGTTGCGTCCGAGACAGCGATTCAGATGCCTAAACGCCAGCGATGTATGGTCTCCGTACGTGGTAATGGTGATATGATACTCTATGATCTTAGTAGTTTGGAGAACATATTGTTATCTATGCCCCATGTATTGCGTTGATGGAGCGGAGCACTATTTCCGCTGTCTTTCGTGTCGGGTCAATATATGATTTGCGGTGCGGACAGAAGTCCGCAGTCAACAGCGCAGTAACCCATGCCACTATGCTAGTGAGGTAAACCATAATTGTATACTATAGAGATGATGCGTCAAGACGAAATATGTGAGAAAAAGGAGCTGAGGAAAGGGTGATGCAAAAGGAAACGGCAAAAAATGAACAAATCAAGTCCAGACGCCAGTGGTTGGCGCTGCTGGGAATCGAACCCAGGTCGAGACGGAGCTGTGGGGAGCCACAACGTCGCATGATAACCACTACACTACAGCACCTTGATTTGATGACAGGGCGGAGGGCTCTTTGCTTGATATAGCAAATTATACTTGCAGTACAAGAAAAACAACGATTCGCATTCTCCTGCTCATTGTAACCATCGATACATGACGAAGAGCCCGTCGCTTTGACTAATACGATGTTGATGTACATCAAAACATATAAAATCGGCCGCCCTCTCATAGTAGGACGTATATGAAACCCCTCCGATAAGCGTCGCGGGTTCGCGTTGACGCGCCTAATCGATAACCAAATTATGCGCTCACTGTCACCCACCGAGAAACTCACCGTGAGCAAAGATCAATGCCGATGACGATAGCTATGGCCACAGGAGAAGGGGCGTCGCTGCCCCTATATCGCCCGACCAAGGCGATGCCCTACGAGCTCGTCCAACACTGTGGCATATTCCTTGAAGAAAAGCTATGTTGGTTTGCCCGCTCACCAATTACCAATGCCACGCACTGACACAGAGCCATACCAGACACACAAGCGCTCAATCTTCTACTGAACATACTGTCGCCCGGTGCCATTGCATCAGGACCCGTCTACGTCCCCTCCCCGCAGTACCTTGCAGTCGCAGCCACGTTTCTCGTCCACCCATCCACGACCAGCCGAGCCAAGACAGCAGAAGAGGAAGAGGCCCCGAACGCAGCGCTGCGGCTGCTCCGGCTCACCAACACGCTTGTCGGGCCGATTTCTGCCAGATTTACGGCGGCGTTTGCATTCAATCACTTCGAGTCATCTCGGCAGGGAAGGCGGCGGCGCGTAGAGGACGACGAGAATGCGAATTGCGATATCTCGAACGATGACACGAGGACATTGAACATCGACCTATGCCAAGCGGCATCTCTCTGGTCTCGCGCTGAAGACTTTTGGCATGCCGTCGGGTGGGCCTTCAACTGCTCTGTCCTACATCCGGAACGGTGGGCAAGATGGCAGATATGGCTGCAGTTCATGTGCGAGGTCCTAGAGGACGACTGGAACGAGCGCAAGAGGCAGAGCGCGGATGCCGTGGATGAAGGAGCCCGTCGCAAAGCGCTCGAGAAAAGCTTGATTTTCCGGTACATCGCCGGCGGGAGCACTCCGTACGGGCGGAATCGAAGAATCCTACGAGCCATCTTCGCAGATGGCGGCACGGCCTCCGTCAATGAATTCCGCGAGGTGTTCCACAACGAACTGAAGACGCTCAAGCGCGAGAGCAACAATATCAAGAAGCGCGAAGGCGAGGTCAACATCGACGAGGACCAATTCGGCGACTACCTGTCCAACGAGGACGAGGACGGGTCCGAAGCGACAGACTCCGCGGCGCCAGCCCCAGCCAGACGTCCAACCCGTCAATCCAAGCGCAGCAGACGAGGCGACGCCCCAAAGACACCCCAGCCGCCGACGCAGTCACCGCCGACACGCCCAGCACCATCCAGGTCCACGGCGGCGTCTCCCTCCTCGGCGGCTTCCCATCGCTCGCCCTCCGCCAACGCCTTTTGCACCTCCTCTCCGCCGTCTCCGAGGACCTCCCCGCCTCTTTCACCACCCTCGAGGAACTCTACCACCTCTTCGTCGAAAATATCCGCCACCTGCCCCTCCCCATCTACCAAGCGTTCGTCAGCCCCTACGTCCTCCCGCACTTCTCCGCCGCCGCGCAGACCACCCTCTGCGAGTTCCTGCTGTTCCGGATGCGCGAGAACGCAGCCCCGGACACAGACGAGGAGTATCTGAACCAAGCCAAGCTGGAGGAGTGTTTCCTGCCCTATGCGGCTAGCACGCCTAGCATCGTCGATAATGCCAAGATGTCCATCGCGCTGGAGTCGCTTCTGGTGCTCCTGGCGGATAGTGATATGCTGACTGTCACGCCGGAGCTGAAGGCTGCCGTGCAGGACGGCATCATGGCGCGCGCGGAGAAGGTCCAGGTGGAAACGAGGAAGAACCAGAGTAGTCGCAAGACGGAGGATATCGAGTGGTGCTGGCTGCTGGAGAGTGGAGAGCGGTTGATGTTTCTGGTGGATGAGGTTCTTTCGCGGAAGGGTGCTTCTGCGAAATAGTCGTCGTGGTCGGCACGCTGTTTCTATATATCTTTATGTCTCTATTTTATGATACCCCTGCCTCGAACCGGCCATGTCTAGTTTTGATGTCAATTGATTTCACCTAAACATGGTATCTAATGTTAAATTGCCTATGTACAAAGGATCGGGAGCAAATCGAGATAAAGACAACAGCAACGTCAAGTAGCGCAGTATAACAAGGTAGGTGACCTGGCCATGCCATCTATGGCGGCGGGCGAGGCCCAATGATCTGCCGCCTTGCTCCTCCTACACCCAGGCCGGGTCCGCCTCGGTTCTGGTTATCACCGCCCATGAAACCGTACTGGTGCACATCCCAGGCGCCCTGGCCTGGTCCGACGCCAACGTTAGGATCTTTCAGACCCTTTGCGGCTGCCTCGCGCGTCTGCTTCTGACTCTCTTCCCACTCACGCTGGCGCTCGCGCTCGCGCTCCATTTCCCGCTCCAGAAGGGACTTGGAGGCCCATCCGCCTGCTTTTGTCTTCTGCTGCGCAGCAGCTCGGCGGTTATTCTCTTCGTCGACCTCTGCGGTGGTGGTGTAGTCCTGTGGGCGGTGAGTCGCGGGCTTAGGGGCGACAGGTGGCCGGTTAGATGCGAGGAAGCGGTCGACACGGCTTTCCTGGCCCTGGGACTTGTTGGCATAAGCGGCTGGGTCGGGGAGCGGCCGAGGTGATGCGGCCGCTGACTGTGACGTTGTCGGTTCCGGAAGTGGCCTGGGCGGCATCGGAGGCGGCGCATTGCTGGGCTCGGACTCGGACTCGGCAGTTTCATCGTGGGTCTGATGCTTCTGCCATTCGGTGCGCAGCATTCGGCGTTCTTGCTCGAGAGACGATAGGCTGTAGCTGGGCTTCGGAGGAACAGGTACAGGGCGGGGACTCTGCGATTGCGACTTGCCTGCTTCTTTCTCCTTCAGCTCCTGACGCTCACGCTGATACTGGCGCTCCCGTTCCTGGGCGAGCTCCAGCTCCCGCTCCAATTCCTTGACGCGCTGGCTCTCCCTGGACTCGCCAGCAAGGCCGGCTTGATATTGACTGAGAAATTGCCCTGTCAGACGGACATCACCTGCCTCCCGCTGACACTGTCGTGCTTTGTTCAGTCTCTCCTCTGCCTCCTTCTCTTCCTGTTGGCGCTTCCGCTCCTCTTCGTCCCACTTTCGCTGTTCCTCATCCCACCGCCGACGCTCCTCCTCCAGTCGACGCCGCTCCACCTCCTTCAGACGGGCGGTCTCTTCTGCCCACCTGCGTTCCTCTTCCGCCTTGGCGCGCTCTTCCTCCGCCTCCCGCTCTTGACGGCGGATACGTTCAGCCTCTTCTCGCTCGATGCGCTGCCGCTCCTCTTCTTCACGCCTGCGTCTTTCCTTCTCTTCCACGCTTGGAACAAACGGCGAAGGGGTCGTGATCTGCCGACGAGCGCCAAAGGCCACTCCTTGGTTGCCCTGACTGGCACCGCCCATGTATCCATATTGATGGATATTCCAGGCCGGCATTGTCACCTGCTCGTCTGACTTCTTGCTCCAGCTGCTGACAGCCGGCGACTTGGCGGGGCTAGATGTCCCAGAATTGTTGCTAACATTGCTGAGTCCTCGAGATCGTAGAGGAGTATTGGCTGATTGGCTCGAGCCGGTCAAATGAGGACTCACGGCGCCTCCTTTGCTCTGAACACCAATTGCCCGAGGAAATTTGCTGGGTTGAAGCGCATTAGCCCTCCTACTGAAGGCCATCAGACACTGTAGGACCTGCGCAGGGTCCTTTGATTCGTAGAGATCGACGGTCAAAAAGACATCGTGTGGCGGTAGGCTCAGAGGAGGTATTTGACATGCGCGTAGGAAATGCGAGATGTTCTCCATCTGTACGAAGGGCATAGATGACTGCTTATACTTGACGCCTGGGGAAACGGCGAGGTTGACGAGTCTGTAACATTCCATCCAATTAGTACTTATTTGCAGTGTTTTTGTTTGGAAATGCTTGCCTGCAAAGTGCGACGCCATCTTTAAGCGCATCCAGGAGATCCCCCGGTGGAAGTCTCTCATGGAGCGTCTCTTCAATCCATGTGCGGACCTCTGCGGCAGCCTGCGGGGTATAGCGGGACAAGCGCAAACTGCGCAGGTCATTATCTAATGATGTAACTGATGCCATATCGGGCCGAATAGAAATCAATGTGACTCTGCGTTCATACAGAAAGTCCACTGAAGACTTGAGGAACCAGGATCTGACAGATCGAGGGATGTGAACCCCTGTTTATGCTGCCCGACAGGAACGGTGGGAAGAACCGCGGATTTATGTGGGCTTCAAGGGGTAGCGTATTAGGGGGAAAGAGGTTCTAGAAGAAGCTTGATTAAGGGGGGTATTGAGAAACGATGAACGGAGAACCTATGTATAAGGAGATGAAGATGGAAAGAGACTCTACAAGGATAGAAGCGATGGTGAAATGAAGAACCGCCCGAGAAGAAGATAGTTGACGCTGAACTATGGAATGGAATGTGGTTGTCGGCCAAACAAATTACGCCTGTCGTAATCCCAATACGATTACGAGCACTGCCCGATGACGTTTTTCTGCGCCCTCAATATTATCGATAGCCTCCATCTGCGTCGCAACGCAGCAAGCCACATTTTCATCGCACCCTGATCGGTGTTTGTTCTAGGCTGCCATCAATAGTTCCATCTTACCTGGGTCCTAATGAGTCCAGTGAACAGCTTGTGGTTCAAGTGGAAAAGCCTTCGATTGCCGTGGCGAAGATCCTTCCTTGTCGGTAGGCATCCCCAGCACTAACTGTCTATTACAATGTTGCCTCCAGGTCCTCTGACATCTGATTACAGGCACCGACTTATCCGGAAACACATACTGGGAATTCAAAGACTCACTGAATGCTGGGCGATACCGGCGGATCGTCAAGTACAACTCCAAAACCCACTATGCGGACGTGCAAGTGACTCGTGAGTGTCCTGAAACATCTAAACAATTGCAGTGAACTTGTCTAGGTAAGCTAACAGAAAGACCTTACAGCCCAGTGGCACCAATGGCTCCGATACGTCCGTGCCGACCCTCCCTCGCTTGAAGAACAGCAGCAGGATGTCCTCCGTCAGATTCAAATCAAGCAACTCGCCCAATTAGCCGATATGCGCTGGGCAAGCAAGCCATCCTACCTCGACAAGCCGCAAACACAGCAGCCAAGGCCTGCGACCAGAACAAGCGATGCGACGTTGAACCCACCGATGGGAGCGGTTGGCGAGGGTCCCAAGACGCATAACGCAGTTTCTGGCGCTGAGGCTACAAAAGCAGCGGGAACGACGACGCCAACACCAACACCAACACCAACACCCGATGTGGCATCGGCGGGAAGGAGGATCCTTGGGCTAAAGCTCGAACGAGCGATAGTGAGAACTGGCAGCCCGAGTCCTGGACACCGTCTTCTTCGCGGAGGTGACTAGGCAAACGCCAGTCGCTTTCATTTAGACTCCTAGATCCCTTTCCTCAGAAAAGCTGTTCGATCTTCTGTTTATATTCAGTTGGCAATCTGGCGTTCACTGCACATTGTTCGGAACATTTGAGGGGATTTTTTTATATCTGTATATCTCATCAACAATCTTCGTGGAATACATCTGCCCTGTACAATATACGACATCTATCTAACACCATCTTCTTCCATATAAACTATATGATTGTACTGAAGGCAACATCCTTCTGAAGAGAGCCGGGAACGAAGTCCATGGCATTCTACATCCGACAGGCCTAACCCTAACGGGAATTCTCACTTTCCAGCATGTGTGATGAGAACATGCTCAAAAATTCAGCGAGTGATCCACAGGTAAACCGGACAGCTAGTCATAATCTTCAAGAGCAAGGGTGTGAGATTTTGAGAAACATTAGGATAATGTATTCCATGATTAGGTATGTGTGTTTCAAAACGCTGTGGAGATCTAAGCACCATTTTTGAAAGCCACCTCCGCCCGAAACCCCATGAAAATAAAACGCCCAAACGACCATTGCAATAAAAATCAAACAGGTATAGAGCGGAAAACACAATGTTGAACAGATATTAGGTATACATGAGCATGATTTAGCAGAGGACAGCCTCAAGTGCTTCCACATCTCCGCCAGCTTTTCGTACTGCATTGATGGCAGCCTCGCTGAGCTTCCGGCGTCGATCGCGGGCCTCCTGCTCGCGTCTTGCTTTAGTCTTGGAACTCCCACTTGGAGCGACTCCAGTAAGGATTTTCTTGCTGTCGTTTGGAGTGAAGTTGACAAACGACACTGTCAGCGACTTGTTGGATCCCGATCGGGGACTCGACGAGTTTGGCCCTTTGACGGGCTTAGGTGTGTTCATTGACTGAGAAGACAGCTTCCTGCCGTGGTAGCCGCGGCGGTGAGGACTAGTCTTTGTGTTGGCTCCGTTACGCAAGGGTGATCCTTGTGTTGGTGACCCGCGGCCTCTTGGAGACAAAGATGGTGATCGTGATGATGCATGTTGAACAGGAGGAGTCGCGTAGGCGGACAAGTTCATATACTTTTGAGGAGTGACGGGAATGTGGCTGTATGTAGTTTGATTCTCCTGGGGCATACGGGCCGAAGCCACGACAGACGAAAATGATGGGTCTGCTGAGGTAGACCCATCGAATGAGGAATCAAATTGGATCATCAATCCCCCCTGCATTAGATCATGCTGGTTGTTGCTTTGAATTGACCTTTGTGCAGCCGGAGAGGACACCACGTGCTGATATGAAGGATGTCGCGGTACTCGAGAGGGCATGGATGGCCACCACGCTTGACCATCGTGGGCTTGGAGCTCAGGCGTGAAAGGGAGTGCAGGGCCCCCAAGGGAGTCGGAATGCCAAGAGGACAAGGATTGAGGATCGGAAGAATGTGGAGAGGAAAATATGTCGTCGCCTGAAGGGGGGCTCGATGTGGCCATTGTGGAATTATTCGATTGACTTAAATAGTTCTGCTGCTGCTGCTGCGCCAGCAACTTGGCTGACGGTGATGGCATAGAGATTGCTGGTGACTGGTTAAAGATGCCAGTCTCGTAATGCGAAGGCATCTCTGCAGGATTTCTCGACAAGCCCTCGGCCGAATGGTTCATATGGGTGACAACATTGTCCGCAGGGATGTTCTCATGCTGCACAAGAATATCAGATGGAGGGGGTGACAGCGGCAAGTGCTCGTCCGAGCTATGAAGACTGAAGTTCTGAAACCGCTGAGCCCATGCTTCGGGATACATCATTCTGCCTGCCTGCAGCTGGGAAGGGCGCATCAAGCTCGGGGAGAAGCTCTGCTTGCGCAGCAGTTTACGCTCATGGGAATCTCGGTGACGACGGATAGATTTCGGAGTGACCAGAGCACTTTTGGAGGCTTTGTGGCGGGGAGTTGCGGGAGGAGTGGACGGTGATCGGGAAGATGCTTTGCAGGTAACTGCAGGGGCAGGATGTGAAGTAGGAAGAGCTTCAAGATGGAAGCTTAGGTCTGAGACAGCTGAGGGATGCACAGTGTCCTGAAAAGTAAAGCTGCCTTGGCTTGCAGATGAGGCTGCATCTTGCGGCAGAGACCATAAGTCTGTGACCCACGGTTGCGGTGACTGATGGGTGGGTTTGGTGGGGACTGGGGGTGAATGATCGCCACAATCGCTTGACAACGAGTCAAGAGAGAAGATCTGGTCAAAGTCGCTTGGAATTGAAGTGTCTTTGTTGCCATCGACCATCGATGAGTCCATGTCGACATACTGACTGAACAAATCATTGAAGGCATGATCGAATGGTTGAGCGAACATCTTGGGTCGCTCTGTCTTTCCGTTTGCGGCAAAGAGCTGAGAAGTGTCAGAGACCGGTTAACGGGTGCCAGGCGGATCAGATATGATTGGCAAGGAGACTGCGGGAACAAAGTATGGCTCGAAGAGAGTTCGGGTGTCGATCCGGTGTTCCGTCGATGCAATGCAAAGCAGTTTGGCTATGGTGGAATGCAATGTAGGAATAGTTTGATAGATTGACAATCAAAGAAAACACTGCAGAAGATGCAAAAAAGACAAAGCAAACAAACAACAGACAGACGGCCCTATTTGAATTGTCGCGATGGCTGCCAGCCTCGAGGATTCTGCGTACATTCCTTCTGCTCTAAAGATGGGAGAGGAATGTGCATGGAGGAGTCGGAGAGTGCCCCAGATGCCCATACCAATCAGAAGGCGTGGGAAAAAGCAAGTGGTTGATGCGAATATCCTACCCTTATCCACTCTCTGGGCAAAAGTGGACTGGGTTGTCGTTGGCCACCCGCTGGAATGCAACCCTCCCTATACCAGAACCAGAAAGAGGAAGAATCAACAGAAGAGGAATGTGTGGTCCTCAGCAGCCGGGCAAAGCTCATCACCTTGGGGAGAGCTTATGACAGCTGCTCGATAGCGGTCCATGGGACGGGAGGCGATCATGGGATATCCGTTAGCTTGAGCGGTATGATCCGTAAGGAACCAGAGAAGAGTATCCAGGATGGCGAAATGCCATTATCAGTGTCGATTTGGTCAATCCCCAGTGTTCAAAGTGTAAGCGTCATACGGTTTTTTCCTACACCGTCAGCACGCATCACAAACAGCACACTAGCCAGCACAGGGCCACAATGCCCTGGTCTTCTCCTTTGACTCCTTTGGATCCTGCTTAATGGTGATGTTTCAGTGGAGCTGTTGGTTAGGCATGATTCGCTCCCTTCAACGGCACAGCCGTCGATAAGCTTGTTGCAAATGTGTCTCTGGAATGCGAGGGCTGGGAAGAATGCGCGCCCACGACAACAATGCAAAGAAACAGCCTGGCTCTTGGGGTCCAGGCACACACACAGTTCTCGCAGCAGTCAGTCTCGAGGCATGATCTATGAGAAAGATCTGTGCGATTGCCCTCATGCCAAATTTTCTAAAATTATCCTGCCCTATACACGTAACGGATCTCCACTAGCGGAGGGAAGAACTAATTCTCGCCTTAGACCGTCATGGCTTGCAGACTTTGCCCTGTCAAGAAGTGATTTGGAATTATTTAGAAAGGTACTCAATGAGAATCAGCCTCTAGGAGGCACGAACCAACTGTGCCATGGTGTGATCCGTTCTTTGTTCTCTGCGGAAAAGCAACTCATGTGGTTGGCAAGCCCACTAAGTATGATCCGTAGAAGGAATCTCGTGCCCAGAGTTAGGGTGTTCATCCCCAGCCAGTTTCTTTGTTCTCCAAAGTCTTCTTTGTGCCCCATAGCCATGTGGTAAACTGGGAAGCTCCCTGCTACTAGGACGCACATGATGCTCAGGCTTCGGGGAGCCAGATCTTGCACCTAGGGACCATCAAGCTCGAAGGAGAGAGGGCTAAAGATAGGACAAAGGTTCAAAAACCAAGAATAGAAAGTGTGGGCCTTGTTTTCGCCTTGTCAAGACTAGACAAGATCTGTCTGAAAGCGTCGCTGAATGTCCTGCCAGTGCTTAGCAAAATTAGGTTCTGGCAAGGGGGATCATCTTCTCGGGTCGATAGGTAGTAACAACAGCAAGCCACAAGAAAGATTTCCATGGCTAGTGGTAGTAACCTTGGTGTTAACAAGACGTAGACCACTGTTCAAATTGTGGTAGAGCTTAAGCCCTCAAAGAGAGGCAATAGAGCACGGTTTCATAATCACAAAGAAACACCTTTGATAGATGGGCAGGCTTAGTAGAGGGCAATGATTCGAGCTCATTGTGGCAATCTGCTGTGACTTATTACAGTATGAATATTGGGTCGTCAGCTCTAGTATCATTCAGTTACCATCAGCATTTGCAAGCCTCGTCAACGGCAGAGATTAGTATGTGTTCAATAAATCCTTGGTGATATCTCGAGTCTGTCATAATTTCAGAAAGACACCCATCATCATACCTAATAATAATGGACAAGCCGAGTGGCTTCGCAGAGAATCATAGGTAGGTAGAACTCATCTCTCTTAATACCGGAGGAAATTTACTCCGGTTCTGGTCAGCACAGGCAGCCGCTAAGCAGTTCTGGGAAGCCTCCGGCTGATTGTATTGGGAGGCAACAGGAGGTCAGGTGCCGATGACGGAAATCTGACTCCTCGCAGCCGCCACGCAGTTGACCTCTTTCTTCCCCTTCACCAAGGCACTGTATATTGTGCTGGACTTCCTTGGCTTATCCATCGCATTTTCTTTGGCTCGACGTGAAGCGTCGATGTCAGTCAGTGTCTGAGATTTCTTCGTACGAAAGCCGTCACCAACTTTCGACTGTTACCCCTCAAACCCCCGCTGTTGCCAGACCATCCCACGCAAGGTGGGTATGACTTCACAAGGACGACTTGGTATCATCAAGGACTCGAACTGATCGCAACTGCTTGTAGAAGCAGATTCAACCCGTTATTATCGCGACTGAGATACACGGGCCCCAAGTTACAGCAGTGCGCAACGCGTTGTGCTTCCAAACATCACATACCAGCAACCTCGCGCCTTAAAGATTTCTCTTCATCATTCGATAGCCTATATGTCTTACACCAACGAGACTATCAGAACCAGATTTCTTTTGCAAGACAGACAAGGAAACAAAGCGAAAATTCTGATTAAACGGAAATCAGTCGATCACAATTGCATGCTCTATAATCATCACATTGCCCGACTGGTCAAATAAAACCTTCAATATCATCAGGTGCTTCTGCAATGGGTCTCAAGTTTATTCCAGCTGAGGGGGTCCTCGTTTGCCTCCCTTAGGTGAATAACTACATTCACACACGAGCTTCACCATGGACTCCCACCGATTCTTCGGAGGCCTTCGAAGCCACACCTTGAGATCACTCTACTACGAAATCCTCTCCTTGCACCCATATCCAGTTTGCGAACTCCTATCTCATTGAGACAAGGATCGCAATATCTTAGTCACGCCGTGATTTTGCCTCCAAGAAATTAAAGGCTACTCAGCTCATCAAAATGAGCACGCACACATTGAACAAGAAGTCCTGGGAGTCCCTCTCTTCGACTTTCTCCAACCTCGAAATATCCGTTTCCCAGGACAGCTGTTACGCCTCGGACGAGCTCTCCATCAGTCCGACCAATCCTATCACTGCTGGCACGTCGCTAGCCTCCTCCTTTACGCCAGCCCGCCAGGATTCTCTGCACTCGCTATTGAAGCCCATTTTGAAGAGGCCGTATTCTGATATTGAGGAAGATGAGGAACCTGAGTCTGGCTACGGAACAGACGATTCTGACTACGATTACGCTTCTGTGTCCGATGAACATGACGACGAAATGTATGCGGTTTCCACATGGGACGAGGCCTCGGATGTCTCCGATGCCATGTCGGAAACATGCGATGACGATGGTGAATCAGTGGACGGTTCATTCATTTCGTTCGAATCCGTGGTGCGTTTCGACACCAACGTGCGTTATATTGAGGCGCCAGAGCCCCAGGAAGAAGAGATCGAGACACCGCGAACCGAATTAACCTGCCATGAATTAATGGAAATGGCGAGGGCATCTGGCACTCTTCGGCTCCAGGGTGAACAAGCCGCCAAGTCTGACTCGAGTGAGAAAACGCTGGAACATGATGACCTTGGTGATTCAATCAAGCAATGGCCAGAGGAACACCCGAGTGATATTGTCGACTTGGACAAGAGACTATTCATTGCCTACATCAACGGCATCAACGGAATTGCCGACCCCGGATACAAAGCGCGTCTCCGCGAAAGAATTGATGATATCAGAAAGGGACATGCGCAATCTCCATACCTGGAGTCTGATAACGCGCAAGGGGTGTACCTAGATAATGTACTGAACCACGTCCTGGGTACATTCCGCAACATTATTGTTCAGGAGGAGCTTGACGAACTGGCCACTCTCACTGAGCGAAGGGAAGCCCGGCAACAGAGCGAGGCGACTGAAGGACTCGGTAACGAGCTACTGGATAAGATTGAACATCTTCTTTCTGAGAGACTGGCAGGAAATGATGTCGAAATCGGCCAGGATGAGCTAAGCTTTTTCGCTGGCGGCGTTGCTTATGCTCTTCAGAATTGGGCCTCGTATACATCACACTGAACAAGGCTTCGTGGACCAGAAGCTCTTCTACGATGTTTGATGAATGAAAAAAATGGCTATATGCACTCAATAACGTTATGAAGCTATGTACATAAAAGTCCACCACGTCATTTCGGGTACTCGGATATCATTGCTCTGCTTACTTCCATTTCTGACCCCCTGTAGCTTGGCTGTGGTGTATTCTTGGGGCCAATTTCAAATTCTGGAGAGGCCTGCTTGTGACACCACCATGCAATGCAGCGTCGAAGACCGGATCTAATCGTTAGACGGGCGGTTGACCAAATCCTACCGTCTACCATCTCATAATGCCAGGATGTTCCAAGACAAAACTTGCATGGATCAACCCAGACATATTGATCAGTGACTGTCGACCACATGTGACCAAATACCGTGAAACGCTCTAAGTTGGTCAAGATAAGACGAAGTCTGGCTTATGGCCGAGGCTGCTTCCAATTCAGACCAAGGAGGTTTGAAGGGCGCTAGCGTGGCTCAGTCTCAAGTAGTGTTGGAGTGAGGACTGGGTAGGGTCTCATACAGTTTCTTAGAATCATGAGTACCTAGTGATATCTGGGAATACTTGCTGGTCGTATACACTGCGGCAGGCATATTAATGATAGGTAGTCTTCACCTGCCCACTGCGAGCCCGAGACGACGCCGACTAGTATTATTATGATATAGCAGGATGCTATCACTACCTAGTGAGAACAAAATCTGAGGCTATTCTTTACGTGCAATGAGATTAGAGAAAAAAAACAAAAAGGATATGGTAAGACTGGGAGTCGAACCCAGGCCTCTTGCGAGAGTGCATGACAAATCTAGTTTTCTAGAGAAAGCTAACCAGCTTGAGTGCACCACCTTAACCACTCGGTCATCTTACCATTTTGGGTGAATGTTTGCGCAACTTTTTACCTTATCAAGAAATAGAACAGTCAAAACAGGCAGAACTGATGTTGATTAATGAGACGATCGGGGATCTTGCAGGGCGCAATAAGGTGACAATAAATGTTTTGCTGATTGTTGATGCTTAGGGTGTTGGGAAAAGATTGTCTGGACCAATCACTTAAGTTGTTCATTGTTCTCCAGGTACGGAGAACTTTAATTGTGGTAGTATTGTACGCCCTGAGCATAGATAGCAAGATGCTGCGTTATTCGGTATGGTAATGGTAAGATGACCGAGTGGTTAAGGTGGTGCACTCAAGCTGGTTAGCTTTCTCTAGAAAACTAGATTTGTCATGCACTCTCGCAAGAGGCCTGGGTTCGACTCCCAGTCTTACCATACAATCTTTTTTTCCCCAGGTTTCTGGGCACTTGAGAGTGTGCCCAACATTCAATTCAGTGCGTGCCTTTCAAAAGACCTATTTTTACAGGATCTAAAGACTAATTCTTAGTCAAGTCTATGAATGGCTGCTATCGCAGGAATTACTCTGCAAACGTGTGTAAGACCGTATGAGATCAAGTCAGCCTGCGCATCCAAGATCCCGAAGACTGGCGGTGCAGTCATCACTCCAGTATCAAAAGGTTAACAGAGCGAGTACCGAACTTCAATGGCTTGGTTTCCTGGCTCCTGTCCAGTCGCTCAGCCGGTCAGCCCTAACACATGCTTGGCAGCTGGAGACTCCGAAATGATTACGCTTCCTGTCTAGGTGAGTCAGACCAATTAACTATCCATGTTCTACGAGTTAGTAGTGAAGAGTCAAAGTGTCTCAAATAAGCGAGTAGATCCATGATTAGAAGTTTAGCAGTCCCACTACTTACTGCCACCCTCGCCCAGGATAACAAACTGTATCGGAGGAAAGCGTGCCAATAGAATGGTCCGAATGGCGCGATCAATATGGTATGCTCTCCGATCTCGATGAGCCATTTACATTATGGAGGAGTGTATCAGCTGAACTATTTATTAGCTGCTGGGCTGCAACCATGGTTCATAAGCTTTCCGGCTAAGTCGCAAGTCGAAATGTCGAATACAATTCCAGACTGGGCAAACTGATAGGCTGTTATTGACTCTGTGTCTGACTCGTGGATGGATCCATTGGTTAAGAGGCGACATCGCTGATCCACAGTCTGTATTCCTCCAGAGCAAGGCTTGAAGGCGTTCTGAAGACCACGTGTGGCTTACGCTGAATGATTTTTGTTCTACTGCGACAGGAGTGAAGCATGATTATGGCTCTTATGTCATCCCAGGTGTGAGTTGGTGATACGGTCATGCAAAGATAAGACAATGCGAAATTAATGACCCAGCTCTGTGTCACTGCTTGCCTTGTTAACAGTCAAGACTCAAGTGTAGAAGGTGATCTTAGAAGGAATAGGACTAAGAGGATCTTCAACTTGACATGCGATCTATGGAAAATGCAGAGAGCCATGGAAATGATGAATTGGTATTTGCTGTTTCTGGTGGACCAACCCCGTCGCCGTTGTCTAATAGTCTGAAAAAAGAGTTTTCAGCGGATGATATTACGGAGTGTCTACGGAGCCGACTACCTACCGCTCAGACTAGACTGTTACTTTGGTTTGATTTTGCCATGGTGGAAATGCCATCAAAGCGAGTCTGGAAGAGAAAAAGCAAATAAGATCCGTTTGAGCCTGATCCGATGGAGTGCTTCTTATCTTGGCAAAGGATCTGGAATTCAGAAATTAATTGACAGGGGTGTCGGTGTGTTCTCTCCTTCTTCTCCTTTTCCATCCAAATTCGCTTTCTTCCCCTGACCCTGGAATCGGGACGCTTAGATGGTGGGGCTTTTTCTGATCCACTGCACTTTCGTCTTCTTGCATTCGCCCCCATTTTAGTCTTTCCTTCCGAAGTACTCTGTACTTAGGACTGCTACCTCAGGAGTCGTCTACCTAGGTCCTCCATACCTCTTGCCTGTAGAACTGCCAACCGGTATAGTGAAGTGACAAGTTCCATGCAAACCAGGTTGCTTCTTAATTTCCAGTACTGCTCCGGGTATAGTGCTATCATGACTGCGAATTCACAATTTACTATGTGCCTCTGGAGGTACTACCAGGTGGACTGATAGGCATTGTACAAAGTGGCAACAGCCGGTGTCGATCTCAGGATCAGTCCCTCGTGTTGAGGGAAACTGTATCCAACCCGTGGGCATGTTGGTCGTGCTGCAGATGTATGTAGAGGGACGAGGAGTATCTACGCTGGTTTATAAAAATGTAACCTCATCAAAGTTGCCATATTGTGATACTTCTGACGTTAGAGCCACGAACTTTGTTGTAGTCTAGACATTTGCCATCCAGCATCCATCATTAATATTATCCCTGAAAATGCCTATTATAAGGATAAACATTGTTATTTCCTTCCCGTCGTCTTTCTACTACTACTGTTCTCCACTCCCACTCTTGATCCCAATCCTCAAACCTCAATGGTAGAAATGTCGACAGTCTCCACCTCTCCTGATTTGCATCTTTACCTCCGTGTCCTGACTAGGTATTGTACCTACTGACCACCGAGCACTTAGCACTTCTCAAAACCAGATACCTAGCGATAGACCGGGCAAGTCATACCCCTTTGAACTAGTACTCTGTAGTTACCAAGTTCGGAAGACCTCCTGAATTCAAAGTTTCGCCAGTCCCCGGTGCAACTCCAGATTCTTATTCTCTCTTCCTTCTAGCTCTCTTCTCGTTCCCTCCTCCGAGCTTAGCCAGTCCATTCTTTCGCATACTCTCTTTATCAGGTCTACAGGTCTTGCTTCCTTTCGCTTCTTAAGTATCCGACCACTGTCAACTCGCTGGAATGAATAAATGAATAGCTACTCCTTTTAGCAACTGACGGGTAGGCTTTTTGGTCCATTGTCCCATCTCCAACACTTCCGTTTGCAGTGCTATTTGCGTACCCCATCATATGTTAGCAGCCGCAAGAATATGAGCCCCCTAAAAAGCAGGCAGTGCGCACAGCAACATTATCTGTCGATAAGGCTGACGAGATACTAATTTATATTTGGCTCTTTCAGAATGATCTAGCGACTCCGTTCTGCATTTTCGTATTTCTCTTCTAAGAGACACCCCTTCTACTCGAAAGCCACCGGAACCGCGGAAGGCCGCCATTAACTGCATGCGATCAATATAAAGAATCATGCAGCACAACAAAGGCCCCGAATTCGCCGAGCTGGCAAGGACACTGTCGCGCTCGCGCAGCACTAGCATGTCCAGCGACTCCCAGCTATCACGCATCCACCTTCTCTCTCCACCACCAGTGAACCCTCCACCCTCTTTCATCGCATCATCTGCAGCCTCTCAAATCATCACCGCCGACCAGGAGTTTAACACTGCGGACTTTGTGACTAGCGAAGAAGACAATGGTGCGAATGCGAGCGCTCTTGTCACCCCAGAGGCTCTTTCGGCTTTGAACGGGTTTCTCGACCACCTTCTCTACAACATTCTGGCAACCGCCAAGTCGACTCAGTTGGCATGCATTCGACCGGCGATAGCCGACGTCCTCAAACCTCGACTCGCGAAAGAAGTAGTCTCTGCTGCGGATGATGAACTGCATGAGTACATGGGCGGCGAAGAAGACGAACAATCTGAATTTCGCGGCGGGCAGACTTCGGGCAATGACTTTGACCTGGTCCGTTCCTGGAAGTTGACTCGGCTTCGATGCATGGTGTACACGAGGTTGGGCGACATGGAGGAAGACGATGAAGATGAGTACATCGCGCAAGACCGGCTTATCGAGTCTGACGATGGGATTCCGCCGAGATTCGACAGCCACGTGGGCAACATCACTCCGGCCGCGGCGATCTTTCTAACGTCTATCATCGAGCACATTGGAGAACAGGCCCTCATCATTGCAGGGGAAACTGCGCGGTCCCGGTTATCTTTGAAACTTAGCGACAATCATGACGAAGTGACCGAATCTGGCGCAGAGCGAGGCAGTATGGATAGGCTGGTCGTGGAGGAACTCGACATGGAAAAACTAGCTTTGAATCCGACCCTAGGAAGACTGTGGCGAACCTGGCGAAGACGTGTTCGAACACGTAGCTTATCTCGGACGGTTTCAAGGGAGTCCTTCCAGCGTCGCAGATTGACTGCACCCTCTGCAGGCAGCAGAAAAAGCAGCATCGTTACTGTCGATGAATACCCACCCAGTCTGCCCGTGTCACCGGATGTTGAGCACAGCAAGGAGCTCGATCCAGCATCTGTCGCTCTGCCAATGAGCGAGCACGATGTCGAGGAGATTGAGTTCCCGGGGTATGTGGCTGACTTGCATGGCAGCGAAGTGCATGAGATACATGAGGTTCGGACCATGCAAGCTGTCGTAGCTCACAAAGTGCGACCACATAGCCTTATGGTACTCACCCTAGCACCTCCGAAGTCTCCTTCCACAGGGAACTCCCCGGTTACTCCTCTCAGCGCACAGAGTGCCAGAGTTGTTCGTCACGTTCGATCGCGGTCACTACCCAACAGTTCGTACCCCGAAGATGACATTCCAAAAGATACCCGGCTCCGCAGGCAAATTCTCCTGCCACAGCCGAAGAACAGAAGCGCCTAGAGACGATGTATGAGCACGATGAGGATGACGAACCAGCGGCACCAAACGGATCAGTCTCACAGAAGATTACGGTGACCTTACAAGTCAAGCAGATTGAAACAGACTATTCATCCGGTGAACAGAACTGCTCTGCTGTTGTGCAGGATGCGGCCTCGGCATCCTCACCGTCGGCGGCATCAGTTGACGCCGTCACAAGTCAAACCAGTAGCACGGACACATCCACGGCATCATTGAGCGATGAGCAAGAGTTAGTTTCCGAGGTTATCGAAGGACATGGGTTATGCGAAAAGCCAAAGCTGGCCGCATTGCAGCGACCTAAACGAGTTACCAATAAGGATGCTTCTGAGGATACCCCTGCATCGCCAGCGGAAGAAAAAGCGCCGCGGGCTGTTACTGTCGTTGACCATGAACCGCAGACGCAAGGGGAAGCGCCAAGCCATCCGGCCCCGCCGGCAGCTCTGACGCCTCCAAGACCGCTGATGAGGACTTATCAGCCGCTCCTCCCAGGGCGTCTGATTCTACCGCGGACGGCAAACCCTCAAGATTGGCACCGGTGACAGCCCAATCCTCTAGAAAAGAGGTCACCGAATCGGTTTCCACAGCCGGAGAGGCAATTCTTCCTGAACGTGCGCGGACTCGGCCCGTGCCCGTTGCCTTGTCCTTGAACACCGCAGGCCAGCAGTCTTTCGGGGCAACGAGTCCGGGATTAGCTACCCCTGGCAGTTCTGGGACTGAGCGTGCAGCCGTTCAACGGGTATCACGCCCCTCAACCTCGGTAGCCTCGTCTACTTACACAAAATCACGCCGGTCCGACAGTTTTGGCAGCCATCGGGAGAAGCGTCCAGTCACGGCCGGATCAACGACGTCGCAGGTTTCGAGCAAGCTCAAGGGCCTTATTAGCCGCCAAACCGACTCCGCTACTTTCCTTGTTCGCAGCTCTTCAGAAACCAGTAGGGCATCCGCTGTCACCCATGACTCAGTATATGATGATAAATCGGGATTGGATGAATTAATCCAGAGCGAGGAGACGATCCATTATACCCTGACACCCAAGAACATGAGGGATATAGAGGTTTGTTCAGACTGAAAACCCTCTTTTGCAGAACCCCATAGCTGACTCGTGAAAAGAACTTGGACTCCCCAGATGGCAGCCTCAGCGATCACCAACCGCGGATTTGGCCGATTTTCTTAAGAATACTGGCCCTCCTGGAAGCGAAACACCTAGGCCAAGGACATCCAAATCATCCTCTAGGGAAGCGACCGACTTTCCAAGGGTATCGAAGTCTATGTCGTCCGAGAGGGCGAAACATATACCCATTCAGATACCTAGCGTAGCTCCCGAGCAGAGAGACATGAAGTCCCCCCGCAGCGGCGCTCCACGTCTGGAAGCCCGTTCAGCTGTGGCACCACGAGGGCATGAGACAGCCGAGTTAATTGAATTTCTTCGGGAAGGACCGTCGAATACTGGAGCTCACCAGGTGCCACGCACAGTTGCCTCGTCCATGGACATGGACGAATTGAGACAAGACGCTCCTTCTGTTGCTAGCACACAAGGAGGCTCAGTGGCTACTCGGTCTTTTACTTCCGTCGGTTCTCGTACGGCCCTTCTCGAATCCGCCAACCGTTCAACTGCACAAGGCCGCTCAGTCAATGCGGCCAATCTGGCCAGCAGTAGGGACTCTACCGACCCTCAACCAGCACGGAAGCAGCGTCGGGTGCGGGATCCTTATGCCATTGATGACTCGGACGACGACGAATATCTTGAAGAGCTTCTAGAACCCTCGAAGCCTAAACGGGAGGAAGAAAGCCTGATAGATTTCCTGCGTAATGTTCCTCCGCCAGAGGCTGAACCCCAGCCTCTGGCCTTGAATATGCCTACATCGAAAAGTACTTCCACAGGACTTGGAAGTGCCTCAGCCATGAAGGCACGGCTTCTCCGAAATACTTCCTTTGACAAATCCCTTTCCGGGAAAACCTCGAAATCATCGCTGCGTCAACAGCAGGAAGGTTACTTGACGGGACAGTCGAATTATACTGTCAAGGTTGGCATGGAGCGCAACGGAGGAGCAATTCATGCTGGGTACGGGTTGTCCACCGTGCCTGAGAAGCAGACCGAAACCAGTGCATTAGCCAGCTTTCTCAGAAGCACCGGTCCGCCGGAGCCTCCTGCTGGTCGGCGACCCTCCTTGTCTGGCAGCAGAGGCAAAGATCCGAGTGGCTTCTCCCGTCTCTTTGTTCGTCGCAAGAAAGTTGAGGTTTGAAGCATCAGATTATATATACCCTTTCCTCTTCTTTTGTTTTTCTCCCCGTCTTGGTCTAGACCAATATTCCAATTCCTTGCGACTATGATATTGTTATATGGTTGGCAGATGACATGTGTCTTTGAGCGTTCTGAGCCAGTGATGAAACGTTCCTTGCGTCTTATCTTTTCTTTGTGATACTCCTTGCAGTGATATGCCTACAATTTCTTCGCGCATTCAAACTTATGGTGGCTTTTGTCGCGTCGCACTCACTTGGCTACCTCAAGTGTTCCCTTTCTTGTCTCATTGTCCGCATTTCGACTCTCTGGACTTCTTGAGGGAAGTCTTGCACTGGAGTACGATTGTATATATAAAGCTTTGGGTCGCCAGTATTCTGGCGGTTGCTGATCCAGTACATTCTCTATCTCAGCAAAATATTTCATATCATCCGTGATTATATCCACCATCAGCCATCAACAGTAGAGACTCGTAGAGCGTTGACGTCCGCAGGGAGGCATAGGCGTGCGTCGTCCATGTTTCGGTGGAACTTTCAGCGCAAGCAATTTCATAGAGGACGGCCTGATAAAATCAATTCAAGTCTTCAATGCGAAGGCATAAGAATGGCATAGTTTTGGTAGCGAGCCAGTTGATACTACTGGAGGAGACGGAAGATCTTTAATCCGACCACTCTCCGTAGACGCGGCGTGGCATCAATAATGTTGTAGAGCCCCATCGCTGCTCAATATACCGACAGAACAAGCCACAACCTCATTGTCGGCCAATTTACTCATCGACAATGGGTAGCTCGTCACAATCCAGCACGAGGACACTCCTCGGTATCTTCTTCCTGCTGCTTGTGCAGCTCTCCTCCGCCTTGAAATTCGACCTGCACGCCAGCAGCGGGCACAACGAGCGATGTATACGCAACTTTGTCTTCAAGGACCAATTGGTCGTTGTGACTGCTATTGTGAGCGGGCACAAGGGTGATGGGCAGGTTGTGAATATGCACGTATGTTGATTCTTACCATTGCCCTGGGAGATTTTCGGGGTCGGGTCGTGGGAGGCTACTTTCCGGCTTCATTTATTGCTGTTTATCGGGTTTACTGCAGCGATGCTTACTGTTGTACTTGCTATAGATTAAGGATGCGCTTGGCAATGACCATGGTCGGCCTAAGGATATCGCGGGCGAGACTCGTCAGGCATTCACCTCTGTTGCGGACACGGCGTTTGATGTTTGCTTTGAGAATAAGCTGGTTTCTCACCGTGAGTTGCCCTCTTTACTTAGCTGCGCATGATATCCGACTCGATTGTTTTGACCACCGAGCTGATCCGAACGTGTCCAGATGGTGTTGCGAACCCGTACAAGTCTGTCGAACTCGATGTCGAGATTGGCGCCGACGCCCGTGACTGGTCCAGCGTTCAGGCTGCGGAGAAGCTCAAGCCCGTCGAAACTGATCTCCGTCGTATCGAGGAGATGGTGGGGAGATCGTCAACGAGATGGAGTACCTGCGGGCCCGCGAACAGAAGCTGCGGGATACCAACGAGAGCACCAACGAGCGTGTGAAGTGGTTTGCCTTTGGCACTATGGGGATGTTGGTCGGTCTTGGTGTTTGGCAGGTTGTATACCTCAGGGCTTACTTTAGGTATGTTGAGTCCCCGTGTCGTGGAGGGTTGATGGTGTCGAGGCTAACTACTGCTCTTGTTTCGAACAGGTCGAAGCATCTTATCTGAGATCTTGTCGTGTTTTGTTTTGGATCCCCCTGTTGTGTGGACAAGGCTGCTCATGGTTGATTCTCCGTTGAGTTGCATGACAGGCACGGAGTTCTCAGTCGCATTTGATGGATTCGGCCTCGTGTAATTTCAGGTATATTTATGGTGCATTGCTTCGATTTCCGTACTTATGAAATGACACCGGTAATGAATAGAAGTGCTTCCAGTATGTGCTCCTGTTTCGTAGTACTATATCATCTAGGATTGAGCGTCTCACGCCTTCACCTTGACTGTTCTCTACCTTAGTTTATAACATGAGATGCCGCTACTCGTACGAAGTAGTTGTGAAAGGGTTTTGGCGATGAGACCAAGCTGTTGCAACATGCAGCCACATCTGCAACCCTCAAATCCATCTAGTTCACACATTGTATCCTTGCTGTCGGTAGTAACCTCGATCAATTTCGACTTACACTGGGTTACCTCTCGTATACCGATCTGATTTGCATGTTTAATTGATGCAAACGGTGCAAACAGCACCCAGCATTGCCGCGGATGATGTCAATTCCGTGTCATTATCTAATGTACCTACCTTGGACATTTGGGCTTCATTGAAGTTCATTGATTAGAGACACTCCCTGTTAAGCTCCTATTTTTAAATTCATATTGACTAGGAGCTTTACAATGTCTGCCCCACGGCTCATTCAACGCCTCTCGCGGCCGTCAAGGTCGCCCTTCTCTCTCACAGCAGCAATTGCCCGCCGCTCCTTCGGCAGCTCGGCTGTTCGTCTGAATGATGGCGATGGGAAGGATCGCGCGCCCTCTACAGCTCCGGAGCACCGCAAATACCAGACTTCGAGGCCTCCGAACCAGGCTGTGCCCCATTCAACTTCGACTATGACCAATGACTTCCCCAGCGTTGGCGAGAGGACCCCGCCCCGGAGGTCTTGAGCTCCGTCGATCCGAACTATAAGCCGGTAGATCCTTATCCTGGCCGTGTCGAGCATTACACCGGTGGTAGACAGCAGCCCGGTGCGCAGAAACCGGAGCTTGGTGTTGGGGAGATGGAAGGGATTACCTTCAAGGTCGAGCCGCTGAAGCGAACTGGGGAGGACCCGGCGACCATGAGGGCTCGCTTGTTGTGTAAGTTTGGTCCTTGCCGTTCGCTTCCTACAGCCCTTGGTTCTTGAAGCTAATAGAGTGACCAAATGCAGACCAGAGTAGAAAGCGAGGTATCCTCGAGTCGGATCTGTTGCTATCCACGTTCGCCGACGTCTATCTGAAAGATATGACGCCAGAACAGCTCCAGGAGTACGACCGTTTCCTGGACGAGAATGACTGGGACATCTACTACTGGGCTACGCAGGACCCTCCGTCTGTTGCGGACGGTCCAGCCGAGGATACCGTCACGGAGACGTGGAAACGCACCGGAGCCAAGAGTGGTGAGTGGAAGCAGACCGTTGGTGCTTACAAGGCTGCGTATAGGCCTGTCCCTTCGCGGTGGGCCGACTCCGAGGTCCTCAGGCTTCTGAGACAGCATGTGCGCGATAAGAGCGCTGTTGGATTCCATGCCGCGAAGAACAAGAAGACTGGCGGTTCTGGGCTGGGAAGAATGCCCGACATCCAGGTCTTTGATAAATAGGCTTGACTGTTACGTCTATTGGGCAGATCAAGGTATGACGCAAAGGGACGGATATATGTGTACTGTATATTTCAGCTTGTACTATAGTATGCCTTGAATTTTTTGATGCGCTCTGTATGAGACATCGATGTCTTGACAGCATTGTCTCTTATGGTATCTCATGGTATATGACTATAGTCCTCGGCGTATGCTATGTTGCTGATGACTGTATGCTCAAATTGGCCAACTCGCGGAATGCAATACGATCCTCAAAAAATCTGGATGAATGAGCTCATCTCAACCTGTTTGATTGCAGTTATGTATCAGGATGTTTACTACTGCTCCGACCGACCTGTATAGTTCCTGGTCATGTGACTCGCTTAGGCTTAGGGCTTGTGGACCACACAACCAGCGGCAGAACGGGCTAGTTTAGGGCTTAGGCGGGCAACGCTGGTTCTGCTCCTCCATCCTCGAGCGCTGCGATTTTATCTCAGGCCCAGAGTCAACGACAATTGCTCCGCCCGCGTTCATCCTCCTCCCTCCTCTCGCGGCCCCTTCATCGTCAATATGGCTGAGCAGATGGTCCTTCGTGGTACCCTTGAGGGCCACAATGGCTGGGTTACTTCCCTGGCCACCTCTCTGGAGAAGTAAGGGAATACCGAATATTCGAAAAAATTGCATGAAAATCATATGCCGAAAGGATGAAGAAACGTTTGTTTTGGAAGACTTTGGGCATTGATTGAGCACGTGGACAAATAGATTCTGACTTGGATGTTTCGAATAGCCCCAACATGCTGCTCTCTGGCAGTCGCGACAAGACCCTGATCATCTGGAACCTTACCCGCGACGAGCAGGCCTACGGTTACCCCAAGCGCAGCCTCGAGGGTCACTCCCACATCGTCTCTGACTGTGTATGCTACCCGAAATCCCATTGAGCTTAGAGAGAGTGGAAGGACTGGGAATTGCTCGTGGAGGAAACCGAAAAAAAATATGACGAGATTGGCTGACCGCGTGTGTGTTTCGTTCCGTGCAGGTCATCTCCTCCGACGGTGCCTACGCTCTGTCCGCCTCTTGGGACAAGTCCCTCCGCCTGTGGGAGCTCGCTACCGGCGAGACCACTCGTACCTTCGTTGGCCACACCAACGACGTCCTCTCCGTCTCCTTCTCCGCCGACAACCGCCAGATCGTCTCCGGTTCTCGTGACCGCACCATCAAGCTGTGGAACACCCTCGGCGACTGCAAGTTCACCATTACCGACAAGGGCCACACCGACTGGGTTTCTTGCGTCCGCTTCAGCCCCAACCCCCAGAACCCCGTCATCGTTTCCGCTGGCTGGGACAAGCTCGTCAAGGTACGTTTATCCGGTCTTCCCTGGCGCGATGTATACCCGAATTCGAAACTGTCTGCCCAAATGATGTTTTGCATAATACGTATTTGCTACTTCAGAGCCTTCTACGGCCATGAGACAAATAATCACCAATGCCCTGATGGACACTTCGCAATTTTGCACTTTTTACATGGGACCAGCTCATTTATTCACCGCGGAGATTGAAGCTAACACGAACGTACCCATTAGGTTTGGGAGCTTGCTTCCTGCCGCCTCCAGACCGACCACATCGGTCACACCGGTTACATCAACACCGTCACCATCTCCCCCGATGGATCCCTCTGCGCCTCCGGTGGCAAGGACGGCACCACCATGCTCTGGGATCTCAACGAGTCCAAGCACCTCTACTCCCTCCACGCTGGCGATGAGATCCACGCCCTCGTATTCTCCCCCAACCGCTACTGGCTCTGCGCCGCCACCGCCAGCTCCATCACCATCTTCGATCTCGAGAAGAAGAGCAAGGTTGATGAGCTCAAGCCCGAGTTCATCGAGAAGAGCTCCAAGGCCCGTGAGCCCGAGTGTATCTCTCTCGCCTGGAGCGCTGATGGCCAGACTCTGTTCGCTGGTTACACTGACAACAAGATCCGTGCCTGGGGTGTCATGTCGAGGGCATAGATGATTTGACGAGCGTTTAGGCGGAGGAGAGGAAATCTATGTTTTTTCTTTGTTCTAAAAAAGAAAGCGCTGGCATTGGTTGGGATGTATGAGCCATGAGCAATGAAGCACTCCGGGCCTGGGCCCGGGGTTTTTCTCCGACATGTCTAGCTTACTTGATTCGTCATAAACTTCGTACGTCTGGAATCTTGTCAAGGTCGGCATGCCGAATGTTCTAATACCAATTAAAAAAACATACTATAAAAATCTATTTATCTTCCTACTCTTCATCGTATCACTGCCTTTGGCAAAGCACAACGTGTGGGAGCTTTATCTACAATGCCCCGACTTTGTCAACTCAATGCAGAAACATGGCAATTACACCTGACAGTCAATAAGGTAGCAATCTCGAATTGTTTTCAATTTTAAATACTGTTGTACAGTCATGACATGGCCTCTTTAAACATGAAATGTCACTCATTTCTTCAATTGCGCTAGAGCTTCATCCACATGGGCCGCATTCTCTTCGAGTCCCAACCCCCGAGCCAGAGACTTGGCCTCCTTCCAATACTGTTCGGCTTCCTTCCGCTTGCCCTGAAGATGGGCAATTTCTCCCAGGTTATACATTGCCGCGATACAGGACATATCGCATTCCTCGTCGCGGATAGGAGGCTGCAGTTTAGCAGCAACGTCTAGAGCCTTCTGCGCCCACTGATTGCCCGAGTCGATGAGTTGTTGAGGTGCGGTAGTTGACCCACGGGAAGGAGTCTTCTTGTGTAATTCCCCGGTGATCGCGGTGGACACGTCGGCGAGGAGCGTCACCTGCTTGCAGGAGGGTGTGCTGCCCTCGTCTGTGCGCAGGAGGTCCAGCGCGCGGAGCAAGAGCGGCATGGCGAGCTCATTCTTCTCCTGCTTTAGATATGTCTGTCCCAGATCTGTGAGTGCGGTGGCAATCTCGGAGAGGTTCAGCCAGGCTGTGCTGTCGTCTTGCGAGGCACTCCCGACTGGGAGACCGAGCTCCTGGCGACGGCGGAGCTCCTTCAGACACAGTTCCACCGCGGCTTCCTGGTAGCTTTCGGCCTTCTTCTCGTCCTGGATGTAGTCGCTTGCGTACAGCTCTGCGAGCTTCATATGGATGCCGACAACCTTCTTCAGGACCTTGTCTCGCTGGCGGTCTTCGTACTCGTCCAGCTCCTTCATCTTCTGATACATGGCTAGCGCGTCCGGATCATCGATTTGAATGGACTCCGTCACCGCTTCGGTTTCAGGCTTCTGTGCATCCTTCTTCTTTCTACCTTCTTCCACCCACTTCAGGCACTCGGTCTTTGTGCGCTCGAGAACTTGGATGGCGGGTTTCGCCAGCCCGGCCTTCTCGAGCATCATCGATACCTGGAGATGTATTCCTAACATCTCATCAGAGAAGGGATGCATGCCAAGCTCGACCGCCTTCCTCAAAGCCTCCTTGTATGCTTTCAGCGCCTTGGCTGGGTTGAGATCAACTTCAGTGTAGTATACGGCCGTCCGGAGGGACTCGGCAACAGGAGGTGGAAATTTGTGATACTGCGGGCCGACGCGTGTCAACTCAATGTAGGATATATATGCGAATATGGCCGTAGCTCCGGCGACGGAGATAATGGCGAGTGGGAGGAGGATCGGATTCTTGCGCCAGATCCCTTTTGACGCTTCCTGGAAGCCGCGCTTCATCCGCTGTCCATAGCTAAGATGTCGGCATTGAGGTAGTAACGAGAATAAGGTCTGTGATTGTCTTTGAAGTGATGATCTGGTGCTGTTTCCGGACGCCGTGCGTGTTGAGAGAGCTTTGTTGCATTGTAGGTTTCTCGGCCTCGAAATGAAGGCGCAGGCGCGCCGTGATGCTGCATTAAACATTGTCTGATTTTCTGTGTGTCGTCAGATCATGAACGGGCACCGATTGGGAGTTGGAGTGGTGAAACTGTGGTGGAAAGCGATCTAAAAACTGCGTGCGAGAGAGACTGAAATTCAAATCATCTATCCAATTCAAGGATTCTAGTGGTCCGAGCTTCTCCGCCTGCGGATATGATATGACGTCGAAGTCATCTCTCGGCGCCAGCACTATCGCTCTATCAATATCTATTTCATCTTTAGAAATAGTAGTTCTACATCAACGTGCACAATAATTTCCTGGTGTAGGAACGGTGGGCGCCTCTTAAGATGTGTGGACGGTATGCCCTTGGAGTGGTGCGTAGCCCGGTTATCCCAGTGCTTCTTTGTCTAGTGCTGATCTTATCGCTAGCGGATGGCATTTGTCCGACGCCGTCTGCAGGAGCAAGGTATGCAGGTTGACGAAGTCCCCGAGGATGATGAAGTGAGAGAAACGTACAATTTTGCACCAGGGTCTAATGGTGCTGTCTACCGGGCCGATGTCTCTGACCGCGGGTTCGTTGATGGCGAGCAAGACACCGCAGACCACCCACAGGAGCCAACTCCAGAAGCTGTGGACAGTGTAGAAAAAGTCCATGATAGGAAATGGAGGTACAAGATTCAGAGCATGAGGTGGGGGCTCATACCGTTTTGGACGAAGCGGAAACCCGATTACGGATCTCTGATGCGAACCATCAATTGTCGCGATGACTCTCTGATCGAGGATCGCGGAATGTGGACATCCATGAAGCGGAAGAAGCGATGCATTGTGATATGCCAAGGCTTTTACGAATGGTTGAAGAAAGGACCTGGGGGTAAAGAAAAGATCCCGCACTTCATCAAGCGCAAGGACGGGGATTTGCTGTGCTTTGCCGGACTGTGGGATTGCGTTTCGTATGAAGGTACTCAATTCTAACTGCTGTCTTTGCGATGTTCATCGTTCGCTGACGTCCCGGTACAGGCTCAGACGAGAAGCTTTACACATATACCATCATCACAACTTCTTCAAACTCGTACTTGAAATTTCTCCATGATCGAATGCCAGTGATACTTGAGCCCAACAGCGAAGCGATGAAGATGTGGCTGGATCCCGAACGGACAACTTGGTCCAGTGAATTGCAGTCCATTCTGAAACCGTATGAAGGAGAATTGGAATGCTATCCAGTCTCCAAGGAGGTCGGCAAGGTGGGAAACAATTCGCCCGACTTCATCATTCCGATCAACAGCAAGGACAATAAGAGTAATATCGCCAATTTCTTCGCCAATGCGAAGAAGCAGAAGGGTGGAGCAGTATCTTCCGCCAGGGAGGAGGACGCCAAGGAGACCTTGCACTCTGCCGAACAAAAGGTGGTGAAAGATTCGGATGAGCCGCGCAAGACTCAAGACAGTCAATGGAGTGAAAATAATGCTCCGCTGCCAGAACCAGGCGTCAAAAGAGAGTACCCTCCGGACGGCGATGACATTGGCGATGAAGCCCCGAAGAAACAGAAAACCGAGCCAGCACCCTCGCGCTCCCCCACAGAAAAGGCGCATGAGCCGAAGGTTAAGTCTGAGCGGAAGACGACCACGTCGAGTAGAAAAACGCGAAGTGCGACACATAACGACAAGCCTCTAAAGAAGACAAATGGGAAGACGACCGATGGCTCTCAGCGAATCACAAATTTTTTTCAGAAATGACAGCCACGAATGCACTGCCATCATGATGGTATGCCTAGTGTTTCTGCACCGTTCAAAATCAGGGAAGGCGTCATTGTTTGTAGTATGATCAATTCAGCCTCAACACGCGCAGGCACTGCCACTGCAGTGAGGCATAGCGGCCGAATCACCTAATGAGCAATGAATGTAACGAGCCAACTGTCCAGCAGTTTCCGTATTCAATGTGTTCACACATGTGGTATTATAGTACAAGTGATATCATGGTGTTACATAGCTCGGTATAACCCCGACTTGAAGCTGGGGTCGCCCTATTGTAGCTCACGTAGCCTTTGAACCAGCTTCTCTCTTAGGAAAGGACTCAGTCCGAGTCTGCAGCGCAACATGTCAGCTTCAAAACTAGTCAAAGGGCGAGAGAACTTACATTCCGTCCCTAGTGACGATTCTGTAGGTGCCTGCTTCCTGGTTAGCTTGATCGAGCCAAATCCGTCTGGTAAGTATATAACCGTACCGCTTGGCTGATAATTCCCATTATCTCCGACAAATTTCCCGTTCGCATCAACTTCTAGACTGCCGAAGATATCCTCGGGCCTGCCAGCTCGTTAGTGGTTCCATTGGACAACTCGGCGAAGAGAATCGCTACCATGCAATACGACCATACTCCGGGGTCTTCTGCTGTCGGACAGGTGTATCCAGCCGCCTCTACCAGCGGAGCCGACACCACCCTGGCCACTGGCTCCTCCACTAGAGTCCTTGCTTTCTCGCCGTCTTCTGCCACCCTGTCCTGTCATTAGGACACCTCCCGAGCCTATATTAGCCCCGGCTGTGGAAACCATAACCTGAGCTTGAGAGATAGCATCCGGATCTTTGTGGCCGTACTCAGAAATGACCTCTTGTAGGATCTTCAGAAAGTTGGGATTCTCCCTGAAAGAGTCTGTCGAAGGAGGTATCTTGGATGTGACTCCAATGGCTGTTTTCGGATTGACAGGCTCCGAAGATAGGAGCGACAAGGTATGGCTTCCACTCTGGGGTTTATTCGAGAAAACATACTGTGATTGTGAGCCCGAGTCTCGAGAAATGGCAGACACTCTGGCTACCGAACTTACGATATGGGGATTGCTTTCCAGGGTAGACACTGTGCGAATCTGGCACCATTTCGCTAACCTGAGCGGCTGTCGCGCAAAGGACATGGACGAGATCATATTGGAAATATATCGCTGAGTCGAGAAGTAGTCGATCAGTCTGCACAGAATTATTTGGAGCTTCAATTGCTGCTTTGCCTATGACGCTATCGAGACAAACAAGACAAAATCATGTGATCCCGCGGAGTTCGATGCCGGCAATTTATTGTAGCTCTTCCGATGTTGCTCCATGTCTTTCCTCCCATTGACGATTTTTGCTGCTGGCTTCCTTTCATTCTTTATCTGGATAATTGAAAATGCTCCTTTCAGAAGCTTTCCCGTAGGATGCCGCTGGTTTAGTGATACCTGACGTTTCGACCGTGGTTTCCTGCGCATCCCCTTGTAGCGTGGGAAGTAAGCATCGCAGCCTTAGTTTGGTTGTTGATTGTACCTCATACTTTGCATGATACCCCAATTGATTATAAAGCAGTCATCTCGAGTGGCTGCTGGTTGTTCCTTCTAATGTGATTTTTTTTTATCATCAAATAACGGACAAATATGGCGACACCCTCTACCAAACAAAATCCGGGAACAACCCCAACCCACTTGACCTCTTCTCCTCGACCTACTGGCGCGCATATGGCAAGACCCATAGCGCATAAGTCACCATCAACAAGGACTCCATCAGCATCGGGGCATGGCCATGGTCATCAGCCAAGTGTATCCTCTCACCAATATGCTACTCCTCTTGCTGTAACAACAGGCATTGAGGATACTGTCACCTTCAGTTCACCATCTGCCTTGCTAGCGCTGGGTGGCTACGGTGCGATCAGCCCATCTCCTGCCGGTCATGATGCCTTAGTTGTTCCGAGTATGAATGAGCATGACATCCAGGCGCTGGGAATGCAAGGTATCAAGCTAGGATCCGCTCGAGATAATGACGAAGAGCGGAAAAGACACATTGAGGATGTTGTCCAACTCCTACGGACTCGTATATCCGGCAGATCAGTCTGCAGAGAGGGAATTGAGCGTCTAGTCCAGCTCGAAGGATTTGAATCTATCTGGCAGGAGGACAATATTAACATTGCCGGAAACTTTGTTGACCTTGAGATTGAATTTCACCGCGGCCAGAACGTTGTGAAAGACGTCAGCCTTAGCTATGCCACACCGGACACTACAGATGGCGAACGACGGGAAGAAGCTACTGCTGTACTAAAGCGAGATCTTGTGCAAAACCCGGAAGATGGAGAACGGGGTTTATGGAAATCTTTGACCGGATTTCATGGAAACCTGCAGTGGCTGTCCAAGCATGACAGACTCAGTCAAGAGGTTAATTGCTTTGAGGCCATTGAAGGCCTTTATCAAAGCCTGAAGCGGGTATGGGATGAAGAGCAGAAGCTTCCTAAATTCTCGGGTGTTTACGAACATCTATGCGCTGGATCCATTGGCCGACCAAGCCTTCACAAGGGAAGTCGACTCGGACTAAGCTTGGACTATTGGATCCACCAAGCGCAGGTCTTAGACGCGAAGCACACGGATTCACCTCCTGACGCCATGGACATTGATAGACCAGCTAATCAAGCGCTTGATGAAGTTGCAGAACCACAAAATAGAAAATGGTTTGTAATGATCGAATGCGAAGAAGGCTATCCGTCACTTCGTGTCTCGAAAGAATGGGTGGACTCTGATGTTCTCACAGTGGTCAACAATGCTGCAAATGGCTCCTCCTCGAATGAGGCTGCAGCTTCAGATATTGCAGTTGTCAACTGGGCTGACCCGCCTCCTACCCTAAGCTCGGGTGGCTCAGACGCAATGGCACTAGATTCGAACATGCTGGGCTCCTCTGCACTGAACCGCCGTTTTGTCGCTCGAATGGAGCCACCTCTTGATGTTCCGATCCTGGCAGCTTCAGACATTTACAGGCATCTAGGCATTCAGCTTCCACACGAATTTCGAATGGTCACATATGACGGTCTGCTAGTTCCTGGATGGTCACCATTATCAACAACGGGTGCAGTGGGTCTTGGCGCTGAGGACATACCTCAGCCCGGCCGCAAAAGGCGCAGGACGTCAGTTCAAGGCTTCGACCAAGAAGGAAATCCCTGCACCAAGCATCATAGTTACACTTTTCAGGCGTTTGAGTCGGTTGCAGGGCGGACGATGCGTGACATCCCCTTTTCACATCCGCGGCAACTTGCGGAAGTTTTCCCAGTAAGTACAAGCTGTGCTCGCGCTGCGCTAATATGCTAACACTTGTGCCCTCTCCAGATTTTGCGTCAGTATGCATTGCTCGCGAATCTGATTCACAAAATATTTAATTCGCCGCAAAAGGACGATGGGTCAAGAAAGGACGCCGATCCAGCCGCAGAGGGGATTCCTAGGCAACCGAATGCCTCAAAAGCGATAATGCCAACGAAGAAAAACAAAGTGATCGTTCTGAGCAATAAAGATCCGAATGAGCAAAAGCTCGACTTCTTGTTGAATGGAATCAACAAATCAAATGCTACTGCTACAGGTTCAGGGAAAGACATTGCAATGTCACCGTCAATAAGTCTGCGTGATCCTGCTGCCCATCAGGAAGAGGTCAAGGTAGATGTGACATTACGGACGCAACTTGGACAATCACCAGTCATAATACTACTTTTCACCGTGGAAGATCCTCGTTTGGCGAGTTCCCCTGCAGAGACTGTCCTGAGCAAAGTCTCTATCAGTTTGGAGATTGGGCTTAATGGCCGCATTTCAGTCGTGGACATGACTGGCCTGCTAGATGATGAAACGGCCGCAGATAGTGAAAAGGGTGCAGAGAACAGTGAGTCATACAAGCTGCAACAGAAGATAGCCAAGGTGCTGGAAATCTCCCAAGACATCGAGATATTGGTAGAATGGGTTGCGCGGTGGGTACGGCAGCAAAAGGGACGTGGGTGAAACCTGTGACGAATGGCGGAGGCCTTGAAGTGGAGAGCAGCGTCTAATCAGCCTGTCGGTTGGCTTGCCGTCGAATGCAGGACCTTGACTTCCACGTTGCAATATACTACTGTGTGTCGGGTGACGAGACTGCATGCATAGCACTAGCCTTGTAGTGTTGCCATAAGGAATCATGGCAACAGGTGCTGCCTGACTGCTCCAAGGCTACTCCGCGTCTACTCAACGGCCCCGGTTAGTCTGTTCAAGCAGGAGGTCCACGAGCCACACTTGAAGCTGGGATCACAGAGGTTGGGCCAACAAATAAGCTCCATGTACCTCCCAAGTGGATTACAGAAGGCGCGCAATGGAGAGCGACTTACGAATGAGAGTCGCAATTGTAGGGGGCAAGATAGTACCGCATAAGTGGTAACTAATGAACTGATGACTACAATTCCACAATTATCCTTTCATAGGAGGAAGCCTGCATTAACAGCATCAAATGGCAATCTAAAGATATGTTCATCCACAAACCAACCCTGCCATGCCACGCCTAACCTCCTTTGTGCGTACAGTTGCTTACCGGTAAAAGCAATATATACCACTGTGAGATGAGACGATATGGCAGCTCGGGGGACATCAAGTGTAGACACTACGTGCCTAAACAGCCAATATGCGCGATTTGTTAGTTAACAATTTTTGATATGTCAGTATCATGCAAGGGACTCTACACAAGCATCGTTTCCATTACGTATCAGAAGAATGCCTTGAAGATGTCTTCACGAGTTGCCATGCGAAATGCTTGACTCCTTTTTTGGTGCGAGGCAAGGGGCGTGGAATGTTTGATCAACTGCGCGAATTACTGTACCTGACTATCTACTCTGTACTGCCTGCAGTGCCACATTTATACACCGAAGATTGAGATTTACGTGGGATGAATCTGAAGCTGATCTTTCAAGAGATCACCTGGATGGTAGGACAGGGTTCAAGAAGTATCTAGATACATGATGTCTGTGACCTCGAGTCGAGCATTCTACCTTCTACGATGCGAACTCCGATATTAGGTGGAGTACTGCGTAGTAACGTGCAAATGGTGCCTGAGATGTGATACTATCAAAATGATCAGGATCCAGTCAGCGCAGTTTGTCATGGTTCGACAAAATCATCCAATCAGCGTGTTGCGATAAGCAAACTTTCTGAGCGCGGAAATGACTGGGCAAGCAGCGGACGCGTTTGGCGATGGAAGAACGATAATAATTGTAGTTTTTACTGTTTCAGAATTTCATTTGAGATTGCTCGACTCGAAATTATTTATTATCCGCTGCCTATTGGACGATGCAATGAGCGATTATCCTTCGCAAATGTGTGAAGGCTTTTAGAGTAGTCGGTGAGGGATATATTTCCTATTACCCGCATATTGTTTTTTGGACTATCATTCATGAGATTGACCGTTGCGTTTTCGACTTTCGAAAAATTACGTCCATTTTGAGGTTTGCGAATTGCAATGGACAGAAGTTACCGAGGCGACGGTCATAGTCTTCTTTTTGTCCTCGGTCATAAGTGCCTTCAACGGGATATATTCCTGTTTGGACTTTATGAATTCGAATACCTCGTCAACAGTCAAAATTGACTTCATATTATTGCATATGATCAAGGGCGAAACCGGAGAGGCGGACGGATGATGTATTCGACTTGTTGGAGGATGAGTGACGCTAAGCTGCACCCGGCTAGAAGGGTGTTTGCGGACCGCCACACACATGTTCTATTTATTACTGCACTAGCCGCACCACCTGTGTGCTATTGATAGAGAACGATGGCTGTGTTTCATGATCTGGAGAATGTCTCTGATTCTCGTACAGAACAGAAGCTTCCAGGCTCATGGTAATAATAGTGATTATACTCTGTAGTACGGGGTACGGTGTCTGCAAGGTTCTCGATTCTCCAGACAAAATGTAAATCGGCCACAGGGCTGAACCTACAGCCACTCGTCGGCAGCTGATTCCTGAATCTCCCGATTCGACTCCGTTGTCGTTGGCCCTCTTGTCAAGACAGGCCGGGAAGACTAAGGATTCGCATCACCCAGATCGGACACTAGCAAGGGCCGCCACCCAAAAGTCTGGAGAAGATGGCTTCTCCAGAATCATCTTGACGCAGTGACTTTTCTCACAATCTATCCTATCCAGTTTCCGATGACCCGTTCCCATCGTTCGCCAATTTCGAGGCGGTGCAAAACGCACAGTTATCCAATTACTGGTCCTCCGAACGTCCTAAATTATACTTAGTAACACCAGTCCGGTTTCGGCGGCCCTCTGGCTGGTCCAAGGACCGTTGCCACGCCCCACATTCGGCACTCGTCTCTGGGTCGTGTATGTAATAGTTTTACCGGGTAAAGTGTAAGGTACCCAAATCAAAATGTCCCGCCTGAAGGGAATGGTTGGGCTGCAGATATGGTCTGAAATCGGGTATTGATTCCTACAACGTTGGCTCTGTAGAGAGAAGTTGAGCAGAGATGACACGACCGAGTAATAGTTTCTCATTCGGCCGCTAACTTAAATTTTTCCTGAACTTTCTGACAGGGGATAATGTGGCAGGCGCGCTATGATCCACCCACGCGACATGGCGGGGTTTTTGAGGGGCAGTCATAGATAAGGAATTGACTAAGAGTATCCAAGCAAAACCATGCGCCGATAAGTCGCAGGTACGCGATTTTGCGCCGTCATATTACACTGCAATTATCTGCTGGAAGTATTTGAAAATCACTGGTCGCTTGCAACTGATACCTTAGCCTGAGTGAGTATCTTGGATCAACTGTGTGCCCAATTTCTTCGGAATCATCTCCGCGGTTCCATCTTCTGGAGAGATAAGCCCTCTGGGAGCAATTAGGGAACTTCAACTATTTTGTAGCTAACTGGTCAGATAGCCTGTGAATGTCTTCTTAAGGTGTGATGCATCCCGTAGGCTATTATAGCACACCTACCAATGAGATTTGGCTCTATTGCATTAGGCGCATGCATGATTCGTACTAATTGGGCCTTGCAATTGATATGCATCCGTTCCTGGTCGCTGTTTGATAATACCTTTTAGCAACATAATCAAGCTGCTATCTTTACGACTGCAGCATCATACACAGGCATCAGGCAATGTCCTTGATATTGCTTTTGAGACAGAGTCAGCCGACACATCATGCACACCAGTACGAATGTGTATCGACGAGAATCGCGGCGGATCTTTATCAGAACGCATTATTCGGGAGCAGGTCGTTGCTCTGGCGTGGGGTGGAGAGTCCGGGGAAGTTCCATCGCCTGGGCGGCTGCAATCGATATTTATCGCTTTGACGGTAAAATTATTAAATGATTTATCAAAGAACTCTAGTCCATACACTGTATACATCTGCCTATCAGAGACGAAGCATTTCACATTACATGCACATGCCACTCTGCCTTGCGCAATGGGAGAAAGGGGGAGTCATTCTTGATCCATCTGATTTCCTAAACGGGTATTATAGTTTAGCATGATGGATTGCAGTATGCATCCATACATGGAGGTCATTATTGAATTTTCGAGATCATTCATTGAGTGGAGAAGATCTATTCCTCAGTTACAATATCCTTTCCACAGTGGTAGAGATAATTTTGATCTGTTATATGGTCGGTTGTGATGGTGATGAGTATGAGGGATATATGGTTGGTATGATAAACTCTTGTACTAAATTCCGCCCACACTTTACTGTTGCCTCATTCCAGTTGAGCACCAGAATAATGCATGATATTATCCAGCATTTGAAATTGGTGAGAACATTAGAAAGTAAAAGCCCTCAAAATCTATCTCAAATCAACAATTCTAGGAATACTTGCAGAGGCCAGATGGTTCGATCATGCAGGCAGGAATAGTCAGAAGTGGATAGTGAAGCTGACTGGTGGGAATTTGTATTACGGGAAGGCGCCCAGCAACCAGCGGGTAAGGTAATTTTCAAACTGTTTCCCTATCTAAATTTCAGTTTGATGGATCTTCCAGTGGGATTATTCTGGGTGCCTTCCTCTTTCCCGTAAAATAACTGAATTTTGCCCCCCGGCGCCCCAAAGAAATCGATCGCCCTCATGTCGTCCTTCTTGCCTTAAATTTGAAGGATATCCTCGCCCCCACCCACATTTCCACTGTGACTCCCATACATCCATTTCGCCTCATCTCCATCCTTTATCCTCTTCCTCGTTATTTAACACTTTAACCCGCTCTCTCTCTCTTATCTGCTCTTCAGTATATCGTCGCTTCCGTCCATCTCTGGATTATTGTCGTCGTCAATCTCTCTGTCTACTGGAATCGACTTCATTTTAAGTAATTGAAGTCTTCGCTTGCTCTGCTTCTGCGAATCTCTCTATCATTCATACCACACATTCTGCCAATCATGGTGAGTCCTTCAATACATTCGAATACGATGTTTAGGGTGATTTCGTGGAAGACTGGTGTTCTGACTTGTACCCTCTTGCTACTAGGCTGAAACATCAACCGTCATCTCCAACACGGAGAATGTGCGTTTCCTCTTTGTTGATTTTACAATTTTTCCTTCGGCCGCCTCTGCGGTTTAGAGGAAACAGTCATACTGACTTTTGTGTGCTGGCAACAGCTCATGAAATACATGAGCCTCGACCAACGGGGACATGTCCAGGCTGAGTATGTCTGGATCGACGCTGTCGGTAACTGCCGCTGCAAGACCAAGGTATGCAACTTTGTTCCTACTTTCCAATCAAATCAAACCCGATCCTACGTGTTACGTGGAAGAGCGATTGTGGGCATAGACTCCGTGTGAATGGGACAGTCTTGGCCACGAGGATGGATACATGGATATTGCTGGTTATGGTCGCTGGGATGCAGGGCTTGCGAAGTGACATGAGGCGCGCTGTTATCTTAACGCGCGCGCTCTTTCGATAAGCCCTGCGCACGGTGACTGGAAACTGCAAGCCATGATTTCATATCTGCACCTTCCCGTGACACGTGACAGGCGATACAAAGCAGCACGATCTTGAGAAGCATGTTTGCTAATTCGAACACTCGTCCATCTAGACTCTCGCCACGCCTGTTAAATCTGTCGATGAGCTCCCTGAATGGAACTTTGACGGTTCTTCCACCGGCCAGGCCCCCGGTGACAACTCCGATGTCTACCTCCGCCCTGTTGCTATCTTCCCTGATCCGTTCCGCGGTGGCGATAACATTCTCGTTCTCTGCGAGACCTGGGATTCGGATGGAACCCCCAACAAGTTCAACTACCGTCATGAGGCCAACCGCCTGATGGAGATACACGCCAAGGAAGAGTTCTGGTTCGGTCTGGAACAGGAATACACCCTCCTCGGCACTGACGGCTGGCCTTACGGATGGCCCAAGGGCGGGTTCCCCGGTGCTCAGGGTCCTTACTACTGCGGTGTCGGAACTGGCAAGGTTTACTGCCGTGACATTGTTGAGGCTCACTACCGCGCCTGCTTGTACGCCGGTATCAAGATCTCTGGTATCAACGCTGAGGTCATGCCCTCCCAGTGGGAGTACCAGGTCGGTCCCTGCCAGGGTATTGAGAGTACGTCATAATCATTTCACTCGCATTGAATTAGCCAGTACTGACCAACACAACAGTGGGTGACCAGCTTTGGATGTCCCGCTTCCTGCTCCACCGCGTCGCTGAAGAGTTCGGCGTCAAGATTTCTTTCGAGCCTAAGCCCATCAAGGGTGACTGGAACGGAGCCGGTCTCCACACCAACGTCTCTACTGCCTCCACTCGTGCTGAAGGCGGTATGAAGGCCATCGAGACTTACATGCAGAAGCTGGAAGCCCGTCACAACGAGCACATTGCCGTCTACGGTGAGGGCAACGAAGAGCGTCTCACTGGCCGTCACGAGACCGGCAGCATCGACAAGTTCAGCTATGGTGTCGCCGACCGTGGTGGCAGCATTCGTATTCCCCGCCAGGTTGCCAAGGACGGCAAGGGTTACTTCGAGGACCGCCGTCCCGCCAGTAACGCTGATCCCTACCAGATCACCGGCATCATCGTCGAGACTGTAAGTTTGCACCTTTTCATGTCAAGGTGAACTTTGCTAACCACTCCATAGCTCTGCGGTGGTAACTAGATATCTTCGATATCAAAACAAAATGTGCAAACATTTCATTAGCGCTAGTATACCCGCCGGCGTCAACTGGGTGTAGAACTACAAGAGCGGCCTGGCAACGTGTGGAGCAAACATAGATTTCTTTTCTCGTTTTTCCCATCCTTAATGTCGGTATTTCAGGTTGTCACTCTTACTCTCGAGATGCCAGAGCTTGCGCCTTTGCGTTCGTTACCCACTGCTGCTGTTGCATTTTTAATCAAATTTCTTTGTCTTCCCATGTGGGTTATGTGTCACGTACAGCATAGAGGACTTCTTTCCGAGGTGAAATGGAGAACAATCATTTGATCAGGACAACTAAGCTTATATACAGTGGCAAGACCTTCTTTATGGTAGTAGTATACCACTCTACAACATTGTTTAATGCTGTTTTGCTGCATGGGTCCTGCAGTAGATGAATCAGCTTCGCTATATAACGTAATTCCCGGGTCAGCCGCCATCCCAGGTCAGCCGCCACCCCCCATTCGAATTCAACGCGTTCAAATTCGAAGCTATCCAAACCACTACCATGCCACGAAAACCGCGTCAAACCCCTAGAAATTTGGTGGAACAAGAGGGAAGGATTCAGTTAGCAATATCTGCTTTGAAAAAGAAGGAAATTTCTAGCGTTCAACGCGCTGCTGATATATTTGATGTGCCTAGATCTACCCTCCATGACCGACTCAATGGATGCCAATATCGAATTGAAAAACGCAACCATAATCACCAACTATCTCCTACGCAGGAAGAATCATTGGTAGAATGGATACTATCCAGGGATCGACGTGGAGTGCCCCCTAGGCCATGTCATGTGCAAGAAATGGGCTAATATCCTTCTTCAGGCAGATAATCCCTCTGGATTCAAACCTATTGGCAAGAACTGGGTATCTATCTTTACCAACCAGCGTGAGGAAATCAAAACTCGATATGCTTGACGATATAATTATAGCTGAGCTTAATGTGAGGATCCGAAGATCATTAAGGGGTGGTTTGACTGCCTATAACAGATTCAAATGCAATATGGCATCTCCTATAAGGATATCTATAATTTTGATGAAACTAGCTTTGCTATGGGCTTGATTGCAACTACTAAGGTAGTTATAAGAGCTAATATGCCAGGGAAGCCTCATCTTATTCAGCCAGGCAATTGGGAATGGGTTACAATAATTGAATATGTTAATATAACTGGTTGGGTGCTTCCTTCATGTATAATCTTCAAGGGGAAGGTTCATATTGAAGGATGGTATTAAGATCATAATCTACCACCTGACTGGAGAATTAAAGTTAGTGAAAATAGATGGATGATAGATGAGATAGGCCTTCAGTGGCTTTAAAAGGTCTTTATTCCTGTAATAACAGGCTGTATAGTTGGAAGATATCATCTCCTTATTCTAGATGGCCACGGGAGCCATCTAATACCAGGTTTTGATAAAGCCTGCAAGGATAATAATATTATTGCTATCTGCATGCCTGCCCATTCTTCTCATCTCTTATAACCACTAGATGTTGGTTGTTTCGGGCCTTTAAAGCATGCTTACGGAAAACTTATTGAGGACAAGATACGCGCAGGATACAACTATATTAATAAGTTTGACTTTCTTAGAGCATATCCAACAGCTTATCTAGAGGTTTTTAAGCCTCAAAATATTTAAAATAGCTTTGCAGCAGCCAGAATCTATCCTTTTAATCCAAAGAGGGTGCTTGAGAAGCTAAATATCTGTATATCTACCCCTACCCCCCTCCAAGCCGCGCAAGTCAATTAACCAGCTCATCATGGCTTGCTACACCTCATACACTTTGGCAATTACAAAAGCAAGCATCTTCAGTCAAGAAGCTTCTAAAACAACGATCTTAAAGCCCTTCAACGCCTTCAAAATTAGCTATACAGCAGCTTATCAAGGGTTGTGAAATGGCTATGCACAGTGCAGCCCTACTAGTGAAGGAAAACCATGATCTACGCGCAGCCAATGAGAAGGAGAAGCAGAAAAGGAAGCAATCTAGACATCAGATGACTCCTAATGAAGGACTCAGCATACAGGAAGCTAGGGATCTTATCCAGGTAAGAGATAAGCAAAGTAATGATATTGGGGGGTCATCTACTGGTTCTATACCTTTACATTCAGAACCCCCAAGACGCGCGCCACCAAGGTATTCAAATTGCTTTATTATAGGGCATATTAGAACTAGATGCCCTACACATAATACTAGCTAGATCCAATGGAATAATATATTATTTTGGTTGGTTTGGATAGCTTCAAATTTGAACGCGTTGAATTCAAATGGGGGGTGGCGGCTGACCCGGGATGGCGGCTGACCCGGGAATTACGTTATACGTATGGTGTCAATCTGCCAAACTTCTCGCCACGTACCTCGACATTTCCATATGGCTGTGGCCTGTATACCTTTCTAAAGGCCCTAGTGTCTGCTAAGTACTTGCAATGCCGCTATTCAATATGAAGCTGGGGGAGAGACCCAGGTGTGAGTATAAAAAGACAAACCTCCAAGGAGTTGGAGCTGAATATGGAGGTGGCTACCAGCTACCTAGGTTGTGACTTGTGAGTGCTCAGGCTAGGTAAGCCAAACCAAGCTAAGAAATCTGCTCCCATGAACACGCCATCATATAAAAAGCAATCCCCAAGCTCACAGTCCCACTCTATCCCCTGGGGGTCGCAGTCGGAGCAGGCGTCGAGATCGGCAGCTAATTCACAGCTCAGGACGTCGGTGTAGACCCGACCTGCGTGGTCGAGGAAGCTGGTCCCGGAGAGGGCCCGGAGAGGGCGGCGCGGCCGCCTGAGGTTGTTGACCGGCAGCGGGAAGTCGTTGAGGCCGGTGATTGTAGCGTTGAGTGCAGGCTTGTGGAGGAGGTTCGCATTCGCAAGGGGAGCGCTGGCCCCGTCCTCTGGATCTTGATCTTCGGAGCCGGCTGGGTCGCACTTCCGGAGATACGGGAAGAGCCCGTTGGGAGGATCGTCATAGATGAGATGGCTACCGTCGGCCTGGGGCAACCACACCCTTGGACTCCCCTACCGTGTAGGTATTGCCTCCACCCACCCCTCCCCCCCTCCCGGCTCTGGACGAAGGAGAGCTCCCACGAGCCCAGCGGGAAATTGCCCACGTAGATCTTCTGGCCCGGGCCTGGCGGTTGGTCCTTGTTATTCGGGGCCGTACGAGGGGGAAAACCGTGGTGGCATGGTCGACGTGACGGCCGAATAGACCGGCGGGTTCTGCTGCAAGCCCGCGGGATCCCAATGCAGGGTGTGCGCCCATTTTGCGGTTCGGATGGGCAGGGTCGTCGAACCAGAGATCCCCACTCCCGGGTGCTCTGAAGCCCTGCCTTTTTGACGGCCTGGCGATCCTGTTGGCTAAGCTGGTTGACCAAAAATGCAGCCCGGGCCGTAAGCTGCAGTGCATGTGTTGTTGCAGTCGTAGAACTCGGTGATGCAATAGTCGGCCTTCATGGCGGCTCCAGAGGAGCTGGTGACCTCGACGCCTAGATGACGGAATTAGCAATTGACGGGGGCGATTTGGACGGAAAACGGAAACATACAATAGGTTGGGTTTGTGTTTTCTGCGTCTGCTTCTTCAGCTCTCTGATGGACTGTCCCATTTCGGCCCCGTGGTCTCTATTCTCCCTCCTGGGGGATCAAACGCAAGGCCGGGCGGTCGTTGTAATTGGCCTGGCCAGGGGCGCCGGTTTGGCTATTCCCGAAAGGATATTCTTCGACCTCGCAGCCTATCAAAATCCCCCAGCAGGTCCTCTTGGTTGGATACTTGGTTGGATCGTTCCGGCGCGGGTTACCTCATTGCGTTTGGCGCCGCCGTCGTTCTCGTCGATTCCGTGGTAGTCCAGCCATCGGCCCGTGGCGTGGACCTTCTTTCCCTGTACGTCAAGACGGAGGGTGCCCCTTTTTGTCCATTGCCGAGCGGGCATTGTTGCAGACGTTCGGCCACTTGTCGACATCGCACACGAAAAACGGCATCGCAGACTGCTGGGTTCGGGCCGGCCTTGTAGGACGGGGGCGGACACGACCTCCTCTTACCAGGTTTGGCTAGGCCGCTGTCCTCACAAAGTGTCGTAACAGTCAATGGCATCCAGGGTCGTCGTCGTCGTGAAACTGGGAACCGGGGTAGTGGTGGTGGTGGTAGTGGTGGTGGAAGTGGGATTTCCAAACACCTCATCGGGATCATACTGGCCAGGGATAGGGATAGGGATGATATGAAGATGCTGGGCTTGAAAGGGATCTCGGCAATTTCTGATCCATGGGAAACCGAACAGCTGTGTAGTGAGGCACTTGAGGCTGCAGTAACACTAGTTATAAATTTGAGTCTCGTTCGCTTGGACTGACCAACACAGAAAAGGTCTCGGTAGTTAGCTGTATGGCCACAGTCCCCAGAGGTAAGACCGTAAGAGTATCCTGTAGGCGAGACAGACTCGATCGGGTGTAGACTAGGAACTGGAACTTCGTAGCTTCAGTTCTTAGCTACAGTACTAAGCAAAATGAAGCTCTAAACTAGTCCTTTGGCCTCCTTGGCTGGGACTGAGTGGACCTCAGGCCAACTAGGGTTACTATCCGTGCCTATAGTGGATACATCTAGTAGTCTAGTAGTCTAGTCTAGTACGAGCAGAAAAGGCAGCTTCGAGCGTAGACTAGTAGCCATGTCCATATACAATAATAATAAGGACCCATCTCCGCAGTGTTATCTTCATCTATGAGCAGAACGCCCATGCACCAACACCTCTAGAGGACGGCAAGCGGGATACGATACTCTCCACCGTCTGGACAGGAATGTCGCAACGATACTGATCTTGGGCTCCCTAGTCCCCGTGGTGGTTCGCTGCACACCCGAGACCACTCGCGTGCATCGTGAGCTGGAGACATTTCGCAGCCGAGGGCAGCTGTTTATCGAAACCTGTCCGCCGCCTTCCTACTTTCTATCGGCCGGTAAGCGCTAGAATCGGAGATAGAGTCAACTGAGTCTTTTAGCCGTGCCTAGGACTAACGCATCTGCTAGTGGACCACTCGAGCCCCCTGCAATGGGCCCTTGCAGCAGCGCATGCATGGTTCGTGTGGACCCTGCTCGATTATAGTCCTCGTTTTCGCTTAGTGACAGGTGCTCCAAAGTCTCCGCAAAACACCTTAAACTAAGTCTCTTGATACCTATTAGTCTTTTTGATAATATTTGCATTGTACACTGCGTTATCACAGAGCAAAGAAGCCAGTATCTATCTTTTATTTTTCCAAGTCAATCGTGAGCGACCGATATATTTACCACATGTCTAAACTATGCGCCCCTCCTGAAGATGCGGAAAAGACCCGAAGACCCCAAGCCCTGCAAACCACGCTGTTGAGCCTCGCGCCTAGCCGCACCATCGACAATCTTCCCCGGCTCATCCCCTCCGCGAGCGCGCCTCCTCCGCTCCGCTAGCCAGAGACCAGTCTGCATGATCACCGACGAAAGGATACTAGCGCACAGGATACCCACCATCACAAGATTAGATTTGCGGAACTTGGCGCGGCCGGGGGCGGCACTATCGCTGGGCCAGCCGGTGTAGAGGGCGTAGGTGGTGAGGATGCTGCCGAGGTTTCCCCACCCAGAGACGACGGCCGAGGCGGCGGCGACGCCGACTTCGCCGTGGCGGGGCTGGAAGACCTCGGTTGTCCAGGACATGGTGATGGGGACGGTGGGCCCGAGGCCGAAGCCGACGATGAGGAGGCCGCCGTAGCGGGGCCAGGGGTTCGAGGCGGAGCCGGCGTAGGTTGTTAGGAGGAGGCCGAGGATCTGGAGGCAGACGGGGAGGGAGAAGAAGAGGGCGCGGTGTTTATGGAACCGGTCGGAGAAGGGGGTTACCAGCAGGATACCGAGGAGATCCATCTACTGATGTCAGTTGACGCCTTTGGCACCCGGGGGTTTGGTTGGCAGGGGGACTTACAAGCCAGATGGGGGCTGTGAGGAGACTCAGGTCAATCCCGCTTAGGGACTGGTCGATTCCCCTGATGATGACGGTGGCGTAATTCTGGACGCCGATGCCCACGCCTACTACGCCAAAGTACATGACTAGCAGCGGCCACAGGCGCCAGTCGAGGAACACGCGGAGAAGGTCGCGGAGGGACCACTGCGGACGGTGGTAGACGCGCTTCAGGTCGTGGTAATGGATCTCTGCGTCCCGGCCTGCGAGGGCGGGCGGGCTGCGCGGGAGCCACCGGAGATACTTGCGCTGGGGAGGTTCGACGCCGGGAGCCAGGGGCCGGTCGGGAAGCCACCAGAGGAGGACGATGCCAACAGCAATGGTGATGATGCCGTAGACGAGGAACATCCATTGGAAGCCTACGAGGCCACGTTCGCCGTCCATCTTCTGGAACCCTGCCGAGACCAGGCCCACGACAGCGGCGGAGATCTGAGCGGCAGTGAAGTATTGGCCGATGCGCTTGCCCGTCCTAGAGGGAGGGTAGAAGAGGGTGAGGTAATAGGTCATTCCGGGCCACATGCCGGCAATGACGATGCCGAGAAGAAGACGAAGGAGACTTGTGCGTGGTGTCAGAAATTGCAAACTCCACCGGATCAGAGATTTAAACATACTATAAGCTCCACGCTGCTTTCATGGCGGCCATGCAACTGCCAATGATACCCACGCTGATCACGATCCGACTCATCCAGACATGCGGGCTGAGTCTGGTCATCACCAGATTCGAGGGCAAGTCAAAGACCACATAGCAGACGTAGAACAAGGCGAGACCGGTCGAGATCTGATGAGGCGTCAGGTGCAGCACGGACCCGAGGTCGTGGCCTACGTCCATGTTCATCGTCTGTGCCAGACCGACATTGGATCGGATGGCAGAGCAGAGAAAGTACAGTACCCAAAAGGCAGGGATGATTCGATAGTCTAGTTTTCTAAATTGGCTGTGAGCTTCTTTCTGTAGCATCACGGCAGGCACTAGGCGGAGACTCACCTATAGACGCGCTCAATCTCAGCGACGCTGGGCTCATCGCCAGATTCGACGTCATTCTGAGTGTCAGTTGATGGTTCCCGGACATTCTCGGTGTCTTGATGCTTTCCCACGTCTTGGGGACGGATTTCTGGTTCTGATGAGGACATGTTGAGGAGCTGGTGTGAGTGGTGGGATATCAATTATGATTAGAGCTGCATTGATGGTGCAGGCGAGTATACAGAATTCTAAAATGATTGAATCAAATAGAAGAACAAAGAGACCGGTCGAGTCGGGACCACAGGATATAACGCAGAACCTTCAACGTATGGAAGAGGTCTGCAAGCCCCGCACGGCCAGATAGGTCGAAGCGTCAAATATCAGGATTGCAATGATGAAGATTGTCTTCCCACACTGGCTTGTCCGAGATGGGTCTAATGATTTCAATTAGCATGTGTCGCTGCCCAGATAGACATTAAGTCTCATTCTTCCGGAATAGGCAATGAGAAAAAATCATCCATCAGGATACTGAAAATCCCCTCCAGCGTATACTGTATGTAGATAGACTTGCAAGGAAACATAGTCTCATTATTCAACGTACCTGGTTGATGACGCAGAGCCGAGGCTGATATTAGTACTTTATTCGCAGTAGTTAAGTCCGTCAGGACTCAGAACAAGCAGAACGAGTCCAGACACTCGTCAAATCAACAAGATCACAGCAACAAAAAAGTATACCAAGAAACTCAACCAGGATATCTGAATATCCCCAAGTCTCAAGTCTCAAATCTCAATATTAATCTGATCGTGGAGCGGAGTTTGCAATCCGACGATCGGACTAACTTTTTTTTACTTTTTTTCCTGAAGCTTCGACGCTTAAACCCGGAGCGGAAATTCCTCCCGCCAAAAGCCAAACTTTGTTTGAACGACGGGTTATCTGGATAGCTTCATCTCTTCGTTTCTATTCCTTTAATGGTATCGCGAAGAAAAACTATATTCAGCGGACCTACCCCACACTCAACGACCGGCTGGTCACAACGCCAATTTCCCAACACTCACTCACTGCAGCAGACGCCCCAAACCTTGAATGAGTCACAGTACGTATATAGTTTAGCTTTCGAGCTGCCGATGTCGGTCAAAGCCACTTCTACCGATTCCGCTCTGGTGCGGGATGTTGGTGGTTCTAGATGCTCTTATCCGTGAATTTCGTAAATAGTAAATACTGATATTCGTCATGCCCCCATCGAAGGTCTGGTTTGAGTTGCTACTTTGCGTGGTACTCCCCAGCTTTTCTTTCAACCAACTTATATGAAGGACTCGATCGGACCAGAGCAATGCATGTCATGCTGTAATCAGCTGTATGATGAATCGATAGATGGAAAGTAGTGCACCAATGAGAGGGTTGTATCCTGCAACACAAACTCTGAGAAAAAGACTAGATGTGATGCGATGTGCAGTTAACCCGAGGGGACGGCTACGACGACGGAAGACCTATAGATATGTACTTCTACGATGGACAGGAAAGCCTGGAATCTGATGGTCAAAATGAAAAATAAAATCTAAAATCTCAGTACAATTAATTCAAGCGGGGTATATATATAGCCATGCAGTAGACAGTATCAACCGCCCGACTCATACAACATTGCCTCATCTAGAGGTCTATTATTCGTTGCGTCAATGATCTAGGCCTTTTCCATGCGCTCCACTCTTTCGGAGCTCGTGTTCTCGTCGCTGTTGCTTCCGGTTTCCTTGTGAGCGTGGCTCAACACGCTTGCACGGCGCACGGCGTCGTCCTCAATATCATCCAGAGTGAGCAAAAGTTCGCCCTTCTTGCCATACATGTGTGGCTCATCCCTCGCAACGCGAACCACAGAGAAGATGCTCTTGGTCTTTCGGAAAATACGGTCCATCTCCTCCAGAGACCGTCTGGTAGTCTCAGGGTAGAAGAAGTACACAACGGGGAAGATGGCGGCGTTGCTGTCATTGGTTAGCGGTCTGTACCGTAAACAGAAGAGTGGAGGGTAGCTTACATGACGGCAAAGATAATGTAGGTCCGCCATTTGATGTTCTCGAATGCCACCGGAGTAATCATGACGACCATAAAGTTGAAAATCCAGTTCGAGGACGTAGCCAAGGCATTGGCCGGGGCGCGAATCTTCAGAGGCACAATCTCGGCAGGGTACAGCCAGGTCATACCCAACCAACCAATGGCGAAGAAGGTGTTGAACACGAAGAGGAAGACGGCACAGGCGACTTTGGATGCGTCGGTGCCGAGACTGGCAGTGACGGCCAGGATCACCATGGAGATCGACATACCGGCGGCGCCAAACAACATCAGGGAACGACGACCGAAATGCTCAATGGTGAACACGGCAATCCAGGAAGCAATGAAGTATTCGGTTCCGTTGCAAGCGGCAACCAGCCGGGACTTGATCATGTCCATGCCCAGCTGCTGCTCCAGCACAACGGGAATGTAATAGGTGATCAGGTTGATTCCGGAAATCTGCTGGAACATCTGGTTGACGTAGGCGAGCACGGTCCGGTGGAAGTGGCGATCTTCAGTCATGGTGAACATGTCGCGGAACGAACCCTTGCTCATCTCCAGGACGGTAGCCTTGATGGCGGTAAATTCGGTCTCGATAAAAGTTTCATCGGCGTCGCTACCCAACAAAGCGGTCAGAGTCTGCTTTGCTTCATCCTCGCGGCCCTTGAGGACCAGCCAGCGCGGTGATTCGGGAAGCCACATGACAAAAACCAGGATAATCGCTGCAAAGAAGATCTGGAAGGCCAAGGGGAAACGCCAGGCCACTTCGTTGGGGTCCGCAAAAAGCAGACCAAAATCGATCCAGTAACTGATGGTAATGCCGCAAGTGATCATGGCACCCTCGATCATGACCATCTGACCGCGGCGGTTGGACTTGCAGCATTCCGATTGCCATGTGGGCACTGTCGAAGTGTTCATACCATTACCTGTTTTTCGTCTAATTAGCACATGGGTCCTCTTGAGTTCGGGAATTATGCCTGTACTGGCAGGCGAACTCACCAAAACCGGTAACCAAACGACCGACGATCAACTGCGGGAGATGGTAGGATGTACACTGCAGGATCGCTCCAACCACCATGATCAAGGAACCGAGGAAGATTGTCTTGCGGCGACCCAGCCAATTACCCACCCAGATTGTAGGAATCGATCCGGCGAAACATCCCAAGTTGTAGGCAGCAACAACGATACCTGAGCCAGATTGTAAGCGCCAGACCGAGAAAACAGGGCAGTCAAGACCTGGAATTGATAACCCACCTTGGCGCGTAGACTGGGCACTTCTTTCAGACGGGCTTAGGCTTTCAAAATGAGGTCCGTTAAGGGCGATTGTTGGGAAGTATTTGATGAATGACTCCAAGGTCAAAAGACCACCAGTGACACCTTGATCATAACTAGTCGGAGAAGAGTCAGGTATCGCCAGCGGAAAGCGCAGAATGCAAAATGCCAGAGAAAGATGGATCCATCCCAGACTCACCCAAACAGCAGAAAGTCCATACCGGCAATGATACCGATAGCCAGCTGGAGCTTGTGGCCTTGAAGGCCCAGATACCGTTGGGTTCCCATTCTTGCGCAAAGCACTGTGCCTCGATGCTTCAGTGAATGCTATACAAGATCCGTTCGAAGAATCAGACAGCTGAAAGGCTAAAACCCCAGAGCAGACAGACTCATGTAATGGGAGGGAAAGTCCAGGACTGATTTGAAGGAGGGAACAGAGAGAAAAGAAGTATTCGGAGAAAAAGAGATCAGCGTCGCACGAGGGAAGCGGATGGGGTTTTTAAAAGAGACGGATTATTAAATATAAGTTCAGGAAAGAAAGAGCCAATAATGATCATTAATACTAGGATCCTGGTGAAAGTATGAGCTCAAGCATGAAGCAGTCACAGAGAACCTAAGGCAGGTACTTTGCCCAAAGCAGCAATGAGCGGGCATGATTTGGTATCACAGACAACCTCACGGGCAAATCAGCGAATACCATCCTGGAGGAGATTGGATAGGGACGGTTGGAAATGAACTCCACCATCTCCGGATCGAGCCAGGCAGCGAATTTCCCCGTCATTTCGTGAGTCGGGTAGTGGCTCGTTCATTGCATTGGGGTATGGGGGTATGGGGGTATGGGGGGTACAGAGGCGCGGTGTATACAGATTCCCCACTTTGACCCCGACCCTGATGAGGAGAAAGTCCAAAGGACGATGATTGGTGTGGCTTGATTGATCGGCGGGGAATGGCCGGCGTGAAACTTAGATTTAGCATGTAGAATTGTTGATTGAAAACATTATTATTACTCGATATCGATATCTCCCCAATCCCTATGGATTATTATGCCGTCATGGTGTGGGTTTGATTCTCTTGGTTTAACCGCAGACGTCCATGCGCTAACCTGTTTTGGGCAACCCGAGGAATACTGGTCCAGAAGTAAGAGAAGTACTGAGTACTTCGAGCACGGGTAGATACACGAGAGTGAGGAGACGATTCCGCGGTCGGAAAAATCGCCGGTTCTTTGGATTCTTTTGTTGTGTTTCTCTTTGGTTTTACATAAGATGTCACGTTGGAGAATGGAACAATGGTCACTAAACATGTAATTGTCCCTCGCGCTCCTGAGCTCGTGATTGCTCGCGTGGTCCTTCGCGTGGCCGTCACTTGAATACTAGATATACTTCGTACCCATGGGGCCATGGTCGACTACTATGCCATCAGACATAAGCGCCGTCAAGGTGGGTTGATCTCGATTGACATCTTATGACTGATTATTCATGAATCTGGAGTTAGAGAGTCTCGGAGACAACTGATCCGTACGGAGTAGTCCATACTCTCTACGTCTTCCGTAAGGACGCCAGACAGTAGTACGTATCCTCATTTGCCAATAACAAAGCAGCGGAGACGAACTACATAGGTCCCTCGTGTTTCTCAGATGCTGTCTCATGCGATGATGCAAGTTCACAGCTAGTTAGTGAAGAGAATTGGCGCAGTTGACTAAGTTGAGTGAAGTTCAGGCCGATCTCCAACGTCCAAGGCCGAAACACGGGCCGGAGAAACCCAGTCCGGGATACACAGCATCTTGGCCGAGAACAGATCGGCCCCACATCCAAGACCGGGAATCTCTCCAGAAGCAAAAGAAAAGAAAACGCAAGCCTTCAAGGAAGGTCTATGCTCAAGCGCGAGAAAAGAAATGTATTGTCAATATATATATATCTCTCAGTAGAGACGCATGAGTCCTTTAGTCGTGAAGTGTAGGTGTAGGATACCATTTACCAAAGTACCTTACTTCGGCAGTTGGTAAGGTACCTTTTGGTGCCTTTGGTCCACCTTCCCCAGGTCGCTTCTCTTCCCGTGGACGCCCTCCTCCCGCCCTTTTTGACTTTGCCCACCAGCAACTCGGACCAAGTAACCACTAAATCGTACAGAACGCGAATAGTCGCCTACCCTCCATCAAAGTCCTCGACTCGGGAGCCGGGAGGCTCAAGCACTTGACTGAAATGGAACGTGCACCGCCGCTCCACCGACTCTTTCGCTCTGATTGACTCGTTTAGCCGTTATCGATGATTGATGTCGCACCGCTGCTATGTCTGCCTGCGCTGGAGACCCGCCGGAACTGCCTATTCGGGCAATTCCGGGCCTGATCATATCATATCATACCATCTCGCTTCATTTCGCTTCGTCGTTCACGGTCCGAGTCTTTTGACAAGTGCCATAAATCATAATAGGCAGTTTGGATTTCCATTGCTCGTATCTGAGTCCTGTCTTGCTCGCCATTGACTGCGTCTTACGTTCGCTGGAGCTTAAGCGTCACGTAGTATTCATAATAACGCGTCTTTCAGCCTAGTGCTATAACCTTTGACTTTCACCCATCCATCAAGTCGTCCGATCTAGATACCCACGGCTTGAACCGAACTTCCCCTATTTTGCAAATATGCAAACGGTGGATTCCAGAGTGAAGATGGCCTAATCTACGTTTTGACGATGTCGCAGAAACGCGGCGGTGCTTGGCGGTTGGTTTCATGGCGCTGATGACGGTAGTGGCTCAATTTTCATGTGTCCACCGAACGCTCTGAACCTCTTCATTAATTTACAAACCTACACCATCGGGACCTTATACTAAGCTCCCGTATTCGATCCACGATACGGTGACGCCACAGTTCCAGCCGGAAATCCTCCAAGACCCTAATCCCATTCAATTTGGGCTATCACATATATATATGTATATATTCAGGGCTTTTCCGCACATCGTAGAAGTGCATTTCTGCAGTTCTTTCATTGTCATGGCCTTTCCCCTGGGTTAACTGCCATGGCATCACATCTAGTTCCCTCCTTAGAGCATTATGTTGCAGGCTACTTACCCTTTTGATTGGTGCACTACCTTCCATCTATAGAGTCACCATACACTTCTCTGTCCGTGCGACCTCGCCATTCATTAACCCGGGTTATCCAGTCACGAACAAGGGCTTCAAAAACACTTGTCTCGTCGATAGGAAGGCCATGCGTACCACGATCTAGAACAACATAGGTTGATCGTGGATAGAGCTCCAGCAAGCGAAGGCTGTCTCGATAGCCAACGCTCTCATCTTGCCGACCACATATAACAAGCGTGGGTGCAAAGAACTTGGCACCTTCATTGTCCAAGGAAAAAGATAACTGATATCGATGTGGATCTTCTCGGATCGGATCTAACACCTTACTGTCGGCTTTCCTCTCCGCTGGAAGCAAAACATCCTCGTATTTTGCCTTCAAATTTTGAACGTAAGCAGGCGTTTGAACGAGAACGTTTCCAAGAAGACCCTTGTCTTCGGCCGACATGTCCGACATGAGTTGCTTATTTGCAACCAGAGGTTTGAAAGCATCGAGATCGCGCATGCTGTCCTTTGGCTCTATGAGCGGTACGCGCAATAGTAGACCATCGACTTGCTCAATATATTTTTGAGCTATCGCACGTGCAAGGTACGCGCCACATGATGAGCCGACAAGTAAGAATCTTGACCTCCCAAGTCGAGAATCAATGAATTGCACCAGGCGAAGGTAGATATCGTCCAGATCCTTGACATTATTTGCAGGTGTTGCGCCCATGCCTGGAAGGTCCACGTAAATCCGGCGAAGTCCCGGTGTTTTGCTGAAAACGGGCTCAAAGTCCAGCTCCTCGACTCTTGCCTCCATCTTCCATCCATGAATGATCAAAACGGGAAGTCCTTCGCCGATTTCATGTGCAGATAGAATAGGTTCCATTTTGTTACTGTGGTGAATTTGTGGACATATGAGGAGCAGGAACCAGAGTAGTCGATCACAGGGGTACAGATCATTTAATTATAGACAATAAACAAGCCATCTTATGGTGCTGACACAGTGCTGCTTACTCCTAAGTTAAAATGTGGCCAGATTGTCATCAGTCGCCTAGTTTGCTCAATTTGCATGAGTCATGACTAGTCATCCAGGCTTTTCATCCTAAGGTACGTAGGCCCTTGTATCTTTCATATAATATTCTATTAGTAGGTATGACTGGATAATATCACCAACAGGAATTTACACCAACCACATATTGGATCTGTCGGTTCGGCAGAGTATCTCAATGTTTCCTGACATGGAAGGCGATATCAGGCACCACAGTATCAATGTTGATTTGATAAGATCGGTTTTCGAATGCATCCACACTACTGGGCGATCCAAGGCCGAAATGCAGGTTTGAGCTCTACGTAGGACTACAAATCCGGCTACAGGGGAGTCGGGCCGATCATCTATATGTTACATCGGAGGTCATTTCATATCAAGTCGTAAATTCATCATATCCGAGACCACAGACAGGAAGGCTGCCTTCCGTCGACAACATCACAAATAGTCAACAGTCAATGCGAGCCCTCTGCCCGATTGCACCCCGAATGTCTTCCTTCAGATCTGGTTTGGAAGAGTTCCGGGCCCGCCCGGTTGAGCTTGGATAGCCAGCCGCCAGCGACGGCAGCAAAGACAGGAGGCTAGCGAATATGGAGTACACTGGTAGTAGCATCAAGGTTAGACCGGAAATGGTCAAAGCTGTCGAGCAGACAACATCCAAGGACGATCACGACGCTTGCGCATGACATCGGATCCAGACATCGTCAATCGAACGGCAGATACCGCCTGGCACAGTGTTCTCCACCATGCGCCCAGGTTTACCATCCACCACCACCGCCCGACCAACCGCCCGCTTCGACATCTCCTTCAGTATTTTCATTGGTGACGGGGCAGCGGTGTCGGTATTCCAATCATCGCCCGCGCCATTGGCTTGGGTGTCGTTGTTGTCCTGACCGAAACTCTCACTGGCAGCCTGGGGGCAGCGCTTGACGATGTGGCCCACTGTTACATTGGTCAGCATGTATCGTATTTTCTGACATCCCTTGGCAGATCACTTACTTTCACCACAATTGTTGCACTTGACCTTGGACCACTCCTTCTTCTGAGGGCAGTCACGGCTAAAATGTCCGACTAGAATATCATCCATTAGACTTGAGGTACGAAAAACAGCCGATCATATGGAATCTTACCTTCGTCACAGTTACGGCAAGTCACGGTTGACACATCACGAGGTTTGTCACAATCTCTCGCCATGTGGTCCTCAGATCTGCTGCAATTAGAATGTCGACGGTGACAACAGCTCCTTTCTCCGAGACTTACCCGCAGTTACGGCAGGTTCTAGGGGCAGGTGCCTGAGGACAATCCTTTGCAAAATGGCCCACTGCAGTTCATTAGTATATGCATGTGTGGTGGTCAGCGTCGTTCTAAACATAGCGCTTACTCTCATTGCAGCGCTTGCATTCGACCCCCTCGGCAGAGCGGGGATTGGGACAGTCGGCTGCCTTATGCTCCGGGGATCTGTTCAAGTCAACGCAAGCCTCGAAAGATGAAAAGAGAAAGAACGACATACCCGCAGTTACGACAGGCAAACCTGTCGACGCGAGGCTCAGTGCAGTCGCGAGCACGATGTCCGCTGGCATTACAGTTGACACATTTGACTTCGACCCTCTCCACCAGAGCACGCTCTTCCTTGCAACCACGAGCAGTGTGACCCATTTCTGCTATTCTTTAGCATTATTCCTAATAGCAGCGACATCCGAGCAGAGAAAGTTCTGCTTACCACCGCAGTTATTACACTTGGGAATTTGTCTATCGTAAGGGAATCCAGCGTCCTCAAGGCGCTCAAGGTTCTCTTCAGGGTCGGCGGGCCAGCGTTCCTTGAGGTTCGCGCGCTGCGGCTTAGGACTGAAGTAGAATGCAACGACATACTTGCAGTTCAACTTGCCCTGGAGGTTGATCAAGCTGATGCTGTCGCCGACTGGTTTCTCCTGCAGTGATAGACACCATCAGTATTTCTCAAGGAACGTACAACATCAAGAGCTTTCGAACAAACCATGGCAATGAGGTAAATGTTGAAATTCTCCTCACGCATTTTCTTCTCAATGTCCACAAAAGTGGCCTGAGGAACCGCCTTGGAATAGACCTTGAGGCCCTAGAGGGTTGTCAGCCACCAACCTTCGTGTTTCAATGCGTATAGGTCAATTTCATTGCCTACCTCACGGAAGTCCTCCAGATCTCTCTCGTCACTAGCCTTCTTGAGGCCAGCCCAGGCCTCCTCGGGAAGCTTGTCAGGGATATCGTTCAGATCGAATTTGCGATTCTCGGTGCACTCGATAGTCTTGTGACCTGATGCATCTTTTGTCAGTCACCTTTATATATCTGCGCACGGCCACTGACATACCTTCGGACTGGCAGTTCTTGCACACATCAGGTGGTCTATCAGGACACTCCGCAGCCGGGTGTCCCTCCTTGCTGCAGATACGGCAAGGACCCTTGAACACACGCGGCTTGATGCACTCTGCCTTGGAATGACTATACAGCATTAGCATTGACAAACATTGACTTGTAGCGTAGAGTTACTTACCCCTCCTCGCCGCAATTGAAGCAAGCCATACCCTTACGAGGTTCGGGACATTCACGCGCAAAGTGACCATCACCTCCACAACTGGGTCTTGTCAGCAGCAGAAACGTCATAGACCTTCCCAGGGTAGGAAGACACATACTTGCCCTCTTCACCAGCACCGAAGGTAGGCTCGAACTGACCACCAGATTGATCACCGCCCCATTTGCTCTCGCCGAAGTCTCCAGCAGGGGTGGAGCTGATTGGGTTGATATTCTCGTCGGCGAAACCTGCTAAACAAAAAATGAGTATACACCTTTCCGCAGATGTTATCCTTATTCCTTGCCGGTACCGGCACAAGTTGATGAGGCTCCCCGCAACAGAGCAGGACGGCCAACACAGACTGTCCGCCACGGCTAGAAAGGAAGTACGAAGGCGTACGTACCAGCGCCGTTGTTGTCATTCCAGCCGCTTGTTTCACCGGTATTCCAGGCATCTGCCTCGCCGGAGTTCCAGCCAGACATCTCGACTGTTTGTTCGCGCTCGAAACTAAAAGAGAGGCAAGTTAGGCGACAGTGTTGTCAAGGGTATTGCTTCGCAACAAGGGATTTTGTGAGAATATTAAACATGTGTCTCTCTTGAGAGAGAAATGGAAAAGGCAAATTGTCCTGATGCAAAAGTTTCAGAAGCACACAGAACGTGGTTTGAGGGGCCGATGGAGAAGTCTCCTGGCAGACTTGACTTGATCAAAGCATAGTGGAAAGACTTACGCCTACACGATTCTCCCTAGAGGAATCAAGAGATAAAAAGGGAACAGATTTAGAAAGACGTAAATATGTAGAAAGGAGATGAATGGAGACGGGGAAGAATAGAGAAAATGAGGAAGAAGAGTAGGTGAGCTCGAGGAGCAACAAACAAACGACAACAACAACACCTCAACCTTTGTTTGTTTCCTGAGAAAATCTTGCCCAGATGAGCAATATTCACAAGAAAAGCTTCAAGCTGTTGCCTGCCTGTGTCCTCAGGCCAACAACCGAGCTATATGGATTTTGTGCTAACGCTGACGAATTTGCAGTCTGGTTTACATGGTTCGAATATTCGATTGCCATAGTCTCACTTATATCAAGTAGGCATCTGCGAGTGACCTCATGCTGTATGGCTTCATTTCCTCTGTCTGCCTATAATTGTTTAACAGCAATTATATTGGCACCAGCTACTGATAGGCTTAAGGTACTTTTCAAAGCCATACTAGTCCAGTAGCGTGATTTAGGCAATTCTACATTTCTACCATGAGACAAGAGGTATTTTAGAAGCCATAAATCATCATATTAGAACCCTAGTTACAGAGATACCTGGGCAAGTTCTAGCCAGTAATGGTAAGAACAACACCAAGATGGCGATGAGTAAAAGTACACAAGGGTCATCAGCTCCTACTCGAGAATCCTCATGCCATCAACCAATCCTTTTCCCACGGCCCTATGCAATGACCAAGCGGATGACCAAGTCGAATTGCGAGTAGCGTACCTGGCATCACTCAGGTTTGATCATTGCCAGCCGCGAATACTTCAGCCACAACGTTCAATTTCTGCTTGAGCTTTTTATTCTCTTCGGTCAGAGCGTTGAGGCGGGAGATATGCTCAAGGCAGTGTTCGCATTCGGTATTGGTGGCTCCATTGGCGGCATCGAGAGCACCCTGGTTCTTCTTCTCGCTCATCTCCTTCAGTTCAGCCTCGAGCTTCTTGACCTGATCGATTTGCTTCTTAAGGTCGCCTTCGAGGTTTCTGTTATGGAGCTGGAGCTCTCTAATTTCCTGTTTCCATTCGGCTCCCTTCTCCTCCAGCTTCAGTAACTCCATCATAAGATTCTCATTTGTCTCGTCCAACTGCGCGTTACGGGCACGCTCTTTCGGGAATTCTCTCATGGCCATGGCCGCCTGCGTAAACAGGCGTGCGCCATGCTGCATGGATTGGTATTCGTTGCTTCCAGAGTCCGTGAAAGCAGTGGTGGCGGAAAAAGGAGGAGTGGGAGGACGAGGAGCCATTTCTTGTTCAGGCTTTGATGGCGAATCTTCGTTGTTGGTACTAGGTTCTTGATTCTGTGCAGAATGACGATTGGTTGCAGGAGATAAGCTTGGACGAGCTCTCTGCACCGGTGACTCGATTGCAGAGGTTGCGTCAGATTTGTTCGTGTCTGCTGCGTTCTCAAGAGAGCGAGAATCTGAAAGTGTTGGCTGAGATGAGGCAGATGCAGATTTAGTAGTTTTGTTAGATTTTTTCGCGTTCTGCAGTGTGTGAGGGTCAGGGCTAGCGGGTGTTGTGCTGAATGGATCGCGTGCACCAGGTTGACCAGTGAATTGAAGCTTTGTACTTTTGGATGGGCGCTTCAGGCCAGAAGCCGAGCCCACGACAGTATCGTTCAGCTGCTTGCGAGGCGTATTACGAAGCTGTCGAGCAGTGGGAGAGCGGCCAATGTCACCTCTAACGCTAATGTCCCCCCGTCAGAGTCACTAGCCTCGCTAGGGTCGAAGTCTGGGTCGTTGACATTGTTTGCTGCGACATCACCAGTCTTGGTTTGCTTGCTGGGGTGTGTCTCGTTGTCTCCGAGGTCCAGCAGACGTTTGTTCCCTTTACTGAGCTGAGTAGTGTTGGTCACTTTATTCTGATTGTTCGACTGGTCAACACGAGGTATATTAGCATGGACTCCGACTATTGTACACGATATTACAAATGAGATGACATACCATTTCCTCAGTCGCTTTATTACCATTGTTCGCCTGATCAGCATGAGGTATGTTAGCATCAAGCTCTGACTATTACACGAGATACTCCATGAGATAACATACCTTTTCCCGGGCCTCCTTCTCACGTTCAATTTTCAGGTCCTATAAGTATTAGCAATGCATAAATTGCTTTGTGTCATCCCAACTCACAGAGTACTGCTTGCAGAGAGCATTCCCACTGCGGCCTGGAAAAGCCTACAGAAAAGGTCAGCTATAGTCCTTCAGATATATGAAGTATGGTCATGTTACCAGCTTGATTTGATCCCAAGGCAAGTTAGGATGTCTGTCCCGGTAATTGAGAAGCCGAAGTTTCTCTGACTCTGACCAGCGAGTTCTAGGGATCTTCGTACTTCTCGGCATTGAGAACGACAAGGTCCCGAGGAAACAAAGGGGAAAAAAGAGCAAAAAAACACAGTCTGAGGAAAGGCTGTTGGACCAAGCCTTTATAACTGGGCTTGTTATGGCTATGGGAGATACTTTCAGACTGGCTGCGTTTGTCTGGGGCTCAGACTCTCAGACTCTCCGAACAAGACAAAGAAGACTAGGATAATCCGCTAGTGAGTCGATGTATCTCCTCTGAAAAGGTGCTGGTAACCAACAGAAACCAATTAGGAGGATGAAGGGCTGGCAAGGCTGAAACCAGATGAAAGGGTCAATGCCTGAACAGGTTGAGATCGTGCGAAAAAGTCCTGCTGCGCCGAGACTCTGTGAAAGATTCTGTCTAGCCGAGACTTTGAGTGCATCTAGCAGACGGTGAAGTATCATCTTAGGAGAACAGAACGGGCAGATTGTCTCTCTTCTATGCTTAACAAGGTCTATCGAATCATTGAGTTGAAGTTGCCGACTATGAGAAACCTATATAACAATAGCGGAGTGTCTACCTCCGTTCTTGAGCTGGTATTGCCTCTCAGGACAATATGTCATTGATGAGAACCATTAGAGAGAGCTCTATATTGACACATCACTGAAAAAGGAGGTATGTGAAAATCAAAACGAAAAATCCTATTCACAGACTGCCTCTACTGACCAAATGACACCCGGATAGTTAGCTATATCAAGGCAGAACCAACAGCCATTGAAAGGAGAAAAAGCAAAACGCAGCCGTTTACGCATGCCATCATCTCGTTTGAGCTAGCTGCATAGCCCAGTGGATTTGTTTATGTAGCACGAGGATGTTGAAAGACCTCCTATCGAAATTGCGGCACAGTCAACTTGCATTAGGGGTGAAAAAACTTTTTCGATTCTGCCTTGCAATTGACATGGATTCTTCCAAGGCAGACGTTAGTGTCAATGTCGCTTGGTTAGGATATGGTAGAATGGGATTTCTAGGGATTTTTGGATTACTATTATTAGGACTGTGATGGAGAATCTAGCATGATCTGAGCGAGTCGTGTCTTGGGTTTGATAAGTCAGTGTGTGATAGTATATCAAATCTGTAATCCGACGACTAAGGTAGGCCTGAGATATATAAAATTAGTGCCTGTTCTAAGATGCAAAGTTCCTAGACTAGAATCTGAGTAGCATTATCATTATCTTGGTCATAAACTTTTTTAGACATTTCTGCTGCCCTAAGCCGACAGTCCTGTGTAATTATTGTCACTTAATCTCAGCTTAGGCAGTAACATTTCTAGTCATAACTAAAGTACCTTAGCTGACGAGATCAGCTTAGTGTCTGTGTAAATGACAGATGTATCCACATACTTGGTCATCAACCATACTAACCACAGTAATCTCATGATCTCTTGACCTGCTTGCTTATCACATATGTTTTAGTATAAAATTGTGAATATTCATACAACGCTCCAGCTATTCTCATCCCTAGGAATGACATCAAAGTAAGGATAACCTTGGACTACTGTCCCTAAAAGAAAATGACGCAAATCATACATGGCATAGATTCGACTGCAGTTTACTTGAAAAGTCTGCCCAGCAGACCCCCAGCAAGGTTATTCACAATGTTGCCCCCAAACGCCCTGCTAGCATACGTAGAAGCCTGGCTAAAGCGGTCGCAACGGGAGAACGCAACCGTATTGGTGATGGTCAGCACCAACGCAATGGCTGAGATTGAATTAGCCTCAGAGGTCGCTACAACAATTGATATCAGAAAGAACAACTCACCCACTAGGCTCAACCAAATAACACTGCTCAACCTGACAATCGCCAGAACGGCGAGTCCAATCCACAGCGCAGGTGTCACGTACAGACTGAGCCAGAAGAACCTCTTGTCTGTGGCCGAGATGGTGCGCGTGGCCGGGTCGGAGGATTCAAAGACCCAGTGTGAATCACCGGTAGTAGTGTTGACTTCGTTCCACCAGCGTAGACCGACTAATCGACGTCCGGCGATGTTCTTCAAATAGTAAAAGTCCGCGGAGAGGAGGAGGAGAGTTAGGATGAAGACAAGGACGCTGTGAAGTGTGTTAGCGGAAGAGAAGCTATGAGACGGAGTGACCAGTAAACCCCCTAAGTCCTTGGGAAGCTTACAAATTCTTGATAAATAAAACACCGAATAGATACATCAACAGCGCACTGGTGCGGAAGCCCAGGAAGAACAGAAGAGTGATCGGATGGGCGCTGAGACGCCAGTTCAGTTCACCCTGCTGCGCCTGGAGAGGTTGATCCATGGTGCCGTACAAAGAGCTCTCAAACTCTTGCTGAACAGAAAGGTGGCTAATCGCTATGGAGCTCTCTCGTTATAAACATGGGATCAGCAATCCGCGTGACGTGTATACATGATGCTGCGTGTCTCCTACATACGTAGACAAGGCGGTAGATGATGGCAGAATCAGCTCCACAGCGGAAAAGCAAAACAAACTGTCTGTATGGAGGAAAGGAAGCAGTGAGATCATGGAGTACAGATCGTTTTGTCTAGAGCCCGGCTTGCATGTTTAGATGGATATAATTGGACATTGAATGACCAACGGATATAAGGCAAAAATATAATTGCAACAGAATTTATGGCAAGTTGACGTCGATTAAACGGCCCGGGTAAGCTTTCAGGACCCTGTCCGAGAAACCTTTTTAAGTCCGGACTATATCTTATCTCAGACCGAGGATATAGCATAGCAACATCCTTTTCATATTGCATGCTCTTCAGCTGGCAATAGGTGCCTTAAAGTCTCTTGAATTACTCCGCGCATATCATCTTGAGTTAAATCACATATATTTACCAGACAGCCATGGCGTCGAGGAATACCCTCCGTCGCGCCCTTCTATACAGTACGTTAATCTACGGAACAAGCTCTCCCCGCAGTTGACCATCCCCCTCTTGGCACATACGAAACGACCACGATCCTGAGTAAGGCTCCTGGCTGACGCCTAACTAATAGTTCCCGGATCTTCCCAGCGCTTCATTGACAAATCTCGCTCGCTGACGGCGGACTGCGTCGCCTATGACCTGGAAGACAGCGTGACTCCGCACAAGAAAGCGGAAGCTCGCTCGCTGGTGCGGAGAGCGCTTGACCAGCCCGCTCCCCCTGGCATCCGCGAACGCGCCGTTCGCATCAACTCAGTAGATAGCGGTCTCGCATTGGCAGATCTGACCGAAGTCGTATGTGAAGATCTCGACTTCTCCAGGTCGATAATCAGCTAAAGAGAAGAACAGCTGCAATCCCCCAACCTCAGCACTATCGTCATCCCAAAAGTCAATTCCGCCTCGGATCTCACCTTCGTCACTGATGTCGTCTCCCACACACTCTCGCAACAGGCACACTCGCAAGAGGCAGCCTCACGGCCCCCTATCTCACTTTTGGCTCTGGTTGAGTCGGCCAAATCCCTGACGAATCTGACCCAGATCTGTGCAGCGACACCACTTCTCCAAGGTCTGATTTTCGCGGCGGAGGATTTCGCCCTCGACCTCAGTCTTACCCGCACACCATCTCTAACAGAATTCTTGTTTGCCCGGTCCGCCATCGTGACTGCAGCCCGCGCTGCGAATCTGCCGTCTGCGATTGATCTGGTCTGTACAGCCTACAAGTCTACCAAGGGTGATGGGTCACCGCCGGCGGTTTTGGAGGAAGAATGCCGCGGAGGAAAGCAGTTAGGATTCAATGGGAAGCAGTGTATTCATCCTTCGCAGGTAGAGACGGCGCAGCGTATTTTTGGTCCGGAGCAGGCCGAGATGGAATGGGCTGTACGAGTGACGATTGCGGATGAGAAAGCGGCAAAGGCAGGCCGTGGCGCCTGGACTCTGGATGGTAAGATGATTGACATCCCTGTTGCGGCGAAAGCACGCGCGATCGTGAAGAAGGCCGAGGCTTGCGGATTTGATGTGGAGGAATTGCAGAATAAGTGGCGGCATCAAGAGCCTGAATGAAAATGAATTTGTCCCGTGTCACACCTCTGTCCTTGCCGTTTACTTGTAGGTCCTCAGCGGTTTTACTAGGAAGGTTCATGACTGATCTTTAATAGCTGATGACAGGATAAACGTTAGGTGTGTTTGATAAATGTATGTAACTCGTATATACGTCGTAATTGAAGTACCATCGCAATCGAGGCGATGCCTGTCCATACAGCAAGCAACGCAAACTAGTCAGCACCATGCGCTCTGCATGGAGTAGTGCAGGAGAGAAATTAATCTCATAATCGTGGTCTGCGTGCGGTGGGAATATGGTGGGATACTTTGCTCTCCCGACGATGGTGAGAAGACACTTTCCGTCAAGGTGTTGGGATTGAGAAGTCCTTCGAGTCATCTCCTCTGTGCAATAACGGACAACAGTGCATGGTATCCTTCAAAGACAAAGACAGGCGTTTATGAACTCTTCGACTCCAGATCTTCGCGCTTCAACAATTGAATCTTGCCCATGGTCATTACGGGTTGACTACCATTGCTGTCACCACCCTTCCCAGCCTCGCCCTCTTCTAGACTTCTGGCGAGAGTCTTGTCATAGCTGGTGGGGTCGATTCCCAGGACGCCACCTACATATCCTCCCCTCTCCCCGGGCACACTAAACTCACGGTAAAGGTACTTCCACTCGTTGAGCCAAGCCTTGACAGCCTTTCCGATCTTGTCTTTGCCATTCTTCGAGTGATGACCCGTGCCTGTGATGGCGTAGATCACGGGTCGTCCCTCACGAGCATGCTTCAGAAGGATCTTCTCTAAATATTCAATTGCCTCTTCAGGTTGCAGGCCATGAAGGTCGACGTAAAGTTCTTCGGACGACTCATCCAAACCGGCACCAAGAAGGTGCTTGTTCCGCTCTTCGTACAATTGCCGTGCCGCTTCGCGGTGGCACTTACGCATCGCTTCGTTTTCTGCCTGGCCTCGAAGAGACAAAGCTTTAGCGGCTCTAGCATCGTTCCGGTTCCAGGCTTGAGCAGCGCTGAGAGATATGTTAGTCTGCGCAATATATCACGGTTACTTCAGTCGCCTTACCTTTGAAGAAATTTGTTTCTCACTGTACCGTGGCGGATAGCCTCCGTACGGTATTTGATATACTGCTGGTTGACTCGGGAGCCAGTCTCAAGCCAAGGAATATTCTGCGGAGCTGGGATAGACTGCGCAGCAGCACTGTTTTCGCGGCTTTTGGTCCCTTCTCTGCTATTCTTGGACGTGGGTTTGCTTTTGCCAGGAGCAGGGGACGGAGACATACGGACCACATCCGCCAAAGATGTAGGCAAGTTCTCTTTGACTGAACCGGTTTCTCGGTTATTGCGTTTCCCGTGCTTCTTACTAGCATTCTTTGCGCTCACTGCAGCAAGCGTGGGGAATGCATCTGGATCATCTACGGAAAGCGCTGCAGGGTTCAATTCACGTTGTTGGTGACGGCTCGTTGGGCGGGAATGTGGACGAGACCCATGGCCGTTGCGTTTCCCTGGGGTGAGCTGCATTGCTTGTGGAGATTTGTTTCCCCCAAGACCTGATAGATGAGGATACTTGCCCAGGTAGTGATTCGTCCATTGTTCCCCAGCTCCTCCTGCAGAATGTAACGGAGGGAAAGCTTCTGAGGTGTTCTCTACATTAAATGTTGGACCGCCCTGTTGGTTGCTCTCCCCCACACTGAGATTCGAAATTAGTGCTGAAGGGTCGTGGGAGAAAGGACATCCATCGCCCGCAAGGCAATTGCCCATGATCCAGTACCTTTTGAAGCACGTGTCAGTGTGAAGCCCACCCGCCATATACGTTTCATTTACTTACTTGCAGACATGATTGGTAAGATCGTGGCTGAACCGACAATCTGCACGAAGGCATTGTCCGGTAGACAGCCAATACTTACAAACAACAGGGCTTCGGTTGTGATTCGGCGACGTGCTTAATCTCGGTTGCTCCATGGTCATAGATTTGCCGACGACGACACGACCATCATCCGACTGACTGAAGCTGCCTCCACTCTGATCCTGTGAGAGAGATGCAATAGTCGCGCCGAGATCATAGCCATTTGCTTCTAACGCAGCCTCAATCTCTTCATTGGATCTTTTATCTCCAAGCACAGTGCGCAAGATATCGTGGGGGCTCATATCGGGAACAAATTCCGGGGCAGTGGCGCTGAGGGCACCGGAGGCGCTCATTGTCCCCACAGAGGAGGTGGTGCTCTGCGCATCGTCTGCAACAAGCCAATCTACATTGCTATCGTTGCCAAAGTCACTGTAAAAGTCCGATACTTGACTCTGGTCCGAGAATTCGTAAGCGTTAAGGTTCGGCGAATGGGGGATAGGTTGCGCAAGGGCTAATCTTGGGGACGGTCGCGGGGAGGTGAATGGTGATACGGTCGATGAAAGAGGTGCGCGAGAGAAGCCTCGAGAGCTTTGGAACCAAGATGAGCCGCCAGGGCTTGTGCCGAGGTTGGAGAGAGGAGATAAAGGTGTAGAGGAGCGTGCCATCTGCCATGGTGCTGGCGAGGTTCGGCGAATCACCGTATGACGAGGAGGGGGAGGAGAAGAGTCGGGTAATGTGCGATTCCGATGTCGCCAAAGGACGTCGAGCACCGCATTCTCCAGCGATGCTCCAGACAAAGATGTTTTCTCCCGTAAGAAACTCTCAACTTTCTCTGCCTGTTCTTCTTCATCAAGAGCTTTGTCCTGAAGGATCTGAAGACAACTGTCAAGAAGGTCGTCGGATATCATCCTGAGTAGATGCTTCGATGAAGCGATAGGCGACTAGGTGTGAGCGAAAGAAGCGGAGCGACGTAGGGCGACGCAGTGTTATGAAGATGAGGGGTAAATGCCGTCAAATTCTCGGACGGCGATAAGAGCGTATTCGAAACTTGAGATTGAGCAGCCTCTCAGAGATGCACATCCATTGTTCTCCGAAGATGGGAAAGCGTTGCGAATCACAATCGGTTGGTTGTGGTATCAGCTAAAGGAGGGGCGTACACATGCGAAAGGGGGACAGATTGCGGAACACTGAATATGAAGATCACATCGCATCTGTCAAAGGAAAGAACCCATCAAAGACGATGAACGAGAGGGGTGAGAGAATTCAACTGAACAGTACAAAATGAGAGATCAACGCTTGCACAACAAAGGAAGAATATAAACGAGGATGAGAACAAAAAGAGGAGGGTGGACGAGAGAGATCGGGAATCGTGGTCAACGGAGCTTAAGCTACTGGCTGGATGGACGGGGACTCAGGCAGGGAATTGACAGCCATAACACTGAGGCGCTAAAGGCCTCAAGCTACTGGCTCCCAACAAGGAATCGCCTTTTCTTTCTTGCGATGGAGGAAAATGTGCTTATTTTTCAGATTCTTTCCTAATCTTTACAAGATCAGCTCCAAAAGGTTCGAGACACTATCTTCACAGTTATTCAATGTTGTCCTTAACCACGAAATGAGGTTCGCGGATGTGGGGGAGGATCTGGAACCTCAGGCCCAAAGGCACCAAATTCCTTGGCTCGAGATAACAAAAGGATCGTCAATCAGCGGAGGAGCTGCAATACTTACGACATCTTGAATATCCATTATACTTCTGTCCGGGGCGCTCACAGCTGATGTACATCATTGACGATCTGCTTGACAGGTATTGTAAACAGAGAGACATAGTCATCACCTAAAAGACAAAGTTCAGTTGCGCCTGAATCAAGTGAAAGTAAACGATGGCTTAGTAACTCACCTGCACCACGTAACTAACTAGTCAACTAGCGATTAGATAGGCTCTGTGTACAGTCAGCAGCTGAACCCTCCAACTTCAAATGGCCAACAACATCACGGCGTCAGCCTAGAAATCATCTCACTATGACGGTTAGTTTGAAGGGTTAATCAAGTTGGGTAACAACATTACCCTAATATCCTTCGATTTCAACATCTGATGGGGGTTTCCTGACTTCACCTCGATTCCTCTCTCGGCATCCCCTGCTTCGCTGCTCATCGAGTATTCCGTTACTTATCCACCTATTTTTCTGCACACTTTCGGCGCTCCCTTCCCTGGCAGAGCTCAAGAAGGCTCCTATCTTTATGCGCAGTTGATCGCAATCTTGCGATTGGCATATTCTCGAGTGTTGGCTGGCGTGTGTCCATGCTCCTACTCCTCTAAGCGCTGATCCCTGTCATTGCCGATTCACGATCATCGAAAGACAATCCGGATAGGATTCCATGCTTTTGAAGATGCCTGCAGACTATACGTCCACTGCGCGGGCTTTATCTCTTCCAATGTCGCCTGCGGAATCACTGTCGCCGGCCGAAGAAGATACACAGCCATTATGGAGCCATCTGGCCTCCAGCAGACGCCATACTGCCAGTCCCTCTGCCCGGGCATCAACTGGTCTCCGTGATCAAGTCGTCAACCAAGCCACGAAGATGCTGCGACGCACCAAAAAGACATGGCGGAGACTAACATTCTGGCAGAGAATTGGGGCTATTGGGGCGGCTTTGCTTGCCATCTTCCTAGGATTGGCATTCATGATCTTCACGGGACAAGTGTTCTTCTGGCTGGGGCCTGTAGCTGAAAAATGGGAACAGTCATGGCTGGCATTTTTCGTCCTCTGGCTGTGCGTTTTCTTCGTTTCTTTCCCACCGCTGGTAGGTTGGTCGACGTTTGGAACGATAGCTGGTTTCATTTTTGGCATATGGAAAGGGTAGGTTTGATTTATTTTTCGGCTTTATTTGATCGATTACTCTGAACCTAGACCTAACCCATATCTTAGCTGGATCCTCTATGCCACTGCAACCGTGCTCGGGTCCACATGTTCTTTCATCGTGTCGCGGACGATCCTGTCGAAATTTGTGAACCGCATGATGGAACGGGACAAACGATTCGCGGCTCTTGCGTTGACACTCAAGTACGATGGGCTTAAACTCTTGTGCATGATTCGCCTATGCCCCCTACCATACTCCGTCTGCAATGGTGCCGTCTCGACCTTTCCGACGGTCCACCCTTTGATGTATGGACTTGCAACTGCTCTCATCACACCCAAGTTGCTTGTCCCGGCTTTCATTGGAAGTAGGATTCGGATTCTTTCCGAGAAAAACGAAGAGATGAGCGCCGGGTCCAAGGCTGTGAATATCTGTAGTATTATCCTTACAATTGGAATTGGTATCTTTACAGGCTGGTATATATACAGGAGGTAAGTTTCCCTGGGCATTGACACTGCCTTTACTCTCCACGAGGCTAACAACTATGGTTATAGGACGTTGGCTCGCGCCAAAGAGTTGGAAGCCAAAGAGAGAGCAGATATACGGAGGTCGTTACAAGCCGATCATGCTGCTCACCGTCCCCATGGTTCTTTCTCCGAAGACCCAGACGTCAACACGGCTGCCACTACACTTGCTCGCGACGAGGAGGAAAGGATCGGGTTCAACGACTTTGATGATGACAACGTCGATCTCGTTATTGATGACGAGAGCGGCAGCGAGAATTCGTCCAATCGCGCGAAAAAGCAGTTCCAGGGACCCTATACGGATGAATTCACAGACAATGATTCAGACGTTTTCGGGGATGGCGATGGGCCCGACAGTCAGATGCTCCGTCTCCATACACACGTGCGATCGGGCTGAGACCTGTCACGCTGTCCAGGAGTCATATCTTCACGATATATACCTAGCTTATGATGTACACACTGTTATAGTATAGACCTGCCAATTAAAGCCATGTCACGACGACCTCTCACACACGTAGTGTCATTGCTGCATAAAGAGAGGACATCAGACACAGTTCAAGAGCTTAAGACACTCAAATTTCGCTTGGATCAGAGGTAACGGGTGAAGATTTTCTCAGCCCTAGTTGTGCTCTAAACAGCATATGCAAGGTGAGAAGCTCGTACCAATTCACTGGGTAAAGCTATTACTGGCTTGGGGCTTGCAATGCTCTTTCATGTAAGGAAAGATAAAATTAATGCTTGCATAAGTAACATTATCAGATATGTATCTGATAAACAAACCCAGAGGAAGACTGTGAAATGACCATTCTGAGCCGATTGACGATGTGAAGAAGAGAGAGAGACCGTAGAATGCGGCTTTCCTTCTTCAGACTGAGAAATACGCTGGGTTCGCCCGAAGCTCCCGTCCAGCACCATCGAGTCTCCCTGCTGAAACCACACTTGCAGTGAGAACACAGAAGCATCGTGCATAGTCTTCGAATTATTATTGCTCTCTGTTAAAGCACGTCCGTCGATGAACTTGTTTGTCTCCATTCAATATCTTTGTAAACTAGATCGAAGGGCGTGCGTTCTATGATGACCTAAGATCATACTTTTTCTGTCGACCCGCAGTGGTGTTCGATCTATCTACTCTTCGCCTCAAGGTAAGATGAAACCGAGTACATATGTTCTTGCGATACGAAACATCTTTGTCTTTGTTTAGAACCCTCATGTGGATGATCACTCCGCTCTGACAATCTCATAGGAAGTATCATACCTTGCACTATTCCAAGAACCCTTTCCCTCTGTTTCGGCGCCCTCTAGGTGGACCCACCATGGATGGAAATCCTGACATCTAATATCGCCATATTCGTCTTGGAAAGGGAAGGGCTGCTGGTTTTCGACACCTAACAATAATCGGCTTTCATCTGAATCGGTGGAAGCCTACCTGGTTAATATCAACTTTCAAGTGGTCCCGTCCAATGTCCATCAAACCCCTTGTTAGCGAGGATGGAGACTACCGCATCTATGGGACTTCAGGGTCTGAATGGCTTGTCCTACGATTTATCACAATTTGACCATTACTTATCTCAGGCAACTTCATACGTCAATGGTAACCAACACTTGCAGTATCCCTCATTATCAAATGAAACGATACCTGGAACTGGTGACCGGTCAGAGCCTCCGGCGAAGCGGCTTCGCCGCTCTCCTTCGTGCAATGCATTAAATCAATCGAATGGCGAGACGTCCAGTCCTGCCGCAATTACCCAACCATTAACAAGGCCTCAAGATGTCAATGGAGTTCTCGATAGAGTCGCTGGTGGATCTGAGACCACGGATTCTATGGCACATGACTCCAATGAGGATACGAGTAATATATTCAGTGGCTCAGCAACCTCCGTGTCATTGATATATGAACCTAGTCAGAAAAACTCAACTCCACCGTCAACTGTCAACAATGTCCCGTCCACGTCTTCTCTTACCACAGACTCCAGAGGTCTCAGTGGCAGTGCAGACTATGCCAGATATCGACCAAGGTCGTCCATACCTTCTAAGCTCACAGGTGCCGTTTACGCTCAGCAGTGTGTTACCGCAGCGTATGCATGCAGACTCAATCCCTACTCTCTACACAAGAAGGAACAGGAAGCATTACAGGATCATCTGTGCCATCTGCATGTCACCGCTTATCTGAATATACGAAACGGAATCCTACGCCTCTGGACGCGAAACCCAATGGTCAGTGTCACAAAAGATGAGGCTCTAGGCTGTGCCAAAGACTACCGGTGGATGGGATTGGCTTCGTTTGCCTACGAATGGCTTGTACGGAATGGATACATCAACTTTGGTTGCGTTGAAATACCACCGGCTCTAGTTGCCCCTAGAAAAGGGAGACGCAAGGACGGGCCCGTCATTGTTGTAATTGGGGCTGGAATGGCTGGACTGGGTTGCGCAAGACAATTGGAAGGTCTCTTCAAGCAGTATCATGATCCACTGACGTCACCGCGGGTTGTCGTATTGGAGGGGAGGCGGAGAATCGGAGGCCGTATATATTCTCATCCTCTACGGAGCCTTCAGTCGTCCAAATTAGGCCCAGGATTTGTGCCCAAGGCCGAGATGGGTGCGCAAATCATCGTCGGTTTCGAGCATGGGAATCCGTTAGACCAGATAATTCGGGGCCAGTTGGCGCTACCCTATCACTTGTTACGTGATATATCGACTATCTACGATATTGACGGCTCGGCGGTCGATGAAGTTCAGGACGCCATGGATGAACGGCTGTACATTGATGTTCTTGACCGCTCCGGACTCTACCGTCACAACGCTGTTATTGTACCTACCGCCGAAGGAGACAGGGGATTGATAGACTCTGGCCGCGACTTAACAATGAGCGACGGTCTCACCGTAAGACAATACGAAGAGGCTCGCGCCGCTGGTACCGTTGAACTTTTGTTCCCCAATAAAAAAGTGCGACGAGGCGTGGGCCACAAAACAGCGGACATAAAAGCAACTGTGCCCCCTGTACCGACCGATCTTGGTCCCGCAGAAGAGCAGCCCGCAGCTCTTGCTTGTCAAGCCATGGGATGGAAGCTGAGGGATGGGGTCTCCCCAACAGCATCTCTGAACCTAGACCCTGTTGCCAAAGCTTCAGGGTCGCCAACTCTGGGCGCCGTAATGGATGAGGGGGTCAAACAATATCAACGCATGCTTCCTCTTACACCCAAAGATATGCGATTGATCAACTGGCATTTTGCAAACCTGGAATACGCGAACGCTACCAACATCGGCAAACTCAGTCTCTCTGGCTGGGACCAAGATTTGGGCAACGAATTCGAAGGCGAGCATTCACAGGTCATAGGCGGCTATCAACAGGTACCTTATGGCTTGTGGTCGTTGCCCACGAAACTCCACGTTCGAACGAACAAGATCGTGAGCAAGGTCGCCTATGACTCGACGGGCTCGGGGAAGCGGAAAACAGTGGTTCATTGTGAAGACGGCGAATCGTTCGTTGCAGATAAAGTGGTATTTACGGGGTCACTTGGTGTTTTGAAGCATGGCTCTATAGAATTCTCGCCGCCTCTTCCTGATTGGAAGTGTGGAGCTATAGAAAGGCTCGGTTTCGGGGTTATGAACAAAGTGATACTCGTATTCGAGGAGCCCTTCTGGGATACCGAGAGAGACATGTTTGGGCTGCTACGGGAACCCAAGAATGGAGATAGCATGGTGCAGGAGGACTATGCTGCCAACCGAGGCCGATTTTATCTTTTCTGGAACTGCATGAAAACAACAGGCCTACCGGTTCTGATCGCCCTGATGGCTGGCGACGCAGCCCATCAGGCGGAGTGCACACCTGACGGGGAGATCATTGCAGAGGTGACGAGTCAGCTTCGAAATGTCTTCAAGCACGTCGCGGTACCTGATCCGTTAGAGACCATCATCACGCGGTGGGCAACTGACAGATTCACTCGGGGAAGCTACTCCTACGTAGCTGCGCAGGCGCTGCCGGGTGACTATGACCTGATGGCGAAGCCGATTGGCAACCTACACTTCGCAGGAGAGGCCACGTGCGGCACCCACCCGGCCACCGTCCACGGCGCCTATCTCTCCGGTCTGCGAGCTGCATCAGAGATCATTGAATCCGTCCTCGGACCTATAGAGATCCCGAACCCCTTGGTTCCCGAAAAGGGCAAGACAATCGAACTGGGCACACCAGTAGCAACGGCGCAAAAGAAAAAGGAAGCACATTTCTCAAACGGTTTCCCCGCCCCCGTTTCCACATCAGCAGATCCCACCGACACATCGGCGCCCGCACGATCAAACAACTCCTTCTCCGGCGACACGGCTCTCCGACAAGCCTACGAACAAGCCATGTGGGCAGCCATCCACGCCGAGCTCGGCCCGCCCGAACCGCGACCGGCGCGAACTGGCCTCAACCCCTTTCTCCTCTACCAGAAGGACTACTGGGGTAAAGCGCGCGCTCAATGCGACGGAGCCAAACAAGCCACGACCAAGGACCCGAATGCCAAAGCTGCGCGCGACGAAATCCGCCAGGCGTTGGGCCTCATGTGGCGGCAGGCCAGCGAAGAGGAAAAACGGCCGTATATCGAACAGACGGAGGTAAACCGGCAGACCAACACGGAGATCTGGGATCGATGGAAGCAGAATACGAAGGAGTGGGAAAGGAAGTCGCTCGAGGTCAAGGAGCGGTGGTGCGCGGCCAATCCGTTCGAGTCGTGGCAGCCACCGGCGAAGAGGTGATGCCTAGACTTCAAGTATGAGTGACAGTTTATTCTTTTTGTGTCACGGTCACATGGGTATGGAGGGGCTGGCGCTGGAAATGTGCTAAATATGGTTTTGTTCTTTCTACTAATACTGAGACAGCGTTTTAGCTATGTAACAACAGTATACTCCTAGACCGCTGCAGACAGAATTGATACTAGTCCGCCATGCTCAAGCAGGAGTATATCGATATCAACTGGGTTTTCCCCTGCAGAAGATGTACCGAAATCTAAGTCTGAATTCCAGCTTTGGGATTAATTCTATGTCTATTCTATTTGTAGAAGTAGATTCCCATAAACGATCCCTTCTCAATCCGGAGGCCCCGTAGATGGTGGGACAAAAAAAAGAAGTCATTAGGAAAATTGCAATAAACGCTGAAGTCTAATGGGAAGAACCAACGCGTCCATGAGGATCATAGAAAGAGGATATATCAAGATGATATGTCGAGGCAGACGGACAGGGAGAGTGCACAAGGCGAGGTGAAGAGGCGTGGAGAAGGCGAGAAGGATGCAATGCCGGGATAGTTAAGATGCAATAATTCGTTTAGAGGAGAGGGTTCGACTTGTATTCTGCAACGGCGCCCTTAGGGTCCTTCTTGACTTCACCGTTGACTTCCTGAGCGGCGGGCTGGACGGTGGAGTTATCGGCGGACTTCTGAGCGGATACGGCGACGGGCTCTTCCTCGGGGCCCTCGGCTTCAGAAATGAACTTTTCGGCCTCGAGAGCAGCAATGCAACCGGATCCTGATAAAGGCAGTTAGTATTACAATCAAGCAGAAACTTAAAATCGGTGGTCACAAACCTGCACTGGTGATAGCCTGGCGGTAACGCTTGTCCTGCACGTCACCACAAGCAAACACACCCTCGAGGCTGGTGTAGCTGGTGCCTGGCTTGGTGATGATGTATCCATCCTCATCGAGATCGATCTGACCCTTAACGAGGGCGGTGGCGGGGTCGTGACCAACAGCATAGAAGAGACCGTTGGCGTCGACAACCTCCTCTTCGCCGGTAACGGTGTTCTTGACTCTCAAGTGAGTCATCAGGCCGTTAGGCTTCTTCTCTCCCAGCACCTCAGTGGCAACGGTGTTGAAGCGGACGGTCACCTTGGGGTGGGCCAGCAGACGGTTGGCCATCGCCTTGCTGGCACGAAGTTTGTCACGACGGACGAGCACGGTGACACTGCTGCCGTACTTGGCCAGGAACATGGCCTCTTCGGCAGCGGAGTCACCCCCACCGATCACGTACAGGGGCTTGTTGCGGAAAATGGGCACCGCACCGTCACAGACGGCGCAGGCGCTGATTCCATTCTGCCAGTAGGTATCTTCGCCAGGCAAGTTGAGACGACGAGCATTGGCACCGGTAGCAATGATGACAGCATCCGCAGTACAAGCGGGCTCGTTATCAGGGCCATCGTTCCATTCTGTCCATAGCTTGAAAGGTTTCGAGGACAGGTCGACCCTGGAGATAGTCTCCGTGATCACCTCTGTGCCGAACCGGATGGACTGCTTGCGCATGTTCTCCATGAGCTCTGCGCCACCAATGCCATCGGGGAACCCGGGGAAGTTCTCGATGTCGGTGGTAGTGGTGAGCTGGCCGCCAGCGGCCGTTCCATTGGCCAGCATACCCTCATAGAGAACAGGTTTCAGTTCCGCTCTCGAAAGATAGATAGCAGCGGTGTGGGCAGCCGGGCCGGAGCCGATAACTATTAAAGGACAGCACGTCAGCAAAACGGGTACAACCAACAAAGCAGACAACTGAGATCGTTGGGTTGCAGGAGGGGTAGATACTTACTGGCAACTTTTGTGTGCACCATTCTGGAAGCGGAGGTTGAATTGACGCGCAACGGCGTCGATAGCGAATTTGATAGAACCGAGGTAGGCGGGGAAGACTTTTGATGTAGTGAAGACGCAGCAGCGGCAGTCAGTCCAAGAGAGGATCGCAGAGAAGAGGAAATCCGACGAAAGGCGAAGGAAAACAGTTTGACGGTTTTTGTGAGGACTAAAGGGAAAAGAGTTTATCGGGGGAAAGGGGGGCAAAAGGGGAAGTCTCAAGCCAACTCAGAATCAGGAATTGATCGGGGGTGAAGAAAGAGAAACGAAGGATAAATGGCGAAAGGAAGAAGAGGGGCTCAAGTATCGAAATCTGGTCTGGTTCGGTATTAGTGATGGTGATTCTCATGCGGTTGGTTATGCAGTTCTTTTACGGTGGGGATGGAACAAAAAAAGTGGATCGACGGATTTGATTGATAATAAATGATGTGATCCAAGCACGAACGGCGAAGGATGAGAGCAGTTGATAACAGAGGAATACGTACCTGAGAGAAGCTTTCTGTAATTCCTCGCAAGACACTTGTTGATAATCTCTCGGCGACCGAAATTCTGCGCTGCATGAGATCATCCAGAGCGTCGATTCTTAGGAATCAATCCCCGGCGAGGCTTGTCACGTGCCCATGCTTAGCAAGCGAACTGGCCGAGACCTTCGATCGTCACCATCACCATCGCCATCAGGAATTGCAGGAAGAATACTGCTACAGCGTAAAGAGGTACGTGGCTGATCCATCGATCGGCTGTCTGATAACTGATTCCATTTTCTATCTCACAAGGTCCTTCGTGCACATACGGAGTACTGGGGCTGTTGCTGGCGGTTGCAATCTCGGCTTCTCGAAGCATCTGGATATCTGATCCGATCCACCTCATTACCTAAGCATGTCTTCATAACTAACTGCATGGGTGATAACATGGAGCCTCGATTAACATCAAATGAAGACCCTCAAGACCATGCGTGGGACAATCAATTATGTACAAAATAACAAGTTTAGGGAGCACATGTCAAGCGTGAAAAATTCATAAGGCATTCAATCGTCAAGAGTCATGAAAGGTCATCGTAAGTTCATACCAATCGTCCAAACCATTTCTTCTTCCGCTTCATAGTCTCCTCCGGCCAATCATTGACGGGCCCCGGTACTGGTGCATGTGCTGGTGCATGACCCATGTGGCCCATTTCCTCCGGCAGCCTCTCACCAGGCTCATCGAGATCACTTCCCGCATAGTCTTCATAGTCAGGGTCATCATCGTAATCAGTATCCTCCACATCACCAGGGACATCCTTGGCGAAGCCACGCTCTTTCTTACGCCCGACAGCCAACCATTTCTTCCAACCTTTGGCAACCGGGTTGGCCGGGGGATCGTATTCAGTGCCTTCATAACGCAGCATGGGCACAAGGAGCTTGTACGGCGTCGTGATACCTGATGGATCTTGTGGGCTCAGCTCCAGGTTGAGCGTGATAGCTAGACCCTTCTCCAGATTGACATATGCGCCTACACCGTCGTCGCCCCTTTTCGCAGTTTTCTTGGCTGCCTTCTGGCTCAAACTCGTAGGGCGACGGTGGAAGGGGCCTGGGCGAAATTCTGATGCAGGAGCAGGGAAATAACCGCCTTCGGCATCAGTGGGAGGAAATGGTCCGTCCATACTCGTACCGCGACCAGGTGCATTTCCAATATTAAATTCTTTTGTCGGTGGAGGTCCACGCTGGGAGAGCCGTCGCAGCAAACCACCCTGAGGTCTGTCACCTCGCCCTAAGGACAGAGTCCTCTGCAGTTTACCCGGATGCGGCTCCTCAGCCGGTGGGGGTCCACGCAGCGAGAGCTGTCGCAGCAAACCACCCTGAGGTCTGTCACCTCGTCCTAAGGACAGAGTCCTCTGCAGTATACCCGGACGCGGCTCCTCAGCCGGTGGAGGGGCCTCTTCGGATTCCGGCGTACCTGGAGGTGTGGAGCCTATCTTCAGTCAGAGAGATTGATAGCTCGTAAGGAAAGGAACATCGGCTCACCGGGTTGATACTCTCGGATTGCGCACCAATTTCGGCGTGGAAGCAAGCGCTTGTTGTTACGCGGCTTGTTGTTGACGTCGTGCGTGAAGATGGGGATCATGTCTTCATCTGTGTTCGTGTCCATGTGGTGAATGTGGTTTCTCTTGTTCAGCATGTCCGATACCATTTCGGCCTCTGGCATGTCTGCAATCGCAGAAGATATGACATTCGGCATGTATCGGTAATCCTTGTCTTTGGGCAGGTTGAGTTTAGGATTGGAGTAGAATTGTCCGATGGCTGCCAGATGGACATCGCCGCTGGAGCGTCATGTTAGCTTCCTGCCAACATTCACTGACCAGGAGCAGATTCTCACCTCAAGATAGTCACCCGAACCGACTTTTCTGCTGCAAGGTCTTGGAGGTCCTCAAGCAGATAGGTGCGTTCGGCTTTGTGGTGTTTAGCCGTCCAGTGATCGTCGAATATCTCTACCTTGCTGCCGTTCTTGTTTACGAAGCCTCCGAAAAGCCCGGCCTTCCCCAGCGATTTGCGACTATTGAGAATGTTTTTGAGCATTGCCTGTTTAAATTGTCAGAAAACCCATGTCACGGTGGGTCTACGGGGTACAAACCATTCTTGGATATGCGACGGGAACGCTCGAGAGCACTATCAGATGCTTGGTTTCTCCACGAACAATCTCACGGTGGCATCGGTCCCAGATCAAATCACACGTCTGCTCGCTGAGTATCTCGTCACTCTGAGAGATTGGTCAGCATCTACCCTTCTCCTGTCCGCCAGGAAAGCACATTTTTCTTACCAGTCGCTCCGTCCTGCAATCCAACCCCAGAAAAGCTACTTCCTTGCCCATAGACATGAACACGTTTCGACTTCGCTGGTTGATATAGGGTCCCAGCTGCGCACCAAGCAGCCAGCTAGGCTCATCTGCTTCTGTCTCTTCAGTTACGCTGTGATGCTGGAAGAGCAGATAGTACTTGAACGCTATTCTACCCAGTCCCGAAATCACCGGTGTAGCCATGAACTCGTCCGGATACGAACCGAAACCTTCAATGATGTCGTGATCGTTCCAGATATTGACCATTGGGATTTGGGAATTGGCCAGTGAGAAAAGGCCCTGGGAAAACCAAGCCGAGTAGTTCTCGAGGTAGAAGCTTTCTATCTCAGCTCTAAATTCTGGGTCAAATGGCATGTCGTACTTGTCAGTCAGGTTCTTTATCTTGATCCATTCTTGGAATCGGGGCGATTCCACCATAACGTTGTCGTTGAAGATCTGGTCACCGCCCCCGATTATGACGTGGAAAGGGCGAGTCTGATGCTCATTCAATACGTCGCGCCAGAGAGGGTCAGGACCGCAGAATTTGTTGGAATCAACTCCTAGGCTGAAACCATTGCAGCTATGGAACATAATGTTCATAGACTGCCCTCTGGCCGGTACCCAGAATCCCAAGGCCGGTCCGTGGTTCAAGCGGTATGCGATTCGTTGTTGCCTCTCGCCTAGTTCTATTTCAATGTTGAACCTCCAGAATGTGACATCTCGAGCTGAGTCGGCGTACAAGCGCGCTCCGGGAATTTCTTTGTATGTTCCCACTGTTTCTCCGTCCACGGGATGAAGCCTGTTGGCGGGGATCGACTGCTTGACGCCGTCACTGCTATAGTGCAGGTTACTGGGGGACATCTCGTAGATTCCATCGTCATTCTCCACGAATGACAAATCCACTCCTTCCTCGGTATGGTCGATTGGCTTGACATAAAGTGGCCTGCCGTCCCTACCCAGCTTCATGAGACCTGCTGTGGGATCGACGTACTCTGGTGCAAGCTGAGCGCCACTGACTTCGACAGGCGGAGGCGGCAGGAGATCCATCGGCTGAGAAAATAACCTCAGAGTGGGCGGTGGCTCATAGGAAGAGCGTGAATCTTTGGTGACGATCATAATACTACCCCTCCAAGTCTCCTTGTCGAAAGGACCGCTTGGTCCGTCAATACTGACTCGCTTCAGTCCTGTGTAGCGGAGCAGAGGGCCACATTTCAGGAAGATAGGAGGCTGGAAGCTCTTATTCTCTGCATGGATCCCATGGTTAGTACACCGAAAAAGAGAAAAGAGAATACGGACGGGATAAATGAAAGAGTTCTCAAATACTGGGTAGAACCACTGACCTGTCAACTTCTGAGCTGGCTTCTGATAAGCGCTCGGGAGAGCTCTGCTCTTCCTGCGATTACTGCCACCACCTTCCCACCAAGCTTTGCTTCGATCAACGTCAAGGAGTTGGAAGTCGAAGTCCGAGGCACCCAGTCGAGCAACCGGTGCGTTCTTCCATTCCGAAAGCGGAGGAGGCGTTGGCGGAGGCACATTGAACGAAACAGTGTTTCTCTTGGGCTTTGTGTGTGGACCTAATTCGTCCTGGGAAAGATCGCTCAGTACAGCGTTATGTGTATTTGTGATTAGGTGTCCTGGTTGCTGGGAAGCTATGCCTTGTGCATAAGGGTGATTTCCTCCAAGTCCCCCCTGGGGCGGTTGACTCTGTTGGACCCGAGTACCAGCATAGGGTTGCGGGTGCGCCATCTGTGCCACACTTGACATTGCATGATCTTTCTGTGATGGCCCAGGTACCGCAGAGAAATCTCTCCCATCTCGAGACGTGTTAGGATCTCTCGTGGTGTTCGGGGCATGACCTCCGGGTCCGTTTGTCACCGACACAGATCGCCTGGTAACGCTACCATGATTCAAAATTGGCCCCGCTAAGGGCTTTGAATTTCCAATCTTCGGGGCTTGCATCTCAGGAGCGACCGACAGGGCTGGTGGTCCTGACTTTTGGGCGCTAGACTTTGCCTGTCCTGGTACTCCCTGGTCACGGGGAATCGTCGCTTCGTGCCCCCGGTGAACAGTGCTCTGGCCAATGCTCTGTTTGGTCTTTTGGCTTCGATTCTCCTGCCCTCCTTGGCTGACATCTCGCTGCGAGACCAATTGCTGAGGCATCCTACTTCCAATTGTGCCTGCGGTTGAGTTGCTGTCTGCAGGCTGCGTGAGAGAGGCATTTCGATTCTCTGCTTCCATCTGTTGACGTGCCAACCTTTCTTTGAGCTTCATCTCAGCCTCCAAGACGCGCGCCCTTTTTTCCTCTTTGCTAATCCCGTTCAATGTAACTTCGAGCTTCTGAAGAGGGGACCTATCTGGGGCGAAGTCATGCTGCTTATTCGTTGAAGACCGTAACGTGCTAGATCGACTCAGCGGCGATATTTGGTTGACAGAGTCTACCGGCGATGTCGGTTTGCCGTCCTCCACCTGCCTCGCTGATCCCGAGGCAGCAGCTACTGGGTTGGTCGGACGCCTCGTAGGTGCTCCATTTCCTTTAATGGAAGGAGGGGTGGATGTGAGATAACCTTCCGGTGGGATTATGTTACCCTCTGGGCGGTTCTGAGCTCGTGCAGAAAATGAACTGGAAACCTGTCTTCTCCGTGTTGCAGTAGAATTGCTGCGATAAGGATGCGACTGGCCATGCGGGACCTCTGGATTTCTTAACATGTGCTTGTCATCGTGCAAATAGTCCCTATGGGCAGTTCTGATATTATCATCATGATGCTGACCTCCGTTGGGTGGCATCTGTTGAGGTGACATGGAGTCTCTATCGATAGGTCTTCGATAGGCTGCTGTGGCCATTTTGCGACTCGGTTATAGGCAGGAGCAAGTCTTAAGGAGCCGTACTCGAGAGCATGATAATCAAGTGCCTAGTCCTGAGTGACGATTGTCAGATTCGGTCCGAAGAGTTGTATCAGGGGGTAGAACGAGTGCAAGTGCTACGAGAACTAAAGACATACCTCGAAAGTCAATTGCCTGCGATTGACCTCTCACTTTAGGATTGCAATCAGGACCGAGAAAATGAATGTGTTGGCAATGATACTGTAGATAGGCGAATCAGTCAAGAATAACGAAGTCTATCCTGGACCTGTACGCCTATTCGAAATTAAGTCTGAGCCCCGAGGCTGTGGAATGGCAGGCAAGTTCGGTGCTGGTCGTGAAATGAAGTATACAGATGTGGAGTATACAATGGAAACAATGGAGAATCTTAATGCACTTTACGGAAGGAAAAAGAATGAAAGGAAAAGAAGACGGCAGAATGATCAAAGTAAAATGTGATATGGAGTAATGCAAATATTATGCCTCTTGCAAGATTGATCGTGCAAGGCCAGGCAGGTATGGATTTAGATTAAACCTGGTGGCTGGCAACTTGATTTAATCGCCCAGCCCTCTTTCTTTTCTACTCCTTCGCCGCGGGGCTGTTGTTGGACTATGACCTGGACTTGGACCTGCAGCAGAATCAACCCTGCCAGGCACCACCGATCTTCTATTAAGGGATCCTTGATCCTTTCACTGTCTCTCCAATATTGTTGATCATCGCTCGTGTCCGCACCACTCCCTTGTTTAAGAACGTGCTCAAGATACAGATAATGGGAGTGGATAATCCGCATGCCACGCTGCTCTGACAGCTGCCCAATTTTATCCTAAGAATAACGATCCTGAGGCAGTTGGAGTATATACGTCAGCTCAATGATCCAAATTGAAGCTGAATGTGCCACACAAAAAGGATAGTCGGTGTTCTGCTATTGCTGCTACTAGTTTGGATTTGGGGGTGTGAAGGTTGAGTGTTCTGGTGCCACAGATTTATAGAAGCATCCAAAGCATTCAAGCGTCAAGATGGCATCCCCACATCCAGGAATTGGATGCAGCAGAGTGACAGTGGAGTTAAGGCTGTCGGCCACTTAGTCTTTGACAAGGATCTAAGCAATCGGAATGTGGTCTTTCGGACTGGTTAGGATTCGAATGAGCTGCCTATGGAGGTTTATGATAGATGATGGCCCACCTTCAATACCTTTAGACAGGTATTGTTCTGCAGAATTAGTAGTAAGCGGGTAGCTTTCTTTCATCCGAAATCAATAAGAATCAATACAATCTCTATTTTAGCCTTCTGGAAATCATTTTGGTGGTCGCAGAACCGTCTCTTTGTCTACTCTTCCTTAGCGGTGAAAGCCCCTTACTGTCTAGGCTACGTAGTGTCATGGCCCCCAATAGAGAGATAGATCAGCTTGAATAGGTGACACTTGGTAGTTAAAATAGACTCGAACTCCGCAACTACTATGTTTTCTCAGTCACCGACATTGACAAAGCTGGGGTTTTCATGAAGCAAGGACTGGTATTCGAATTATTCTTCTTCTTCTTCTTCTTCTTCTTCTTCTTATTATTATCGTTACTTGTTAATAACTAACTTGGACTCGGGAGGTCCTCTCTCCGGTAGCTGATCCTTCTGAGTGGATTTGTCGCCTTTCCGTTCATGGCAGCCAATTCGTTGTCCTTTATTCCGCCTCACTGAGAGGACATTTTCCTTTTGTTCAATAAGACGTCCTATCCATTCAAAATGCGATTTTTGGGGAGTATAGCTCTGGGCTTGAGCTTCATCTCTGCGACCTCTGCAAACGTCCAGCCTCGATCCTACGATACCCACGAGTTCTTCGCTCTCCACCTCGACGACTCCGCTTCGCCATCCCATGTCGGTCAGCTCCTGGGAGCCCGCCATGAAGGTCAAATCGGAGAACTCGCAAACCATCACACATTCTCTATACCTCGGGAGAGCAGCTCAGACTTAGATGCGTTGCTGGAACGTGCACGTGCGAGGAAGATTCGGCGGCGTTCGAGAGATGATGCCACGTCGCAAGAGGAGAACAATGATGCACTGGGTGGGATCCTCTGGTCACAGAAGCTGGCACCCAAGAAGCGTTTAGTGAAGCGAGTACCACCGCCTGAGAAGACTGTGAGAGAGTTCGCGACCGGAAAAGAGGACCCGGTAGCTGCCCAAGCTCAGAAGCGAATCGCCTCCACGCTCGGGATTACGGATCCCATCTTTAATGGACAGTGGCACTTGTTTAATACTGTACAGCTCGGTCATGATCTTAATGTTACTGGGGTATGGATGGAAGGTATAACTGGAAAAGGCGTCACTACGGCGGTGGTCGATGACGGATTGGATATGTACAGCAATGACCTTAAGCCGAACTACTTCCCCGGAGGCTCTTACGATTTCAACGACAACACCCCAGAACCTAGGCCACGACTTAGTGATGACAAGCATGGTACAAGATGCGCTGGTGAGATTGCAGCGGCGCGAAACGACGTTTGTGGAGTTGGCGTTGCATACGACAGCAGGGTTGCTGGGGTCCGGATTCTCTCTAAGGCTATCAACGACGCTGATGAGGCGACGGCCATCAACTTCGCCTATCAGGAAAACGATATTTTCTCGTGCTCTTGGGGTCCTCCCGATGATGGTGCGACCATGGAAGGTCCTGGCATTTTGATCAAGCGGGCCTTTGTCAATGGCGTCCAGAACGGTCGCGGCGGGAAGGGCTCGATATTCGTGTTTGCGGCTGGGAACGGTGCAAGCTTCGAGGATAATTGCAACTTCGACGGCTATACGAATAGCATTTACAGTATCACTGTGGGCGCTATTGACAGGGAAGGGAAACACCCTAGCTATTCCGAGTCTTGCTCCGCACAGTTAGTGGTCGCTTACAGTAGTGGCTCGGGCGACGCAATCCATACCACTGACGTCGGAACTGACAAATGTTACTCTTTTCATGGTGGAACATCGGCGGCAGGACCTTTGGCCGCGGGCACGGTAGCACTGGCTCTCAGCGCTCGTCCGGAACTAACATGGCGCGATGCGCAATATCTCATGGTGGAAACAGCCGTCCCGATTCATGAAGACGACGGTAGCTGGCAGGTCACCAAGGCTGGAAGGAAGTTCAGTCATGACTGGGGCTATGGCAAAGTCGATGCGTACGCCCTGGTTCAGAAGGCCAAGACCTGGGAGCTGGTGAAGCCGCAAGCCTGGTTTCACTCCCCTTGGCTCCGTGTGCAGCACAAGGTCCCTCAAGGCGACCAAGGTCTAGCCAGTTCGTACGAGGTGACTGAGCAGATGATGAAGAACGCGAACATTGCGAGGTTGGAGCATGTTACTGTGACCATGAATGTCAATCATACACGCCGTGGTGATCTTAGCGTCGAGCTACGCAGTCCAGAAGGCATTGTCAGCCATCTGAGCACCACAAGAAAGTCGGATAATGAAAAAGCGGGCTATGTCGACTGGACTTTCATGACTGTTGCTCATTGGTAAGGAGCCTTTCCCCTACAGCTGGCGATTCCAGATTTCTAACCACTTTTTCTTCCCTGCAGGGGTGAGTCGGGCGTGGGAAGATGGACTGTAATTGTCAAAGATACCATTGTGAATGAGTTCACCGGAGAGTTCATTGATTGGCGACTAAATCTCTGGGGAGAGGCTATCGACGGCGCCAACCAAAAGCCTCATCCCTTTCCCGATGAGCATGACGACGATCACAGCATCGAGGATGCTATTGTGGCTACCACCAGTGTGGAAACAGGACCTACCAAGACCGGTGCCCCGGACTCCACGGATGACACCATCAATCGTCCTGTGAACGCAAAGCCCATCGAAACTCAGACACCGTCACCCTCCGAAACGGCCGCAACCGAACTAGCTCCACCCGCCGAGACCAGGCCGGCCGCCACGGCGACGTCTTCTCCCACACCTACTGCTGCGTCGGACAGCTTCTTGCCCAGCTTCATGCCCACATTCGGGGCTTCCAAGAGGACACAGATCTGGATCTATGCCGCCATCGGCTCCATTATTGTGTTCTGTATTGGTCTGGGGATCTACTTCCAGGTCCAGCGACGCAAGCGCATTCTCAATAACCCCCGTGACGACTATGATTTCGAAATGATCGAGGACGAGGATGCGCTCCACGGCGGCAACGGGCGTTCGGGTCGCACTCAGCGCCGAGGTGGCGAGCTGTACAATGCCTTTGCAGGAGAAAGCGATGAGGAGGAGCCTTTGTTCAGCGACGAGGATGATGAGCCTTACAGAGATCGGGCTCTGAGTGAGGATCGTCTCCGCGACACCTCCAGCGATAACCGTAGTCTGAGACACGGTGACCACTGATGCATTTATCCTTTTGTCTACCGTGGAAAATCCCTTTTCTTGATTTTTCTGTTTCCGCACTTTGTAGGCGTTCGATTCATCTCCAATGCGATTCAGCCTGGTGCCGAATGAAAGATCTGTATATAATCATCTTCTAAAGAACAAAGTCAGTCATGAACATAATTTGGAGATAATACATCGCTAGCAGTAATTATAAAATTGAAGGTAGTTTTGGCAGATGGAGCAGTAATCATGGATAAACTCGATGGCTGGATGGTTGGATGTTCCTCCAGCCTTGGCCGATGACGCCGTGGTTCTCCAGCTCCCCGGCTGCTCCACCAAGCTGGTTGATGGCTCCTCCGCAACTCTCCATCATCAGCTACCACCAACCAGCAGCTGATAGGATATATTCCATATTTCTCATTTGTCATCAGTCTCTCGATACCAATAGTTTCTCAGGTCTTCGTTCATCGGTTCCGTCGAACAGTGTCAGTACAGCAACGCCGTAGGCCAAGACACCGCCGGACGGCAGCCCCTCGATGGATCAGCACGACGACTTTGATAGCGTCTCGTGGAGACAGGACCCGGAGAGCGACATCTCTCGGCCCACCACATCAGGGACAGATGCGGATGAAGCGCAAGAATACAATCGTGATACCAATGGCAAGCGGAGGATGAGCTCAGTTCACGAAGACCCGCCTCAGGCCGGGCCGCTGGCGGACGCCGTGGACCTGGCGGGTATCGGGGATGGGGTACTGGAATGTCGAGTCGATTCCCCTTTGAAAGAGAATGATGGAACTAAGGATGCGTACATTTCGTATCTCGTCACTACACATGTGGGTTACCTTTTCCTGATCAGTGGGCCTGTGCCCGTTTGCCGGTTGCCTGGCTGGAGATGCATGCGAATGAAGTATTGACAATATGATAAAAATGCAGACCGATTTCAAGTCCTTTCAGAAGCCAGACTTTGCTGTGCGGAGGCGATTTACCGATTTCTATTTTCTGTACAGGACGCTTTACCGGGAATATCCTGCCTGCGCGGTCCCGCCACTGCCAGAGAAGCATAAGATGGAGTACGTGACGGGGGATCGGTTCGGGCCGGAGTTCACTACTCGTCGCGCTTGGTCGTTACATCGGTTTTTGAAGCGCCTGACATTGCATCCTGTCCTTCGTCGAGCCCCGTTGCTTGCTATTTTCCTCGAATCGCCAGACTGGAATGCGCACATGCGACTGCACTCTACCCGCACCTCGACGGGTAACTCTGACGGAAGCGGGACAGGGATATTTGACAACTTCACTGACACATTTGTCAATGCATTCACAAAGGTTCACAAGCCAGACCGTCGATTCATCGAGGTCAAGGAGAAGGCCGACAAGCTGGATGAGGATCTCAACCATGTTGAGAAGATCGTTGCCCGAGTAGCGCGCCGGGAGAGCGACCTCGAGACAGACTATAACGATCTTGCGACGCAATTCCGGAAACTTGTGCCCCTCGAGCCGGATGTCGAGGTCCCGCTACAGATCTTCGCGGCATCGGTGGAGGAGACCGCGCGGGGGTTCAAAACGCTCAAAGACCACACGGATCAGAACTACCTGGGCTCCCTACGGGATATGGAGGCATACATTGTCTCCGTCAAAGCCCTCCTCAAGACCCGCGAGCAGAAACAACTCGACTTTGAAGCGCTGGTAGATTATCGCAACAAAGCGGTGGCTGAGCGGGACTCGCTTGCCGCCAACCCATCTTCCTACTACGCCTCTAACCCTCTAACGTCATCGCCAGCCTCATTCATCCGCTCCAAGATGGAAGACATGCGCGGGGTCGACCACGAACAGTCGCGTCGTGAGCGTGTCCGGAAGCTGGAGTTGCGCATCGACGAGCTCACCCGGGAGGTGGAATCGGCCAAGACCACATCAGAGATGTTCGATGAAGAAGTTGTCCGCGAAGTAGCCGACTTTGAACGGATAAAGGCGGTCGAGTTTCGAGATACGCTGGGGGCTCTTGCTGAAAATCACATCGACTTTTTCCAGGGTGTGATAAACACTTGGGAAAGATTTGTTGCTGAAATGGAAGGGGACCTCGATAACGATCCAGAGACGTCGGAACATGGTCGCGGAGAGGGAGTGGCCGCATAGAGCAAAGGGGGACTGTGAGGGTACCGGACAGATTTTTCATTACTGTGTCTACTTCGTTTATTTACAAGGCAGCGATTCTTGTTACTGTGTAATCACCGGAGGGCGCGTTTTCTACTCTGTTCAATGACAGCTCTTGCGGCGGTATAGTTTGGTAGTTATCAGTCAGTCCCCTGCCGTACCCTCAAATCGATACTCCAGGTCAAGTCTGCACGCTGGGTAGAAGAACTTTGATATCTTGAGGCTTAATACACCCCCATCTACCAGTCTCGCTTCGACTGAACCTCGGCGCATTCAAAGTCAATCGGACTCGGATCGCCCTGAGGTTCTAAAATAGCTGGGTCCAACGCCCTCGTCGTGCGTCTTCGGGCTCGCTCCTGCAACCATGTCAGTCGCATTGCTCCTTCTCTGGTAGGAATCACACACCTCTCTGTATACCTGATTCGGCGTCTTCTCTTTCGCTTTCTCCCCCGCCGTCAACTGAAGGTAGATCTCATGGTCGTATCCCACGGCATTGGAGTTCCCCGCATGGGACTTGGAATGCGCGCCTGCGAAGTTGGCGCTGAGATGGAGTGTTGACGGCGTTGATGCTGTGCGTGTAGTGCTGGGTTTGGAGGTAGAGGTAGAAGTAGAGGTCGATGTTGACGTTGATGTAGATGCCATTTGTTGACGGCAGAAGCGTAGTGTGTGGTGGTACTACCCGTCCACTGGCGATCTTGATCTTAAGACCAACTACCTTAATAGAATAAGAAAGATGCTAGGATCAAAGAAGCGAATCAACAGGCATAATTGAGTTAGTCAATTGTGGCCTTTAGTTTAACGGAGATCATCTGCCAGTTACAGTAGTTGTTCACGAGATATCGGCGTAATATACCTCTTGCTATAAACCATCTGAGCCACCTCCTACGAAGTACTTCCCAGTCAACAGGGGAAGTGGTTTTACAGTGCATCCGCAATGCGTCTTGGGTCTCAGGCATCTCAGTGGCAATGAGGGCCAGCGTTTCAGTGGTAATTGCGGCAGAAGACTAGACTCTGCAATGATCATTCAGCTGCAGTAGGATTCGTATGAAGGAAGTTGTACGGGTTAGTCCGAAAGCAGACTCGTCGTGGTGGCGGAGTTGCAGTCTGCCGCAGCACCGCATTGTGCATTGGGTGTGGCAGTGAATTGACGAAGAAGTGATAGGACAGTTAGAGATCATGTCTGGTTATGTTGGTGCTTATTCATCGGGGGCTGGTCCCTCGGTGTCGACTAAGGTGATCTCCGTGGGCGGTTGTAGTCTCGGATATCCTGATTGAGCATCCAGCATTGGACAGGATACGGCCGAAAGAGAATTGTTTGCTGTTGATGCAGCTGTGTGACAAAGCTATAGCTCTCTATCAGTTACCGTTTTGGTCCTGAAGAATTTGCTTGATGGCATGATGCTCATCATCGTCTTATGCTAATAATACCACAGTGAACAGTGTTTGTTGCGTTTGCATCTTCGTCGACCGGCTCAGCGCATCACCGAAACGAGATGATCTGATGATCGACTTTCAAGCTGTACTCCATACGCTTAAGCTCACCATGCGCCCTCTTCCTCGGTCGGCTCTTCGGCCCTATATCTGTCCATACTGTCGGTCGGGGGCAGTTACACGCAGGAGATTTGCGACTCAGTCCTCCTCTGTACCCGAGATCTATGATGTAGTTTGTGTCGGAGGTGGTCCTGCTGGCCTGGGGCTGTTGGCCGCTCTCAGTATGGCATCCTTCGCACTCAATTCGCGCAATTGAAATGATACTCGGTGATTTGGCCATACTAACTTCATGCAGGAGCTTCTCCAGCCACTTCAAAACTCAAGGTCGCCCTTATAGAGACCCAGGATCTAAGCAGAGCCCGCTCGTGGAAGCTCGAACCGCACCAGTTCTCCAACCGAGTCAGCAGTCTGACACCGTCATCTGTGTCGTTCCTTCAGAGGATTGGAGCGTGGGATCATGTCGACGCGAGTCGTGCTCAGGAGTACCAGGAGATGCAGGTATGGGATGGAGAGACAGGATCGCGCATATCATTCGACTGGTCCATGGAAACATCTCCCTTTGAAAATCTCCCCACTGTAGCGACGATGACGGAGAACGCGAATCTCGTCCGCGGACTGCTATCGCGTATCGAGGCATCAGGCGAAGAGAATCTATCCATCTTCTCAAACACAACGGTCTCGTCGATAGAGAATGGCATTGACGACTCCATGGGGCCGAATCTGTCGGCTTGGCCGGTCCTGTCACTCTCTCCTACTGGCCCCGCGGGACAATCCCAGACGCCTTCGCGCATCGCAGCCAGGCTCTTGGTCGGAGCCGATGGTATCAACAGCCCCGTTCGTCGTTGGGCCGGCATCATGACGGATGGCTGGGACTACGATAGGCATGGCGTGGTAGCCACCCTATCTTTGTCGGATCCAGTTTCGCCTACATTTCCCATCGGCACCAGTACCGCCTACCAGCGTTTCCTGCCATCCTTAGGGGGTCCCATTGCTCTGCTCCCTCTTCCCAACAACACCGCAACTCTAGTGTGGTCCACCACCGTCGAAAATGCCGCCTACCTCAAGTCTCTGTCGCCTAGAGCCTTCATCGCCATGGTCAACGCTGCTTTCCGTCTTTCCATGGCCGATCTCAAGTACATGATAAACATGGAACGCCCAGCAAACCCAATGGCAGATGCTGAGAACCCCCACGAAGACGAACTTACATGGCGCCTGCAACATACCCCTCAGCCATCCCACATTCCGCCTATGGTCAACGGAGTTCAAGAGGGCAGTGTGGCCTCCTTCCCGCTGCGCTTCCGCCACGCATCGACCTACATCTCGCCCCGAGTAGCTCTGGTCGGCGACGCGGCCCACGTCATCCACCCACTGGCGGGACAGGGTCTCAACCTCGGTCTCGGGGACGTGGCTTCCCTCTCCAAGACGATCGAGTACGCCGTCAACCACGGGATGGATGTAGGTGATATCCTGACTCTGGAACGCTATACCGCAGAGCGATACGCCACTAACGCCAAGATCGGCGCTGCTTGCGATGTCCTGCACAAGCTGTATAATGTTCCTGGCCAGGGGCCGGTTACCTGGGCTCGGAGTTTCGGTCTCGATGTCATTGATCGCTTACCGTTTGTCAAGAATTTCTTGATGAAAAATGCACAGGGATGAGGACTGCCTCGGCGTCGACGTCACCACACCTCTCACTTCTATTATACATCGCTATTCATCTGTATGTTAGCTTTTGACAGAGATAGAATCCTTTAGCGTACGATACTCCAAATGTACACTATGAGGGTGGGAACCCGGGTACCCGAATAAAAAGAAATGAAATGTTAATAAAACTTTTGCATGTCATGCTCCAAATTCGACTGCAATCTAAACTGGGTATTTTGGAATCTCGCAGGTACTTCTCGGTCCTGCTGTCTCGTTTTCTACATGCTCCTTTTTATGGTGAATGGCCTGCTATATGCGACGTATCCCCGCTTAGACCCCCGCGTCCTCGGTCTTGGGAGCTTCAACCTTGACGGCTTCAAGCTGTTGTGTTACGCCCGAGATATCCGCCTTAGCTGACGTCTGGCTCTGTTTCTTGGCCAGTCTGGCCTTGACTTCGTCGGTGAGGGCGGACAGCTCGACCAGGACACCTTCCTTCTCGGGGTGGCCTTCCTCGAGACCCAGTTCCTTGACACGAACCTGGCCGGCGGCGAGTTCGTCCTCGCCCAGGATGACGGCGAAGGGGACGCCTCCTTGTTCGGCAGCCTTGAATTGTTGGGGGAGCTTGGGCTTGATCTTGTAGGAGAATTCAGCCTACACGGGAACGGTCAGCTCTCTTTCTGTTTGTATTGTGTAGAGACAATCGTGGAGAGACTTACCTTGATTCCGGCGTTCCAGAGTTTCTGGCATACCTCCATACGCTCCTTGAGCATACCGGTGAAGCCCTTTCCACCAAAGGCCATGACAAAGACATCGACTTCGCTGCTGCGCAGTGCCTCGTTGCTCTTTTCCCGCTCGAGTCTGGCTTTGGTGATGGAGAAGATGCGGTCCACTCCGAATGAGACACCAACGCAAGGAATCTGAGCCTTGGGCAAGAACATGCCAACGAGATTGTCGTAGCGGCCACCTGCGGCAACACTGCCAACACCTAGTGTGGGATCGTTTGATCTGTCCTCATCTTCGAGGTTCCCGCTCTTGGACTTGTCCTTCTTTCCGGACTTCTGGAGCTTCTGTGCTTCGGGGGCTGAGGACGAGACGGCAGGCGCAGAACCTTCGGTAACAACCTCGTAAATGACACCTGTGTAGTAGTCAAGTCCTCGCGCCAGAGACATGTCAAAGGAAATTTTGTCGAGACATCCGAAGGCTTCAAGGTAGTCCATGAGCAATCCCATCTCCTCCAGACCAGCCTTGGCCGACGCGTTCGCAGTTAAAGACTCGTCCTTCCATAGAGATTCGAGTAGTTCCCGAGCGCCCTTGCCAGCCACGTACTTCTCAATTCTGTCGGCCACCTCACCATCCAGTCCCTTCTCCTCGACCATTTCCTTCCGCACATCGGCCCAGGACATTTTATCGAGCTTATCAACGGCGCTAGAGATAGGACGGATCTTCTCGGGCGGCACACCGCAGACCTCGAAAACACCGTCCAGGATCTTCCGGTGGTTGACCTTGATAGTATAACGACCCTGCCATCCAAGTTCCTCAAACACCTCTGTCACGATCCGCAGAATCTCAGCATCGGGAACCATAGGATCAAAAGCACCGGCGATATCGAAATCACACTGGTAGAACTCGCGCATGCGACCCTTGCTCACAGCAGGCTGATCACGGCGATACACCTTGGCAATGTGGTAGCGTTTGATACTGCGCACGTCGGGGTTCATGGCGAGCCAGCGGGCAAAGGGCACGGTCAGATCGTAGCGAAGAGAGCAGATCTCGCCACCCTGATCCTGAAGGTCGTAGATAAGCTTGGAGTCCTCGCCATATTTTCCGGCCAGGATCTCACGCAGCTCGAAGACGGGTGTGTCGAGCGCCGTGCCGCCGTGACGCTTGAAGACATCGGCAATGGTCGAGAAGATCCGGTCGCGGAGGAGTGCGTCGGACCCGGACCAGTCCTTTGTGCCTTTGGGCGTCTTGAGGTTGAAGGAATTCTTGTTATCCTTTGGCATCGTGTCTACCGGGCGCGAAGATCTGAGGGTGAGGGAAGAAGAGTGGCGGTAGTGGGGATGGTGGGGTCGCTGGAGGAGAGAGTGAGGGTTGTTGGGCGGACGGCCGCTGCGCTGGGAAGGGGCCGACGGACAGGTACAACGACAATGGGATCAACAATTGTTCGTCGTGCAGAGCGCAAAAAGCCTGATTGAAAAGTGGGCTTCATCCAAGGGATTGGAGTGGTGAAGCAGAGCCGGCTAGTAAACAATAAATCGATGACCCTCTATATATCTCTGGCCAGTCTGATGATCTGATGTTGTTTCTGACTCACTTCCTTACTTTTTCTGGAGAGTTGCTCGAAACAGCAAGTTACTCCGTGTCCGGCTCTCAAACAGGGATTCAGGGCTTCCGCTTAGGGCAAGTCACGTGTGGCTCTTTTCACTCTCCGATTTACCTTGGTAGACTTCTACTGGTGATTGGGACCTTTGCTCTGTTATGGTTCTATTAAAGAGCTTATTCAGGACAAGACTCAGAGATGAGAAAAGCTTTGAAAATTCAGCAGTCTGAGCAAAGAGACTAGGTTTTATGCAAGCCGAACCCAGTTAACCCAGTACTCAAGATCGACAAACGCAGTGTACCCTGCGCAGTGATGAACCAGCACAAGGAGAATTTAGGCTGTCAAACTGGTCTCTACTCAATCTCATTCTCGACTGAGGGCTTACTTATTCACCAAGATAATCCAGTTACTTCGCTCTAGGAGTACTTCTGATGACCCCTATTTACCCACGGTGTGTGAAAATTGAAGCCCTCTGTCAGAGAACGGGGGCGAATCCTGACAGTCATGGAACAGGAAGATACGGACAGAAACATCACAGAGAGTCGAATTCCACAACCCGGGTACATGTTCTGAAGGTTTGAGACTACCCCATAGTTTCCGTAAATCGAGCTTCAAAGGAGTGGGGTAGATGTCCTCCGTACGATCGTCGATCTACATACCAAAGTCCTTGACAGCTAACATGTCAACGTCGTTGACAGAGCTCTGCTTATAATTATCAGTCTTGCATTGTCCATTTTGCCTGAAAGTACACCTGAGCACAGTTATCTGCTGCAAGGTCAGCCGGTTGCACAATCAAAGCTGATCCCGAGCACTTAAAACGAGCATCATCCAGACGGCCTAGCCTACTCGTGCTTGCTGTTGGATTCAGCATTATTATCCGTGTAGCTAAAGTACGCGGCTGAACATATTGACCAAGTTCAAGACCAGTTTTGAAATGCATACCGAGATCTTCCCTGAGCCAGTAAATCCGAGTACAATGAGGTATTTACGCCCCCACATATTTGTACTATGATTGGCTCAAAGTTTAACCCCACGCGAGGGGGTGGCACATGGCCCAGAAAACCAAATGAAAGTTGGCATTTTCATTCGTCGTCTGCGATCAGCCCTTCCCCAGGTCCCATTGGATGTCACTGCGGGAGTTGGTCCTTGGGCCCAGTGCGTAGGACTCGGCCCCTGGTTGGAATTCTAACTATTTCTAGATTTTAACCAGCCGCTGCCAACCTGCCACTCAAGAAGCAGGTTATGGCTGGCTCGCAACCACTAAACTACGGTCGGTCGCTCTTATTCTTTTAAGAATGCCCAGGATAATGATCTATGTTTATTGTTCCAGGATGTTCTCTAGAACTAGTTACCGTCAAAAGTACCTGACAACTTTGCAGCGTACCTTAGGTACCTAGATCAGCTCCAGCCTATTCAGGTACCTTTTGAGTTTCGTACAGCAGCAAAACATACAGCATTGTGCATTTCCTGTATTGCCTAGTATCACAGAACAGTTGAACTACGGGCTTATCGAACTGTGGGGTTGATAAAATTTGACGATTGGCTACGTACATAACCGGAATTGTCTTATCATCCTTGTGTTTCCACGTGGTTCGGTGGCTGGATTACCTTGACACATACGATACAATACCTTACCTTCTCCCTCGATTTTCGAGATACTACTGATAGCCATATCGACTCAGTCCATATGCGGGGGAAGTTCCATAGAGACTATTTTTGGCGGTAATTCAACCTCTCAACAATAGGATAAAATAACGAATTTATGGCCTTAGGTCTCAGGCTGTCAGCACCTTATTAATACGTAAGGAGTGCCAAGATGGCCGCTGAGCTCAGGCCGGTCAGAATCCATGCTGTATTTCACCACAGGATTAGCAATCCAAGAACTCAAATTCAGCGATGTCCGCCTTGATCGCCGATATGGAGTAAAAAATTGCGAGTGCTCAGATTCCTGAAGTCCAGGCGAAAATGATCAGGCCCTGAGAATTGACTTACGTATCTGTATCAGTGGAGGATCACTTGGCCTACGCCTCCAGGAACTCGATCCGCTGTGTGCAACCGTAACACAAGGTAAGGCCAGCTAAGCCATTGACATAAGCCTGAGCCATTGCCAGTGGGCTGGCATCGAATCAGAATACCCTTCCTAACGAAGACCAGGTTTGAAGGTGGCTTTTCAAAGTACAGTGACTTATCTACGCCATGGCATAGGACTCTGGCCTCTGCTATTCTTAGTGATATGTTCAAGGTCGGACTGGTTTTCCGGAATGATATAGTCACTTCATGTACACAATGTGGTCGACTTGGGGCTTGAATTTATCCGATCCTCCTGTATCAATCAGTTCAGGATGTACTCTGCAGCTGGACATCCAAGGCAGCAGTTCGGACACAGTGGGTCGACTGACTCGGAGATTCCACAGCAATAGTGAGTTCCTTGTTCCTTGGTGATTGATCCTGAAGGGGTGTATGGACTACTATATCGAGTTTTCCACGTAAGTAATATTGAATTGGTAGGAAGAATAATCTGATGGCGAGTTAACAAGTACCTATCTACCTCCAATCTGTAAGAAAGGCAGAAAATACCCTACAGCTTCGGGTAAGCCGTTTAGTTACAGACACCTACCTGTACTGTCACCGGTATTATGATAACATACTCCGTTCCAGAGGTATTGACAAGAGTTCTCTCCATGGGTGACAGTTTCTTTGGGGATATCCTGATCTGATCATATCTTACGAAAAGGAATATTCAAAATTTAGATTAATGACTCTTGCACATAAAGATCACAGCTTTATAAATTTGCAGTCTCTAAAGAATCATACTACTACCATGTAAATAGACACTCGAACAATCGTCTGACTCCAGCCCACCAACGACGAGAACATCCACCGACCCAAAACGGTTCATTCGCCCCCCAAACTCGCTCGGACCCGCCCTTTACTCTCTCCGTCATAACTAAACGACTAGCAGTAGACTAACTAGCAGTCTAGTATGTCTAGCAGTCCGGAGATTAATTTGGTTCGGTCTTATTAACTCCCGTTTGTATGGAGAAACGACGGTCAGTGAGTGCTTCGTCGACGTCTTCGTGCTGCTAGCCTCTGTTCTCAGATAACCGCCTGCCCGCTCGCTCTTCTACCTCTTCCATCTTTCTATCCACTCTCTAATCTCTGTACTCATATCCTTCGTAACGAGTTCTTGCTGTCAATCTGTCGCCTCAATTCGGTTTTCTCACTCTTCACAACCTTCGTGGAAGCCTCTCTCAACCGCTGTATTCCTCAACCTATGGGGTAGTCCCGCCTCTCTCTCTTCCGCTACCGTTCAACGACGTTCCGCCGCGATACTCTCTCTTCCTCTGATCAAATTTCCACGCTTTTTCACTTTCGAAGTTCCGTCGGTTTTTCGAAACGTATACTGTTGATTGAGACACTCTGGAATTCCTCATATCTCCTGCCCTTGATCGCCATCTGTTTCTTGTTCGGTCACTCCCCGCTTATTCTACCGCATCCTCATCCCTCGGGCGTTCCCTGCGACGAACTCCGCACACGTCCAGCGTTGCTGGCATCAGCCTCCTTTCCCGCGGAAGTCACCAGATGAAGCCAGATACTACGAATAGAGATACTTTGTGACAAGCATGGGGTCGTTCCTGAGGAGTTTTCGCCATAATGGGGTATGTCCTTTTACCCGTTTCTGTGCCTATTGTCTGGCTTTCTAGGCCGGAGGGCTTTCCTTTTGCCTGTCGCTATGTTTGTCTTCTACTTGTCAACTTTAGGAAGCTAGAGAAAGATGCTCTCTATCTTCATCTTCACTGTTTCTTCGTTTCCTCGCCGCGTTGGTCAATTGCTGATTTGTCACCTTGTTTACCTAGGGATCTACTGCGCCTTCGGTCGGAGCGGTCCCCGCAAAGAAAGAAACACAACCTCCCCCGATGACGCCTCTTGAAAAGAGGCTACTGGACATGGGCCCGATTAGGGAGGATGGAAGCGACAAGTTTTATGGCATGGAAAATGTAAGTTCACTACCGTACTACCGGATTGCCGTTCTATTGTGCGCTCAGCTCAATTTGCTGACATCTCGTCCTGCTTTAGTATGGAAATACATGGTAAGTCATCTCGCGCATAACATCGAGTCGCCCTAGAAGGACAAGAAAGACTATCGAAAGAAACACTGCTAAAACTTTTTATCTCGACAGCTACTGTAATTCGATATTGCAGTGTCTTTACTACTCGGTTCCTTTTCGCGAAGCGGTAATCAACTATCCTACAAGGACGCCGATAGAGAGTTTGGAAGCAGCGTTAGCGAAGAGTCTCCGTTACCCGAACCCGAACGCGCAGCTGGAAGCGGAAGCTCAAGCTGAGAAGCAGAAAGCTGCCAATGCTCAGCGACCTGGCATGCCGCCGAATCCGCAGCAGAAGCCCGAGGACAAGGACTCGCCGGAATATAAGAAGAAGATGGCACTGCAGACACTCCCTCTCCTGGAAACACAGAACAACGCCGCAAGCTACGGCATGTCTGAATCACTTTTTACGTCTTTGAAGGACATTTTCGAGTCCGTCGTTGGGAGTCAGTCCCGCATCGGTATTATACGTCCGCAGCAGTTCTTGGAGGTCCTCAGGCGAGACCACGAAATGTTCCGGACGGCCATGCATCAAGACGCACATGAATTTCTGAACCTATTGCTCAACGAAGTTGTCGCTAACGTCGAAGCCGAGGCTTCCAAACAGCCTCTGGAAAAAAGCCTTCCTCCGCCAGAGACTGCTGACTCCGTGGATCAATCGTCGAGTACCGGTTCGAAGACCCCCAATACTACTCGTTGGGTTCACGAACTATTCGAAGGACTCTTGACCTCAGAAACGCAGTGCCTTACATGCGAAAAGGTGTCTCAGCGTGACGAAGTGTTTTTGGACCTTTCCGTGGATCTGGAGCAACATTCATCGGTCACATCTTGCTTGAGGAAGTTCTCCGCGGAGGAGATGCTCTGTGAACGAAATAAATTTCACTGTGACAATTGTGGTGGTCTTCAAGAGGCTGAAAAGAGGATGAAAATTAAACGCTTGCCGCGCATCCTAGCATTACACCTGAAACGGTTCAAATACACAGAGGACCTTCAGAGACTGCAGAAACTGTTTCATAGAGTGGTTTATCCATATCATCTCCGTCTGTTCAATACGACCGATGATGCCGAAGACCCCGATCGCCTCTATGAGCTGTATGCGGTTGTGGTGCATATTGGTGGTGGGCCCTATCACGGACACTATGTTGCAATCATCAAGACTGAAGATCGAGGATGGCTACTTTTCGATGACGAGATGGTCGAGCCGGTGGACAAGAACTATGTCAAAAACTTTTTTGGCGATAAGCCGGGTCTAGCATGTGCTTATGTTCTTTTCTACCAGGAGACCACCCTTGAGGCTGTCTTGAAGGAACAGGAACAAGAAAATATGGACTCGAACCTGGCCGCTACCGACACAAACGACACTATCTTGAAGCAGAACGGGTTCCCTCAGTCGCCTTTGGCTCACGTGCACAGCGCTTCTCAGATCCCTTCTCACGAAGATAACCTCCGACCGAATGGCCTCAGGCGAGCCCCTACCGCGCCTCAGCTTTCTACTCACGACGAGCACGGAGACCCCGAGAGCACTCCTTTCAGTCCGCTTTCTCCGCTTTCTCCGATCCCTCCTGTCCCTCCCATTCCCGAGAGGGTCGCCACAGTTGCAATTCCACCAAAGAATGATGCGCTGGCCAAGAGGGAACGGGCCCGGGAAGAAAAGGAACGAAAGGCGGCTGAGAAGGAAAGAGAAAAGGCTGAGAAAGAAAGAGAAAAGGCTGAAAAGTTGCGCCGCAAGGAACAGGGAGCAAGACTGAAGGAAAACCAACGCCGTGAGGAAGCCGAGCTAAAAGCCGCTCTAGAAATGAGCAAAGCATCCAAGGCCGAGGAAGACCGTCGCCTTAGCCCTGAAAACGGCAAGGAGAAACAAAGTGGTGGTCTGAGCCGACTGAAACGGAGCAGCAAAAGCTTGAGCCACAGGCTCGGCAAGGACAAAGAGACGCGGAGTGTGTCGTCGGATCTACCGTCGGTACCTATCCCCGAGCATTCAACCCCAACCCTTTCGCAAAGTGGGCCGACATCAGAGCAACAACAGCAACAACGACAACAATCACCTCCAAACCACGACCAGGCCCCGAATTCTCCCCCGCTCGTCAAGCCTACGATAAGAGAGGACGAGCAAGTGAACCACAAAGACTCCAAACATGAACGTACCGGACATGGAAAATGGAGAAGTTTCAGCCTCAGAAAGAAGTCGTTCAGCATTTTGTCATAGCGACCATTATCTCGAAGGTCGACATTGATACATTTCAACGGCCTTGCATAGTTTTGCACATAATACCCGGATTTTTACCGTACATATATTCGCTTGATGTATCATCATATTTTCCCCTTCGGTACCGGTATCTATGATCTGCGGCGAGATGACACCTACGGCACAGTTTGCTGTCAAAGTAGCTGCGATTTCATGAGACCGATCTTGTCTTATTTCTCTTTCCTTCGATGATCTTCACTTTTCACGCATCTATGTGTCTATCTTCTTTTCCATATGGTCGATGTTGTGATACCCATGCCCGGGTCACACAGTGGCGTACATGAGGCGTTCAGCGGATTCTTTTTACTTCTTCTTTTTCTTCAAGTGACACGGGAACGGTGTACAGGTAACATTTACTTCATGGTCATGAGAATATTCGTACGGCTTTCGAAAAGTCAAAGAGTTCTCTTGGGACATGTGGGTTGTGGATCTACAAGGTGGATATTGTCTTCTGAACCCGGCAGGTACTTTGTTACAGGACCTTTCTGGTCTTCCATTGCCATAGAACAGTCAAGATTTATCTGTTGCGGCGTCTTAAAAGATCCATGTATCAATTAAAGTGCACAGATGCATATACGACTGAGAACACCAACGATGGTTCGTGAAAATACAATTAACGCATGAATCTGGGACAACTTGCTGGGAATCAATCATATCATCTGTCATTCATGCAGTTTTTAACACGAGATCTCGTAGTCGGACAATCACTTATGAGGTATCCTATTCCTCATGGCTCACTCGTCATATGCGGTAGGGCTCTAGCTTCTTGTGCCCATTCCATTGTGTAGAGACAGGTCGATCATGCGTTTGAAGGACCCCGAGAAAAGACTATTATCCGAGTCTTTCTATAAGGCGAAAACAAGGTTATGCAAGGGCATCATTCACCCAAGAATGAGCTCGTAGATGATTATCGTCGTATTGATCACGATTAGGGGTACTGCAACCAGATCGAACGGTCAGCTTAGCCTCATATAGCCCAACTTCTAATCCAACGAAGCAACAAAACAGACAAGGGAGTGAACGGCGGAATCGGAGTGGCTTACTTCGCATCACGGTCCGAACACTAGCGATCAAATTCACGGATTTGGCCTTGATACTTGTGCTATCGTATGTCGCGCCGAAGGCAGGGTCTGTCTGTGTGCGGCCCCATCCAACTACAGCAGTTGGTTAGTCTCAGTGTCGGTATTGTATTGGTAAAGCTTGAGCAAGCGCATGAAATTAAATTGCGGAGGAGGGATAGAGCAAAGGAGATAGGATAGCGTACTTCTTGCCAGAAATCGATCTTCAGAGAGGACGGCCACGGCGTTGATTAATAGACAGCATACTGCGCCTGGTGTTAGTTGACTGAGGCCATATGGGACGGGAAACGGTGCGTACCATAGACGAGTTTTCCGAGGCCGAATAGGAACATCTTTGCGACTGCTCTGTATGCCTGCGCGTGGTGAGAGGGAGGCGTGGAGGGTCGGAGTCGGACTGCGGTGATACAGTGGACAGGTCGAGGCGGAGATGACTTACTTGGCTCGGCGGTCGATGTTTCGCTGACGTGTGGGGAAAGAAGGGGAGCTCTGCTGGAATGACTTCACTTGGCCTGCGGAAACGGGGTTTATGCTTAACGTTCTTGCTGCAGTACAATGGGGAGTAATGCTGGTAGGAATGATCCGATTGCTATGCTCGATATGTGAACTTACTAATTTGCTGATATCTCGTTTAGTGTTTCTGTTGTTGATCGTGTCGCTTCCGGTCCTTGTTTGTCTCCACCTGCTCGTTGCTCCCTACACCAAGGTCGAGGAGTCGTTCCATATACAGGCTGTACACGATATTCTGAAATATGGCATTCCTACGGGTGATGTCTCTGGTATCCTAGCACATTATGATCATTCGACGTTTCCAGGAGCGGTGCCTCGGACCTTTGTCGGGGCTGTTGTTCTGGCCGGGCTATCGCAGCCGTTCATCTGGTTGAATGAGAATATCGATAAGCAAACTCTCGGTATGCATCTCTCTAAACTTGCGCTTGGTTAGCTAGTCTAGCGGAACTGATTTTATTCTCACGTAGCTCGAGGTATCCTAGGCCTGTTCAATGCTGTGTCGCTGATATTGTTCGCGCTCGGCGTACGGCGAGCATTCGGAAAGTCTACGGCCATTTGGTATCTGCTGTTCCAAGCGAGCCAGTTCCATGTCATCTACTATGCCTCGAGGACCCTCTCCAACATGTTCGCCTTTGGCATTACTACATTGGCAATGCGGGCTCTTCTCCCGGAACCTGTAGCTCTTGATCTCTACAGGAAGAGATGCAGAGTGGCGTTGTTCCTGTTCACGATAGCTGGCATCATTTTTCGGTCCGAGTTGGCTCTATTTCTGGCCGCGCATACACTGTTTCTCTTTGCTACGGGTCGTATCCGACTCGTACAGGAGATCATCCTGGCGGGAGCTCTGGGTCTTGTGGTTGGACTGGCCATCACTGTGCTGGTGGACTCGTTCTTCTGGCAGCAGTTCCCGTTGTGGCCAGAGCTCGCTGCCTTCAAGTTCAATGTCCTCTCAGGGCAAGCCTCCGCATGGGGAACGCACCCGTGGCACTTTTATTTCAGCAGCGCCATCCCGCGCCTGCTGCTGAACCCCTTGACCTATCTACTCGCACTCCCCTTCGCCCTCACGCATCCATCCACCCGCTCTTCCGCAGCATACATCATCATCCCCTCCCTTGTCTTTGTCGCGATCTACAGCGCTCAACCGCACAAGGAATGGCGTTTCATCGCATACGCAATCCCACCCTTAACCGCCGCCGCTGCCCAAGGCGCTTCCTACATCTGGACGCACCGCTCAAAATCCCTCATCTACCGTCTGCTCTCCCTCGCCCTGATAGCCTCAACAGCCGCTTCGTTCTTCCTCTCGAACTTTGTCCTCCTGCCCGCCTCATCAGCAAACTATCCCGGCGCTCGCGCCCTCAACATCCTCCATAACCGCGCCAACAACACCAAACCCGTCATCAACGTCTATCTCGGCAACCTCGCCTGCCAAACAGGCGTCACCAGATTCCTGGAGATGCCTCCTCCCCAGATCCCCGTGGAACCCCTGCAAAACAGCGAGCTCACCGCCCTCGAGAGCGCGAGTTCACGTTCAGGTTCAGTCTGGCGATACGACAAGACAGAAGACGAGACCGCCAAGGCCTTCCCTCCCTTCTGGAAACGGTTCGATTACGTGCTCATTGAGCCGAGCGAAGAGAAGAAAGTCCGGAGGGCGTCGGGCCGGCCTCAGAGCTGGGAGGAGGTCGAGGTGATCCATGGATTCGCCGGGCTGAAGGTCCTGCGTCCTGGTGAGGGGCCACTGGGCAGCTGGAGGAGCGGGTCTTCGGCCTCGTGCTTGGTCCCGAGGGTGCTCGGTATTGGACGATGGTTAGGGATTATGCTCGGAAGCATGTCACACGTGGGTGGTGGGCGGAGTTGAGGATGGAGCCCAAGATTAAGATCCTGCGTCGGATCAGGTGATATTGGTTATTTTGTAGTGTAATGTTATTTTCTATCTCGTTGGGGTAGGCCATGGACAAGAGCCAAAAAGTACACCAAAATCAAATTATTGGATATCACTGTATGCACATGTGACAACAAGGATAAATCGCCGTCTTAATACCATTATTACAAGCGTTCTAAGCAGGCCCGGGTATAGAGCCAAGAAAATCAATCCTCACGGCTTTCCAGCCGGCCCAGTCTCTTTTCCAAGTCCCGAACCCATGGCTCGACTAACTCGATGTTGCTCTTCATTGCTGCCTCACTCTGCCCCATCTTCTCCTCGACCACTTTCAACCCTTCACGCCATTGCTCGATCTCCCGCGTCATCTCCGCATGTCTCTTCTCGAGCTCATTGAGTGAATCCGCTGCCTGCGCGGCGCCCGCGTGGATGGCACGGAGGGAACGTAAGCGCTCGAGCACGCTGGGTAGGATAGGATGAAGGGACTGGATAGTAGGGAGAGTAGCGTAGAGGGCTTGGATTTTCGTGGCTTGTTCGTCACGCTGAGTAGCTGCTTGGTCGATTTCGGTGGCCGACCCGGATGACACCGACATGTCGGAGGTCTGCTCGATCGTGGAGGTCGCGATACGGGCGTTCTGAGCGGCTTTGGCGGCGTCAACTGCACGTTTCCGTGCCGAAGCCAGTGCCTCGGTATCCGCGGTCAGTCTTCGTACCCGGCTTGATAGGGCCTCGAGGTGGGTGGTTGTGAATGTTGTCGACGGTGCAGCGGACCCAGTAGTCGGTACAGCTGATGCCGGGGTGGGCCCGACAAGGATATTGGTAAGTGTGGATAGTCGGGAAGTGAGGTGGTCCAGGGCAGGAAGGACGGGCTGAAGTGCCGGCTCGGAGATGCCGTCAGAAACAAAAGGATTGGAGGAGCTAGAGATGCCCATGGCGGCTTCAATTAATGCTAGCCGGCCGTCAAAGGCTGCAGCATGTGCCAGAACGCCAGCGGACGACGGAGTCACTGCATCTTCTGTCGCGATCGTCTCGTCAGGTCCCTTCGATCCGCCAGGAACGTCTTGGGAAGTAGTCGACACGAGCTTCTGGGTCAGCGCTGTGGCCGCGGAGTGCGGTCCTGACGCATTTCGAGAAGATCCATGAAGGTTGTCCAGCGCCCGGCTCAGTTCCAGTACACCGTCGTCTACCGCTTCGACAGGTTCCTCGGTGGATTCCGCTTTTGTTTGTCGCGATGCCATCTCATCCTTCAATTCCTCAACTTCCCTGCGCAGACGGGCCAGCTTTCTCTCGAAGCTCTCCTCCTCCGTGTCGCTGGTATCGCCCACTTCCTCTATCCCATCAGGACCTCTCCGTCGTCGACGGCTTTTGCTTCTGTATGATTTTCGTTTGAGGGCAATGCTATCGGAGAAGTTGACATCGCGGGCGTCTACAGTAGCCCCCAGGAAATGAGCACGCGCGTCGTCGACATCGACTCCGTGTCGGTCGATGTCGGAGTTTGTGCCAGTGTCATCATCCGCGTCGGAGGCGGTGCGAATCGTGGCAGTCTTCAGGTTTTCGTACGTTAGATGGTGAATTCATAGAAGTATGAATTTGCTTTCGTTTGGCAGGGAACTAACGGGAAGTGTGGATGCCTCATCGGTCAGATCTGGGGTTTCATAGATATCGGGAGCTGGATCCTAACGAGACACGCATTGTTAATTGAGGCCAAGGACGTTGACACGAGTGGGGTGAGACTCGACTACTTACTAGGTCAGGAAGACCGGCATATTTCTTGTTAAATGACATGCCGCAAGCTTGTAATGGCAATCTGCTTATTGAACAAATTTGAATAAATGCTGATGTTATTGCTGACCCTGAGATCACTTAGTTTGCGTGTATATTGACTCGGTCTTTTGGTACTCCGCCTTGGCACGTGAAAGGGGTATCCACCCCTGGCGGCCTGAACTGTCAGGTACGTACTATCAATAATCACACCCCACCTTTTACGGAGTATTGATTCCACACTTTCATATGATAGTGGTTACTGCGTCATACCAAACATTAGAGGGGTGGCCGGAACAGGATATTTGCATCGGGCATGGGATCCGAGATGGACTATAATTAACGATCAAAGCCAGAGGCTGAACCTGCTGCACTCTTCCGTACACATGGCAAAAAAAGTCAACAAATAGTAATTGAGATACTATGTAGTCGCAATGAGGCTAACAGGTAGCCAACCCCGCCACTGTCACTGGATCAATGAGACGACAGGTTCATACCAACAGTCTGTGCAGTCTGTGCAGTCTGCGCAGTCTGCGCCAGTAATAATCATGAGAAAGACAGAGTCGTGCAGTAGTACAGAGTAGTATGGATGTCAGTCTTGCACGTGTCAGCCTCGGTGATGAGCGGGGGAAGGAACGAGACGGGAAGGGTACCTGAACGGGGGAAGTTGTGGAGAGGTTGCCCAGACAGGCACATGAAAGACATTGTGACTACTGTCCCCCGGACGGCCTTATTTTAATCCCCATTCCTCTCCCTCTTCCAAGGGTCAAAAGACAACATTTTTCCCTTCCCTCGATATCTGTAATCGCTTCGAATCCATCCCTATCCTATCATCTACCATTTACTACCCCTCATCATCCATCATGGCCGCCCCCGCAGACGTCACTATCAAGAACCTCAATGGAGAGTGGACGATGGTATGGGTTGTACTCAAGTTCTATTTCGCGTCTTGCTAACCATAGATCTCAATCTAGGAGAAAACCATCTCTGACCCCTCCGACCCTATTCTCGCGTTTGTATGTCATGAAAGCCATATTCCCTGGTCTCTTGAGTTTCATTGCATAACCTAGCTCTGATCGCTTCATTGTCATTCCATGCTTACTGATATCCTCGTTCAGCAAGGTGTTAGTTGGGTCACTCGCAAAGCTATCTCATACGCCACTGTCACCCTAATTGTCAAGGAGTATGCCGACTCGGAAGATGCGAAGCTCATGCACATCGATATCGATCAGGTCTTGACAGGAGGCATCAAGGGTACTAGCGAGAAGCGCCACACCGATTGGGTGGAGCGCGAGCACAAGGACCACATTTTTGGCACCCTCAAGGGACGGTCGCGGCTGATCCGCGGCTCCAAGGGCGATGATGGCAAAGTCCGCCCTGCCGTCGATATCAACACCAAGATCGATGACCCCAAAGTGAAGCAGTTCCTGCGAGGTGAGATCCTCATAGATGGTAGCCCGAGCGAAGGTTTCCTCGTGGACAATGTGGGTGAGGAATATGGTGAAGGCGAAGGTCTCTTCCTGCAGAGCTTCGTCGTTAACCAGGACGATGGAGCCGGCTGGACCGCAGAACAGGTTCGCATATTTGACAATCTACCCGGGGTTGGCGACAGATACTAACCTTCATATAGATCTGGGGCTTTGAGACGATCAACGGACAGCGTTACCACACTCGCCGTGTGGTTGTCGCCAAGGATGGCGAGTACAAGATGGCTCGTCTTGCTTATACCTATGTTAAGAGGCCGGATGCGTAAACATTGACCTCTTTACTAAGTCATGTATGATAGCGCCAACGGATAGGTATTGACCAACTGAGGGTCAGGAGGTCTTGTTGTGTTGCTCGCTCTTGAGCTATGAATGTCACGTTATGTGCAGCGGCCTTTGGTCAAACCCCCGAGCCTATTGACCTATTGTTAGTTATAGAATTGACTATGTGTCCATAGTCCCCTGCTTTGCATCAATGTAGTTTTCGGCTGTTGGGGTTTTGTCCAGACCGATTTCATAAGTTGCTTAAGTCTCGGGCACCTGGCGTACACACCAAAGGCAGGTGAAGAAAGAAAGAATAGGCGCAGCTATCTACGCATAGATAGAGAGTAATTAAATCGACCTTTGCCCCTAGGCCGACCATTTGATTTTCCTTCAGCCAATCAAAACTGCTTCACCGCAGCCTCTTATGGTGTGCAGCGACTAGGTAGGTAGGTAGAGGTACCTTACCTACCTACAATAGAGAGGTATACGGTGGATCAAAATACTACGCGAGGATAATCGTGCAGCTGACTTCATTGACATGGTCTCGTAGCCAAAGCTCAGTACAATTTCCCGTTTGTCCAACAACAGGTGATACACAAGACTCGGAAGCTAATCGAGAACAAAGGCCTATGCTTGTGGGACTATGCAGAAAAAGATGTCAATTTATTCCCGAAAGACGAGGAACAAGGCAGACGCGTGCATGTCGTCAAATGGTATATCGAATATTAGTTTTTGCAGTTTTGGTATGTTTTGGTATTTCTTTCCCCGTTACATATTCCCTTTTTGGTTCTTCAAATCCATCTGATGTGCTTTCATGAATGCGTGGGCATCACAACGTGGGCCTTGGTGCTAATGGCATCTTCGCTGCGCCACAGACTGGTTACAGTCTTCTGCTGGGTGTAGAATTGCAGGCCGGGCTTGCCGTAAAAGGTGTTCGCACCGCCACCGGCGATACTCTTTTTGTTGCCGGTGAAGGAGAACATGGGCAGGGGCACGGGGATGGGGACGTTGACGCCGACCTGGCCGGCCTCAATGTCCTTCTGGAAGCGCGAGGCGGTTGAGCCGGAGCAAGTGAAGACGGCGGCTCCGTTACCATACTCGTTCTTGTTGATGAGTTCAATGGCGTCGTCCAGAGTGGGGACGTTGAGGCAGACGAGGACGGGGCCGAAGATTTCCTCCTTGTAGCATTTCATGTCGGGGGTCACGTTGGTGATGATAGTTGGGCCAATCTGCGCAGGCAATGGGTTAGTGAAAGCGAAACGGGAAAGGATTTGATCATAGGAGGGTGAGCTTACAAAGTTGCCGTTGGGATACTTCTCAGGCTTGTAGCCCCTGCCATCCAGAAGGATGGTGGCGCCCTCCTGTTCGGCACTGGCAATCAATTCTTCGATGCGCTTCTTGCTCTCGGGGCTGATGACAGGGCCGAGGTCGGCACCCTCTTCGAAACCGCCGTTGACGTTGAGAGCCTTGGCTCGCTCGGCCATCTCGGGAAGCCATTCTTTGGTTTCGCCAACCATGACAACGGTGCTCAGGGCCATGCACCGTTGTCCAGCGGCACCGAAGGCAGCACCGACTATGGCATTCAGGGTCTGGTTCTTGTTGCAGTCGGGCAACACCGCGGCATGGTTCTTCGCACCCAGGTTGGCCTGGACACGCTTGCCATTGGCAGAGCCCCGGGTGTAGATGTATTCACCCGCACGGTTGCTACCAACGAAGCTGATAGCTTTAATGGCTGGCTCGTCGAGGATAAAGTCAACGGTCTTGGCAGAGCCGTGGACGATGTTGATCACACCTGGAGGAAAGCCGGCCTCCCGGGCCAGCTCAGCCAGGATCATGGCAGCACCGGGGTCCCGCTCCGAAGGCTTCAAGATTATGCAGTTACCGGTCATCGTAGCGATAGGAATACACCAAAGAGGGATCATTGCGGGGAAGTCTGGGGTTGGAGCGGTTAGTCACGGAGAAAGAACGGGGGTATCCACCCAGACAAGCGGTGAAAGGCAAGGACTTACTGAAAGGGCAAATAGCTGCAACGACTCCCAGGGGCTCCCTGTAGCTTCTAGTCTCCATATCCTTGGCGACTTCGAGGACTTCACCTGTCAATTGGGTGGTGATGCCACAAGCGGTCTCTGCAACTTGCAGACCGCGAAGGACGTCACCCTTGGCATCGGCAAAGGTCTTACCCTGCTCGAGGGTGATGGACGCTGCGAGACGGTCCCAGTTCGCACGGATGAGGTTGACAAACTTGAACATGATCTGCTGCCTGGCGATAACGCTGGTTGCCCGCCAGGCAGGGAACGCCTTTTCCGCGGAGGCAACGGCGGCACGCAGCTCCTCATCGGTGCTTTGAGGCACGCGGGTGACGAGATTGTTGGTAGCGGGATCATGCAGATCAATCCATGCGGTGGCCTTGGAAGACACAAATTCGTTATCAATAAAGTTGGTGGTATCAATGGGGTTGGCGATCGGCGTGTGATCCGTTGGGTATTCGGTGGCGGTCGTAGCCGCGGAAGCGGTTGCGGGGGCGAGCTGTTGCGCAGTGGCGTGTAGTCTGCGGGTAGCAACAAAGGACGATGATGATGCCGACATTGCTGCAGAAGCCCGCTGAGAAGACAATACTGAAGAAGAGGAGCCTGGGGAAGTTGACAGCGACCGCGCTGCAGATGAAGCTGCTATCCTGGCGGAAGAGACGGTGGCTACGGCCGTGCGGGGAGAAGCAGCGCGGAGAGCGGGGAGAGAACGAGCAAAGGACCGACTGGCGGCCATGACGAATAAAGAAGGGTGACGGTAAGGGAGGGTTGAAGATGGAAAGCGTGCGAAACTGGAGTCTGGGGTTGATGAAAAACCAAAGGTCACAAAAGAGCTTGGGGGGGATAGAGCAGGATATAAGTCGAAAGTCCAAGGAAGGGAGCAGCCGTTGAGTTGGACTGATTCCGGGGTTATCTGCGATCCTGAGGCACATCCAGCAGCGCCGAGGTCAACCGAACCCCCTTCGGCGAGAAAAACCAATCATAACAGCAGGAATGGCTTTCCTTAACCTTCTCCACAGGCTAGGTCGGTTTATTCATCTCGATGGATCTGGACTTGAACACATACCAATACAGTGCGATCTCCATTTCTAATCTCCAACAAGATAATCAACGTTGATAAGGTCCGTCAACGCTTATCAGAGTCCATCTTCTACTATCTACATATGCTTCTCCCGGTCTATATTAATTAGATCATATCCGCAAGCTTTCTGCACTTGAATCGAGGGTCCGTTTGTATTACTTGTAGCACGGATAATGTGGCATCTTGAAGGCCCACTATGGCTAAGACCTGAGATCTGATGAAATTTGCCATCTCAAATTGAATACTAGTTTACAGAATCCATCGCATCTACCACCCCTTCGGAAGTTGGCAATGGTCTTCTTTTGTTCTCATATCTCGTCACAGGTGGCCATCTTCTCTCAAGAAGTCTTGCCTTACCTACCATGAACAACCAAGGATATCAGAGTACAACGATAATTTGAACGCTGCAATAAATATAAAATTGGGATCTTCAACGTCTTCTTTTCCCATTCTTAAGCGTTTGGCTTGATGGTTTATTATCCCCTGTCTCCTCCCCAAGCATCGGCACATCTGCTTTACTGGGCAGACGACCGGGTGTTACGCTTGGTAGCTGCGCCCTTGGCAGTGTCGGCCGCAGAGCTGACGGCTTCGCTGGCCTTCTCCTTGGCGGCAGAGGCGGCCTCCTTGCCCTTCTTAGCGGCGGCGGCAGGGGCAGGGCTGCTGGCTCCAACAGCGCCCACAATGATGAGGATCATGGTCAGAAGGAGAGCTCCCAGACCACCGGCGACCTCAGGAACTTGCTTGACAGCGTTGATGGGATCTTGCTTGGCAAGACCCACGAAGTAGTCGACCTTCTCACGAACGTATGTCACTGGGGCCTCCTTGAAGCTGACGCTGGGAGTGGCAGCCTTCTCCTCGGGCTTGGGCTTGGAGGCTTCCTCCAGAGCGACTTCAACGGGGTGCTTGAGGTCAAAGGTCTCCTTGCGGAGCTTCTCAGCATCTTCAACGGAGTGACCAATGTAGATGTTGTCGAAAAGAATGTCGTTCTGCATGGTCCAGATCTCGAAACCAACCTGCTCGCTTGTCAGAACGGAGCAAACAACTGCGGATACGGAATGAAGGAACTTACAGCGCCCATAGGCTCGAAGTTAGAAGGAGTCTTGTCCTCGAAGTAGGCGGGGTTGGGGATCTTGCGAGGCTTCCAGATGCCCTTGTAGGCAGGGTTGTCAATCAAAGGAGCGGTCCACTTGCCCTTATAGGCGGGGTTCTTCTTCATGGGAGGAGTCCAGGGGCCACATCCGGAGACTTCGTTGCACTTGGGGTTAGGAACAGTGGGAGGAACCCAGTCACCGTCCTCCTCGTCATCCCAGTCCTCAGGCTTCTCGGCCTCGGGGTCAGGAATGCTGGTGGGCTCGTCCTCTAGCCAGTCCTCGGGCATAGTCGCCTCCTCATCCACGATCTCATATGGAGCGTCTTCATCCCAGTCGTCAGGCTTCTTGGCCTCCGGGTCGGCGATCTTGGCTTCGTCGACCCAATCGGCGGGCTTCTTGTCCTTGGGTCGTCGATCTCTTTCTCCGGGTTGACAGGGGGGCGAAGTCCTCAAGCAGGGTACCGTTCTTGACAGCCTCGCCGTCAATCAGGATCTGGAAGGACTGATCGGGCTTGACGATCAAAGTGTACAACGAGGTGAGCTTGGAGGTACGAGCGGCAGGAGGCGCGGTCATGTGCTTCTCCTCGTACTCGCCGGTCTTGGGGTTCTTGTGACGGAAGATGAAGTGAACCTGAAGTATTGTCAGTTGATAATTCGTAGAGAACCTTGCCTCGGTAACAAGGCACTCATTTCATACCTTGTTGGTAGCACCACACTTGTCGGGACCGAACATGATCACGTAGGGAGTAGCGTTGGAGAACTCCTCGGCGTGGAGCTTCTTGTTCTCCTGGAGGAGCTTCATGTAGGCACCACCGCAAACAAGGGAGTCTTTTTGTGAAGAGGCGTCAGTATACTTCGAGCAATTGCCAGGAGCTGATATGACCTACTTTGTGGCTTGACCTCGTACTGGACAACCAGAGTCTTGCCCTTGTTGTCGATCTTCTTGGGGAACTTCGCAGAGATGGCATGGTGAGCTGCGACGTTCTTGACAACCAGACCCTTGTCGCCAACCATGCCGTTGAGCACGGTAGGTTCCTCGACAGCCCATTCACCGACGTAGGCCCAATCCTCCTCCGCCTTGGAGTCCTCCTTCTTGGCGTGAGAGGGAGTCCATCTCGAGTCCCAATCGGCGGTGAATTGCTCGAGGAAGGGAGCTTCAATGGTAGTAGGCTAATAGAGAGTCGATCGTCAGCGATGCGGAGCGATGGTGGGGAATACTGGATTGACGGGACGTTACTTACGGTGAAGGTAGGCTTTTCCACGAGCGAAGAAGCGTCGGCCTTCTTCTCAGTCTCCTCAGCATGAGCTTGGCCCATCAAAGTGGCCGAGGAGACGAGGGCGCCAGTGATAGCTGCGTTGAAACGCATGATGGACGACGGAATCGAGATTGATATTACCCGAGAATCTCTGAATACAAATGATGGACAGGTAAGCAAGCAGACAAACAAACAAGCAATTGGATCCTCCGTAGAGGCAAACAATAAGGTGTTTGGTTTGGGGGAGGGAAGCTGTACCACAAGATGATCCACACAGAATGAAGTAAGGGAAGGGGGAGAAGGGAAGAAGAGGACAACTGGGCAAGAATAATTGTTATATACCTTGGTAGTAAGAAGGGATAGAGGTGAGGCCAGGTAAGATGGTCCACTGACTGACTACACCGAGCAATTAGACTACACGAGCATTAAATATGCAAGTGACAAAGCAGCAGTGCTTCCAGTGAATGCCGGGAAGTTCAAGGTGGCCTCTTCTTTGCTTGAGCCTGGATTGCTTCTTGGGGTAAGGTCCCGCCTGCCTATTGCGGTTTAGCGGTGCTTCTCCAATGTTCTGTCAATAGCCAGAACTGATCTAGCTTTCTAGCACGGAGGAGTTGGTAGATATCAGCTATCAGATAGTGTCTTAACGCAGATCATTAGGAGGGTAATGGACCTAACTCACATCTATATTATAATCTTAAGCTTGTAACAGATATTCTGCTCCTGTTATGTCCAGAATTGATCATGGATCATCCACGAGGAGTCTACCGCCTGGTCAATTGGACAATCTACTACGGATAAGGCAACGGAGATTGCGCGACAGAGTCCCCGCCAAAAATATTTCCATTCCCCGCGCAGCATAACCACTTCGTTGCTCCTCTATATATCCAACCTTTTGATTCCAGTTACCCTTGTCTGGGTATCTCTAAGTCATATTGACTCTTCTCAAGTGTAATTATTTGAATTTTATACCATTATCCCAGCAATCGACTGCGTAACCCTCCGTCTGCCATCAGCATCAAGCTTGCAGCATGGCGCAAGAAGTTGGAAACAACAACAACAATGACCATCTGGTCCAGTCCTCTGACCCAGAGCACCCCGCCAACCTGATCCCCGAGCTCTGCCGCAAATTTTACAATTGGGGTTGGGTCACTGGTACTGGTGGTGGAGTGAGTATCCGCGTCCTTCGTCACGAAAGCCGACCGTCGCTGACGAGAGCATCAATCAATGCATAGACTTCGATTCGTCGCGGCGACCATATCTTCATCGCGCCTTCAGGAGTGCAAAAGGAATTGATCCAACCGCACAATATCTTTGTCCTGGAGTTTCCTACTCCCAAGTACCCTCCTTCCGACCGCAAGTACATCCGCAAGCCCCTCGAACTGAAGCCGTCCGCATGCACTCCACTATTCCTTACTGCTTTTGAGCGTGGTGCTGGCTGCTGCATCCACACGCACTCTCAGTGGGCCGTGTTGGTGACGCTCCTGGTCGAACGCGAGAAGGGTCCCGACGCTTGCTTCGAGATCAGCAACATTGAGCAGATCAAGGGTATTCCTCGAGGCAAGGGGAAGGGCATGCTGGGCTTCTTCGACACCCTTAAGATTCCTATCATCGAGAACACTGCCTTCGAGGAGGATCTCACGGGAAGCTTGGAGAAGGCCATGGACCAGTACCCGGACACCTACGCTGTCCTGGTGAGGAGACATGGAATGTGAGTTGTATCCGCTGTGTTATATTGAGCCATTGAAGCTGATGATCTATACAGTTATGTCTGGGGTGATGACGTTGCCAAAGCCAAGACGCAGTGCGAGAGCTTGGATTATCTCTTCCAGCTTGCTGTCGAAATGCACAAGCTCGGCCTTCCGTGGGTCAAATAAACGCTCACGACAGCGGGGATACCATCAGCAGGATAACGACGAAGCACGCGACATGATGACTAGGGATGCCCAGTGTATATGACGATACATGAAATTTGTCTATAGAAATTTGAGGACCTCTCGGCAGGTTAAAAGACTAACGTAGTAGTACTTGGTCCTAAGCCGGCGACAATGTATAGACGCGCCCATCTGCGTTATTTAACCCACGATCCGATCAATCACAGTAATACAAGCTCAATAAATATCTAGATGCCAATTATCCCTTGATCACCTGTTTTGTCGGGAAATAATGGTATCAAAGCTCAACAGTAGCTTCCTAAGCAACCCAACCAGGGAAGCCTTGGCGGGGAGCCAGGCTGGGACAGAGTCGCAGGGACGACCGCGCGGATCATCCGTCCGACTCCTACATACAATCTCCAGCTGTCAACTGCAATCGCTAACCCCTCATCGGCTCTGGGCCTTGTCCTCGTTTTGAGTTTTTCATACAGACTATTAGTCTTATCGTCTCTGAAATATTAGCACCCATTGCCTTCATACCCATACAGCTATCATGGATCTGGACGCTGGAGACTCCCCGTGGGGCGGTAAGCAGGCAGCACAGTGTCACCACTCAACTCCAAATTGCCCTCTCTGATTGTAAGCATAGATGTGCCCTCGCAGTCAAGTCATGGTACACAGAGACCGGAAACTGAAGAAGTCGGTATGTTCACCCGCGGTATTGCATACCGCGCACTCCTCATCACGTCCTGCAACATGAGCTCATCGCTTCTGCAGCACCGGAACGATCAACACAACCAGCCAGCCCAAGCGCTACCCGTTCACCCGTCCGACGAAACCCGCGAGGTGCTCGCAAAATCAGCGCGCAGGCCACCAGGCTGGAAGCCGTGGATGACGCCGTAGATCCGCTTGGTCCGCTCGGAGACAAGCCCACCGATAGTCTCGCTCCAGTCATTGAGCAAGCACCAACACCACCCCAGAAGGAGCCTTTTGCAGGTCGCGGTGCTCGTCCGACGTCATCTACATCACAAACATCTAGTGCTGGTGGGTTGGGAGACTCGGTACATCTGGAAGAGGATGGTGCGGGGTTCAGGGGACCGCCCCCTGTACAGCTCCCGGCAGACGCGGACGGGACGAAGAGGCAATCTCAGCCCAGTATCAGCATTGAAGAGGCTTCCAAGCCGACATTCGAAATCACAGTGGGTGATCCGCACAAGGTGGGAGACCTGACAAGTAGCCACATCGTGTACCAAGTTCGAACGAAGGTAAGCTCCCCTCTCTACATTTCCATTCATGTATGGGATGCAAGGCGCTGATACGCAGTACAGACAACATCGAAGGCGTATCGACAACCGGAGTTTACCGTCAGCCGCAGATACCGCGATTTCTTATGGCTCTACAATTCCATGCACAATAACAACCCCGGTGTTGTTGTACCTCCTCCGCCTGAAAAGCAAGCTGTTGGCCGTTTCGACACGAACTTCGTTGAGTCTAGAAGGGCTGCACTTGAGCGCATGCTCAACAAGATTGCGGCACATCCAATCCTGCAGCATGATGCGGATCTGAAGATATTCCTGGAAAGCGAATCGTTTAATATGGATGTCAAGAACAAGGAGAACAGGGAACCGGATCTAGGTCAGAACAAGGGAATGTTCAGCTCCTTTGGAATTAGCGTAGGTGGGAGTGGAAAGTTCGTAGAACACGATGATGTGAGTCCCTTGTGGTTTGCATACAGTCAAGCCGTTAAGCTAACTTGAGTATAGTGGTTCCACGATAGGAAGATATACATGGACGCGCTGGAGAATCAACTCAAAGCTTTGCTGAAGGCGATTGATGTTGTGGTCGCGCAGCGCAAGGGATTGGCAGAAGCGGCTGGCGATTTTTCGTCTTCACTTCACGCTTTGGCGGCTGTCGAGTTGTCTCCGGCCCTTTCCAGTCCATTGGACGGACTCTCAGATTTGCAGTTGCGCATCAAGGAACTTTATGAGCGTCAAGCTCAGCAGGATGTTCTTACACTAGGAATCACCATCGATGAATACCTTCGCATCATCGGAAGCGTCAAGACAGCTTTCTCTCAGCGACAAAAAGCCTTCCATAGCTGGCACGCGGCGGAGTCTGAGCTGCAAAAACGGAAGCATACCCAGGAGAAGCTTCTCAGACAAGGAAAGACGCAGCAGGATCGCCTCAATCAAGCCAACGCCGATGTGGCCGACGCGGAAAGGAAAGTGCACCAGGCCAGGCTGTTATTCGACGATATGGGCCGTTTGATGCGTAATGAATTGCAGAGATTTGAGAAAGAAAAGGTGGAGGATTTCAAGTCTGGCGTCGAGACATTCCTGGAAAGTGCAGTGGAGGCGCAGAAGGAGGTGAGCTTTACCGAGCTACTCAAGCTTCTGATCAGATTTACTGATAGTCTTACAGTTGATCGAGTTGTGGGAGACGTTCCTCTTGCAGTTGGATGCTGGTGAAGAGGGTATCCCCTTCTTTGCGTCCCCTCCTGTTGCAGCAAATGCTCCTGCGCAACAGGCGACAGACGAAGCCAGCGGTTCGGCCCCGGTAGCTGCGGAGGAGGCGACGTAGCTCGCCCTGGGCTAGCTCCTGACCTTTTCTCGCCATGTATAACTGAATTGCGATGATTCTTTGGCCTAGTTTGACCCGGATCTACGTATCGCTTCGCTGGCGAGCCTCCATAGCCCTTAAAACCGCACTCACTTGTTCTACCTCGCGCTGAGCACGCAACCCAGATACCGTTCGGAGGGTCGTATGATTGGTGCTTTGTCTGAACCCGGTTTCTTTAATATTCTGTCGGATTATCACTATGATTGTCTTCCGTGTAAACTATATCTGACTCCTTCAAGCCCTGGTAAAAATGACATGTTCAGGGTCCAATTCAATAGTATGCTGAAATCCCTTCAGATGGTATGATGTACATGTATATGGGCCATAAAACCGACAAGACGAGTAAACAAAAACCGTGGAGCCAAAAAGAAAATAGAGGAATCTCTCCGTGCAACATCAAAGGCGGCCTTCCTCCGTCAACGCACCATAAAATCCCAGATGAAGATTGCGTTGAAGCCATCCGACCTCCGTTGCGTATCATACACTCAAACCCACCGCACACTCAGCCCCAAAAGGATCAACCTATTTCTTCTTCTTCGGAGGTTCCTGCTCCATCTCCTGTCCAAACGAACTAATCAGGTCAAGCAGATTGTCGTCTTCCTCCTCTGCCAGCGCGGCCTCAGCAGCAGCAGCCGCATCAGCATCAGCCGCCTCCTTGCCCTTAGCAGCGGCCTTGGCATCCGTCTCTCCTTCAACAGGCGTATTCGCATCCCAGCTCCGTCCAAACTTGGCTCTGAAGGCAGCGAGTCGACCGGCTTCGTCCTCCTCGACGTTCATCAGCTTGCTGGACGACGGGTTCCAGAGCAGCGAGTTGCGCGTGTCTCGGGTCGAGCGGTAGATGGGTGTCGGGGAGGTGGTGCGGTGTGTGAAGGTGCTGCCGTCAGAGAGGGTGATGAGCTGCGTGAAGGTGTAGGGGCGCTTGGGGCGCCGGAGGAGTGTGGCATGTCGGCATTGCGAGCAGATGTAGGTGGTGGATGTCTGGACTCGGGCGGTGCTGACCGCGCTGCGGCGGAGTGGGATGTGGATTGACATTTGTGTCCGCTGATAGGAAACCCAGGCGTGCAGGTAGTTGAATTTCCGGGGGGTTTCAATTGGATTGGGTAGCACGAGCACTGTTGCGATGGTTATCGGTCGATGGGTTTTGGCCGTGAAATTTCGCGGATCGTTCATGGATCTGGGGTTATGTAAGCAGATAAACCTCCGCTTCTTTTTCTCATCGTCCCCGGCCGCGGAGGTTTCTGGGTGGATATAATCTGCTGCCGAAGTGATAACGGCTATCAATTGAAGGCTATCGAAGGATTTGCTGGGCTTTCAGGATGAGATTTAAGAGACTTTATGGTCTTTTCTCTGATCGTTCCCTCGTGCATTCGCCCTGAGCTCCACTCGTCCAGAGCTCCGTCCGCTCTCCCATCGGCGGGATGAAGCTGCCATATTCGCTATCCGTACTGTCGGCCGTAAATATCAAAGTGGGTATGGAAGATTTGCCCCAATTCCTTGCACATGTCACCTGTTCATCGTCTAACCAAATACGACCAGAGCAACAATCTATACTGGCTCTACCTAACCGACTGTCCAACATCACCATCCGATGCGGAGCACCTCAGCAACCATGGCCGCGCAGACAATACGGAACTTCGGCCCATGCTTCGCAAGCTGGCAGTGAACCCAAGAAGCCGGCGTCAGCGCGGCCTGCGCTTTCACTGACCGACCAAGTCCGCCTGCTCATGCGCCGTGTACCCTACCCGGTCGCCATTATCACAGCCACAGATCCGCAGGGCCCCATCGACAAAGCCTTCCGCGGCATGACCGTCTCCTCCTTCAACACGGTTACCCTCCATCCCTCACCCGTCATCTCGTTCAACGTGCGCCGCCCATCAGAGACCCTAACCGCCCTCCAGTCCTCCGGCCGGTTCCTCGTCCATCTCCTAGCCCCGACCCCGGCAACCGCAACCCTGGCCCGGGATTTCTCCAGAGGAAACCACAATCTAGCCCTCCTAAGCGGAAAGGGAGACTTTGAATTCGTGCAACATATCTCTGCCGACGGGTCCGTCACTAGACCGCTCCCCATCCTGCGACGGAGAGCCATCAGCCAGACAAACACCGAGGAGGAGAGCATCGAGGACTTCCCGTTTGTGTTCGAGTGCCAGCTCAATACTCAGCGAGTGGAGATCTACGACCACACAATCGTCGTTGGGACCGTCGTGCAAGCGCTCTTGCGGCATCTTCCTGAATCAGAGACGGCGACATCAGTATCGTCCGGCTCTGCAAAGGATTTATGCCTGACATATGCTAATACTAAATTCTGGGAAATGGGCCATGAAATATAATTATCGATCCTAGAGCATGGGTTGCGGCTGGGACCCATGACTGCCCACACTCATATAATTGCTTCCTGCCGTCGGCTGACAGGTGAATCCAATCCATCAAGAGCGCGGTGTGTCATTCAAGATTGCACCGCATATATAGGTTTTAGGCCATTTGTACATAGAATTCCCCTTATATGTAAGATGGGGGGGAACAGCCACTTATCGAAAAGACGCGGAAAGAAATGTACAGATTATCTATCTTTCACACCTTCCCAGGTTGACGGATCTGTAGCGTTGGATTTGTAACCCAGACGACGCTGGCATAACTACTAACTGCCGACTCTCGCTAGGCAGATTCTCTACGGCAGGTCGGGTGCTGGCACCGCGAACATTGACCGACATATTGATATTGGACGCTTCATAACGACAAGTGATGGCAAATGGTAGGCTTTTTGATTCTTTTATCCAAGAAATCTACACAGGATGAAGGACACAGGATCGACTGTTCTCAGGCGACGGGAATTGAGCGGAGCACTAGAAGTCGGAGAGAACAGGAATCCCCTCTCTTGACATCAAGCACCACATCACACCGAGAGAATAACACAAGCAGAAATTGGAGACAGAACACACAACCAGGAGTACCCTTGGGATCCGCACAGAAGACTCCGCGAGAGCCTCTTGAATCAGCCCATGCCCTAGTTGGTTTTACCGTACACAGAGCTAGGACTGCCGCTTCCGCTACCACTTCCACCAGTTCCATTGCTTCCGCTACCGCTTCCACGGCTACCCGCCCGTTGGAAAGGGCTGGAAACAGGTCTCAAGCCCGAATTCAGAGCGGTATTGCTATCGGATCCCGGGCTTCTCTTGTCAGCAAGCAGCTCAGACAAGTCGAGCTGGAAAGGCTGACGACGACTTGAGTCCATGAAGTCGGAGCCATAGAGGCTGCTGCGGGCAGACCGGTTCGAGAAAGATCGATCACGATAGACAAAGTCCGAATCGAGGTGAGAGCTGGCATTGACGAGGGGGGAAGTTGGAAAGTTGAGATACGACGGCTGCTGCACTGGACTCGTGGGGTGAGAAGATGACGCACCAACCGGAGAAGACGCGGTCTGAAGGGGACTGGACTTCAAAGGCGGGAAGCTGAGCCCTAGCAGTGATCTGTTGCTCGGAGCAGTCGATGTCAAGGCGCCCAGTGGCAAGGCCGACTCGGAGAACGGATTCGTCCCGGGCAGATTACCCTCGGGGGTCAACGGACCAGGATCCAAGAGCATCTGCTGGTGTTGCTGCTGGATGGCTTGCTCGATAGCGTCACATTGTTGCCAGATTTGTTGCGCGCGTAACTGGTACTCTTGCACAGACTGCCCAATACTGGCAAACTGCTCGTTGAAAGTCGCTTCGAGTTTTGCTTGGTCCTGCTCTCGGGCAAATTGTTCTGCTGCGCGACGCTCGCGCTCGTTGAGCCCTTGCGCATTAGCAGAGACAATCCTCTCATATTGTTCGTTGATCCTAGTACGGCGGCTTTGAAGACGCTCCCGCCTCTGAATCGCAGAGCTCAACTCAGTTTCCAACGAGGAGACTTCACGGGCAACAGCGGACCGAGCAGAGGCGAGCTCCTCCTTTGCCGAATTGAGCAGACTCAGCTCGTGTTCGTGTTTGGCTTTCTGGTCCGACCACTCTCGAAGTTCTTCCTCGGGACATTCTCCAGGTTGTCAAGCTGATCCTCAAGCAAGGCAGTGGCCTCTTCCGTTTGCCGAATGTTCCTTTCCAGTTGCAGCGAGCGTTGTTTCTGCCTGTTTTCATCTGTTCCGCTGTGTAGACGATGGTTGTAATTGTCAAGCTCCTTCCTGATTTTGGAAATGACAAGCTTGTGATCGTTCTTGGCCTTTCTGAGCCGAGATCGCTTCTCGTTCAACTTGGCTTCAGCGTTGACAATAGAGTTCTTCAGCGTAGTCGTTGGGGATGAAGGACGATACGACGGCTGCGGTGGGGTTGATACCGAAGAGACTGCTGCTTTGAAAAGTTAATAAAACTTTACATTGTGTGCAAAGGTCCACAAATGGCCGTTCTTACCTTGTTCTGCATCATTGGTCGCTGGGGTTTTGACACTAATGACACATATCTCCTCATCGGTATCGCTCCGCACAAACGAGCAAGTGTAAGCACAATTGGGTGCCAGACCAGAAATCTCGCCCCGCCAATGTACCATACTCGATCCTTTCGGTGCATCGTGCACTTTGCATATTGTAGCGGTGGCCCAAAGGGCTCCATTCACGCACACGTAGAACGGTTCCATATCCTCGCTCGCTAGACATCCAGCTTCGCAGGCTCCCGAACCGCTTGAATCATCCGCCGAAGAAAAATCACCAGCCGCAAATTTTATCGTTGAACTGTCGATTTCCGTAATCCATACAAGTCCATCGTCCAGGGAAAGTCCTTGAAGATCATCCTCGGTCATGGGAAGACCGCGAGCTGTCTTCGACAAAGCCCTAGAGTGTTCATACTCTCTCATGACGGTGATCTTTGTGCTTGCCAGTGCCGCCCAAAACGGTTGACGACTCCGCACCTGATTTGCCTGTCTCCTGCGTTTCTTCGCCGAAAGTAATCGATCTCTCCCATCCTTGTGCGCTGTCGGGGTGACAATCTGCCCATCAGCACCGATATATGACGAGACACTGGCCCCTGACTCGAAAGCAGAATCGATCTGTGTCTGCGAGCCGGCGGATGCTTCCGTGTCGATGCGCTTGCCGGTACGAGGAGGGTTAGGCGTTCTGTTCTTTGCCATTGACCGTCTCGCCATGGCGGTGCCCGCTTGGGCCAGTATATGGACTGCGAGTAGACTCCGAAGCCAGCTCGGCGACGTCTGTGGTTCGGTGCGGCGAAACTCAGTAGGCAAAAGATGCGAATATTGCGACAACATATCGGGACTGATGATGTTCGACGAAAGAAGATGACCTATAACAAAATCCTGTATACCTTTGCTCCGTACAAGGTGCATTATCAAAACTATACCAACACAGAGGGTGTTCACCCCCCCGTTCTTTCCAAATCCTCCTCCACCTAGCGTGATGGCAACTTGAACGTGGGCCAAGTCCAGCGCGAAATTCTGCGCCCAGGTCCACATGAACAAGCCCCATATCAGTAAACAGAACCCATCCATCGCGATCATTGTACCGAGGGAAGGAGTTCCAGCGGGGCCTTGAAAGATGTCGAAATTGGACGTCAAGGAACCGGTCGACGCACCACTAGGAGGCAAGAAGGTCAAAGAGGCGAACAAAAACTGAACCAGAGTGAGAACCATGGGCGGGAGTTGGAGCAGAAAGATCAAGATCGCGATCGTGTCGTACATGGGGCATGATTTGAGGATGGTCGACGCGAGTTGGAGAGGGTTAATTGAGGCATTCGAAGGCGACCTCTTGGCACCGGTCGCCGACTTCTCAGTACGACGCGAAGCCAGTCCTGCAACATCGCCACCGGTCTGCGAGGCGACACCATTGTTCTGCACATACGACATGTCGGCATTTCCCTTGGCGTATCCGTTCAAATGATCAGGCGCATTGCAATCCGCCTTGGAGCTATCCAGCGTTCCGTTGAGCTTGGTCGGTGCTGCGGTCGTTGTGGGGATGGCCGGATCGCTGGAAGAGCGAGACGACGGCAAATCGACTTGAGAGGAGGAAAGAGAACTGGACGCAGAGCCGCCGTTGATGATACCGTTTAGATGTCCATTGGATTTCTGTTTGGCCACTTTTTTCCCCGTATTTGCGCTGCCATTCTCATGCCGATTGCTATGACTCTTCCTAGCCGTAGCCGATGAACGTGGCATCGACAGAGGAGCCTAACACCCAGGTCCGAGTCAGCTTGGCAGATTAAAGCCAAGGACTTGGACCAGGCAGGTGAGTGAAGACGTAGACAATTTTGAAGGAAAATGGAAAATGGAGGAAGGACGACTTGGAAGGGGCGAGCAGGAAGGGAGAATGGCGATATCTCAGGTTGGCAATATGTGCGGGAGCGGGATGGAAAGGAACGACAAGAGGGGTCTCGCAAAGGCGGTAGAGGAGACTAATGGTAAATGAATAGAGAAAAAGGAAAAGACAAGACAAGACAAGACCGTAGAGAAGGAGGATGAGAAGGTGAGGGCTGAGATAGCGTGGCGGGAGGGCGGGTTTGGAGGGAATGGTAAGGGAAAGAGGAAAGGAAAAAGAACGGAGGTTTTTTTGGTTTGGTTTTCTCGGAATCTGGATGGACGAAACGAGGCGGGAAGGGAGAGAGAGAGTAGCCTCGTAGGAAATCTAGTCTACCTTTTTACCGTAGGAGTCTAGTTCACAGGAAGGTTGGAACTGATCGTCAGAACCGGACCAGAAAAAGAAAGAAAAGAGAAGACGATTGAGCCAATGTAAGCCACTCAGCCAGATTTGCTACTGGAACTTTGGGAGAGAAAAAGGACCCTCAGCCCAAGGCAGTAAGGCTTCCGCGTCTACTAAGCACCAGAAGAGTAAAGGGCTGCGGCCTGAGGCATCATAACCAACTTTTAAATGGCACTTGCTTGACCAGTTGGCGTGTAATGTTGGAAATACGCAATACAGTACAGCAGATCCCAGACGGCCGGATTATAGACTATTATCACCTGACCAGATGGGCTGATGGAAGAGCGCAACCCAAGGCAGCGTTTCATTCCGGTTGGCTGCCGAGGTTTGTTATTTTTGGGATCTTCAACCAGAGATGGAGCGATTGCTGGTATGTTTCTGTCCTACTCCTGCAGAAGGAATGAATCCGTGACAAAAACGACACTCTTCAAATTGACATATTCTGATTACTCTCATTCGTTCATAATGTGGCTATGTTATGACAAGTCAATCTGACATAAACAGATCTGCCTATTTTACTCCGTACTGCAGAACGCTTGTTTCAAAATGATTACGACGGTAACGGGGTAAGCTTCTTCTAGCTTGGCGGCTATCTGATAAACTCCTGCAAGTTTCAACCCTCCCGTGATATCTCTATAATCAACCTCAAAAACAGATAGATATTCAGGGTCTAGGATCTGTCCAAGACGAGGTTCTTCTGATTGATGCCAAATCGTTTAAGAAGTCCGTATAATGGATTCACCAAGTCCTCTGGCACTACGGTACTTGTGTGGCCAAGATACTGACCGGCTGATATACATGCGTCCACTATGTCTGAGATAAACGGAAATGATTCGGCCTTATTTTTCTCATATATCACTGCTCTTAAGCACGACTACGTGTCCGGCATCTATCGCAATGAGATTGCTTCCTTGATTGGCTTGATAGGTCAACAATGCCATGGCCCATGGTACATGACCTACTGCTTACTTTCCAGTTACCCCTCACTGACGCAAAAAGTGGCCATACAAATATTCGCTTCTCTGTCAAGCTATCTTCTGCCGCCATGCGCAGGGATATGCTGTGCTCAAAATCATTCAAAGCAGGTCGATCATCCGACGATCAAATCCTCCGCTTCTGAGCGGGGTCGACTTTCCCACTTCGACAGCTACAAAGGGCACAACGTCTGATCTGGTAGGCAAAGGTTGGAACAGCAGAGATTTTTTCACCAGATTCGAGCAATAGCTCTTGACTCCGATGGTTGAGTTGACCGTTTGTATTCATTGTCTTTAGGGTCATAGTATGGCTCAGTGCATGATAGCCAAACAAGTACGGAGTAGAGAGGTAGATGAAGATCTTTTGCACTCAGCATATTTGCCTACATGACTGTTGATTCTTGATTGTCAATCAATCTTCCTTAAGCCGGTCTTGATTGGATCAACTGGAAGACACTGGGAATAACGATGAATGATCGACAGGTTTTACCCTAAAGAGGATAATCGGGCCAAACTTATTCTGGGTATTTTGTCGGAAATGCCCCGGCGCCAGGGTTTATTGAGTGTCATATGATACTAAGGTTTTGTTCGTGGCTTAAATTTACCTAGGTAAGGTATCAAATCCACGGACCTGGATGTACGACGATGATGGTTCAGCGAAGACGACAATTGTGTATGGCGCCATCCCCTTCCCTGGTACATCATTGTATGGCTCGGTACCCATTGTACCTATATATACGGGGCTGTAAACATAATTGCAATTCCCTTGGTTGTTTACTTAGTGCTCGTCGAGATCGAGCCTTATCAACTAAGGGCAACAGCCTGAACGGTAGAGCTCAATGCGTAAATCGATGCAGCATCACAAGCGTCGGGACGCCTTCTCCGCTCTGAATTGCATCTGTTAAGCTTGTGCTGATGCATGTATATTATTTAGCAATAGTGCTCACCTCGCGCTGTATTGGTTTGGCCTGCATGGGAATGATAACAAGCATCCGGTGATTGCACACCTCTACCAGTTAGAACCTTGGGCATTAGTGGAAAATCCCATGCATAATTTCGACAAACGCGACAATGCACGGTAACACACACGGACGAAAGGTCCCGTCGAAGACGACATTTCATGCTTTCTCTCACTCTTCATTGCCTGTCTATGGCTGTCCTACTCCAGGACAGAATTCTATACCCTCTAAACCATATAAGAATAAAGACCTTGAGCTAGCCACCTCACCTTAGAGCTAAGGCTTTCATTTCCTCGCAGAACCCATATCCTCGACAGCATCCTCCCGATCCCAGCTTTCCACTTCCAATTTGCGGACTTGCGTCTCAATATCAAGGATCTGCTGCTGCCAGTGTCTCCTGGCTCGCTCTTGGAGATCCCACATGGTCAGAAATTGCGCCTCGACAAATGGCGGCAGGGTAGTCTTCTTGTTCTGCTTGTAATCGTACACGACAATATCCTCATGCACGCGGGCAGCAGGTCGCTGACGCGCTTCGGATAAAATTATAGCCTGAAGGTCGAACGCGAATTGAGATTGCTGAGCCGAGGGGTCGTGGACTAGTTTGTGGTAGACGGTGACTTTGTCGGGGTACGTCATGGGCTGCAGCAGCAGGCGCACTTCGTCAGCAAAGAATCAGAGGAAGAAGAGGGATGTCCCCGTACGAATTTGTAGTCGATTTTGAGACTGCGGACAATGACGCCAACTCCTTTTGGGCTAACCAGATTCATCCAGTCTTTCCTGTGTGCTGGATCTATATGTACGGCGATGTTGCGAATGAAGTACACCCGTGCGGTTTCGGCGTATCGGAGGTACGTGACGTTATTGACGTGTCCTGGATGGCATTGTCACCAATCTCAGCTACATCTGCAGCTGTTTGTAATTGTAGGGCGGAAGGTGCACATACCCTGGTCAATCGTCAGGCTGTCTTAGTATAAACAACAGGTGAATCGGGTAACACTCACCATGCTATCCTGTTGCCAGCGCAGAACGTCCTCCGTCAGCATAGTTCCATTACAAGGGTCCTGCTTCCATGGGCCCTACCATTTCTCCCCAAGCCACCGTCTGCCGATATAAACCCCTCCTCTGTTCATCTGTCAGATAGCCCTCGCTGCCGGCGATCAGCTCGCGCCAATCCCGCGCAATGCGCTGAAGTATGTTTCCTGCTTCCTTGACCTGTGGCGGCTTCAGACCGAACATCATGCATTTTCCAATCCGTCTTTTGATCATGGTAAGCCATCGCGGATCAATGGGGTGAGGTTTGGATGGGGGTTGCTTCGAGGCCGAGGAGTGAGCATCCTGGGAGGTGGGCGATATTGAGAAGAACCGGGGATAGCAACTTGAGGCTTGAGACGTGATCGCAGTGAGGCGCTGTCTTTTGAGTGTTTGAATTGCGATCATCATTCAGCAGGACTATGTACAACAGGGATGGGAGAGAGTTTGGGAATGGGATTGTTGCTGGTCTAGCTCCCACGGACACTCCAAGAAGCATGGGGCGGACGGTTAACCCCGGGCTCTCCCCACTCTCCACCTTCGCAAATGCCGAAATCGAAGATACTATGTACTAACCTGACGTGATTGCCGGGTCAATGGGCTAATGGACTATCATCCAGGGATGTAGATGAGCACTATTCCTGAGTAGCATCTGTGATAAAATCATAGAGGTGGCCTAGGAAGTTCAATTTGAAGAGCAGCACTGTTACTACTTTCCATAATAAGCTTCTCCGCACCGCATCAACTATATATATTCCGCAACATCTCTAGGGCAAGCCCACAATAATAAGTATAAGTAAGAAAATATATCCTCCAGGCGCGAGCTTTCTACTAATAATCATTACTCATAAATCTAAACAGATTGACTTCAAGGAAAATTCAGCCGAGGCTGTATGCTGGGTAGTCCCTAATCCACACCTAATATAGCAGGCCGCCCGCCAAACGACGTCACCGACATCTTCCGGCCGCAGAACAACAACATCCCGACAACGTCTTGCAGCCATCCCACCCAGACACTGACCCTCCTTGTCTTTAATTCAATGCAATAACAATGACGAATCCAGAGCTCCGTCGACAAGTCATCAATATTTACAAAGGTATTTGCTCTGCATACTGTGTTTCGTCCTTTCCGCTATTTCGACACTGAACCGAAATGCCCTTCATTGAATGACTATATGCGTTTATATCATTGAAACTAATTCAGATACTGCAGAGCTTCTCTACCTCGGGCGAGAATACCCTCTTGGATATGATTATTTCAGGCAAAGGCTGCATAGAGCGTTCTCCGGCCAAGCGCATCTGGCCGACGAAGAAAAGATTCGGACAGGGATAGCGAGGGCACAGTTTGTAAAAAAGGGTATGATTGAAGTCTTCGTCTCCAGAAATTCGGGAGTCTCTGGCGTGAAAGTTTCAACCGCTAATTATCTACGCATCAGAGATTGAAGCTATGTAAGAACGCGGACTCTACCTTCACCCACACCACCCCACCAACTCCGAGAGCCTGCCCTTCCACAAACCACTCTACACCGACTCCCGAGCAGGATGGATTCCAAAGGAACAATTTATTACATATATTCTAGGATAGCCACTGCTGGACCACCGTTTATCATGAGGAGATCGTTCATATCATGCATCCACACACCCGAACCTTCAGACATGATGCTGATGAACAAACCAGGTATTATCTGAAGCGGTACCGCACGCTGAAACAGAGGTATGAGGATAAATAAATACAGTGGCGCTGCCTGAAACTAGGTGAAGGTTTTGAAAATATACAAATGAAAACACAGAATAGACTTGGGGGTATCACCAATTAGGGTCGTGAGCAATAGTCGATGGACTTTTCTGGCATCCAAAACACCAAAGCCTCTTTATCTTTATGACTCCACCGGAAGTTTCGTCAAGCAGGGTCTACCTTTTTCGACCCCACCAAGCACTCACTTCCAGACACTCTCCACTCGCGAGACCTCCTTTCTGAAACAAGTCGTTTATCATCGCGGTCCACCACCTGTCCCACTCGTCCCTGCTTTTCCCGCTGGCCTCCATGAGCATTGGCTCCATGCCTTCGATCATCTGAATAACAGTCAGAAGTGCAGTTCGTCGGATTGACATCTGCTCCGCGGTCAATTGCTTGCGTGGGCGACCTCCTTCACGTTCCCATCGCAATTCACCCAATGGAATGGCGATACGACGACTGTCCACCTTTTCGAGGATGTCAACTTCAGCATTGAAAGACAACCCAATTGTGGCGCACGGTATAGCAGTGAGTTTTCGGCGATCAAAGGCTTTCTCGACCCACGAATTATAATCCTGGAGAAACTTGTTCTGAGCTCCGGTGAAGGGTGTGGCTGGTGAAAAGGTATACGTCGCGGTGCTGTCCGCGACTTCCTGCTCCCTTGAAGCTAGTTTGCGAGCTGGGGCCGGATTCGGAAGCAGTGATCGAAATACCCAGTCAGAATCCCATACTTCCAGAAATCCTCCAGACTTGAGAACACGCAATGGTTCGCTGAGGCCAGACGCCTGCTGTGCTGGACTAGACGGACACATTCCCGCGTCTTTGATGAACACAAAGTCAAAGTAATCGTCCGGGTACGGCAGGCGAGGCTTGCGTAGGTCATGCCGCTTGAAATGCCAGTTCACGCCTTTCTTGCGCAAATCGGGGGCCACTGAGACGAGGTCGATGCCGTGAAAGGCGATGTTGCGATGGCCGCGACGGCTGAAATAGTCATGACACATACTGGACCATAACCCCGACCCGCATGCGATCTCCAGAACCCTTTTGGGGGGCTGCTCGTTTAGCGATGGCGTACAAAAAGGGCCTCCGAAGACACGAATGAGCATAAGGGAGCGCAATGTCTGGCGGTGAATTTCTGGCAGGTCGCATGGCAAAGGGTATAGATTTTCGGGGTCTCTGAGATAGGTGCGGTCACCTTGGCGGATGAGGGGGTAGGAGGTGTAGTCGTTAATGGACGAGAGGGAGGATGTCGAAGTGCCTGCCCACGTAGGACCGGTCGAGCTCAGGGTGGAATGAAGGTCGGACCCGGAGGCCACGGGGGTGAAGGTAGTTTGCATCATATCCATTTCCGAATTGAAGCTCTATTTTATTCTTCACCAGTCGAGAAATGACGAAATTCCGCGACGAGCTATATGCATTCCGGCCCCTTCGAAATATATTGTAGGAAGGAGAATTGAGCGGAGTGATTATACCATTGTAACAGGAGGTGGTGTGAGAACAGTAGGAACGGACAAAGGATCAAGCGTCGCAGCAGGAGACGAGACAGGAGGGGCAACGCAAGAAACGAGAGCTCAGGTAAGTTAATTGAAGCAGGTCTGGACTGCGGAGAACGAGAGATTGATCCATGGGACTAGAAGACATGAAGAGAAGGAGGGGGGCAAAGACCATCGCAAAATTGCGCCTCAAGTCTCCGTCCGGTCCACGACCCTAAAATCGGCAGTCGAACTCCACTGGGATGACTCCGACAAAAATGCCTAAGTCTTTTCTTACCTACTTCGTAGGTCTGGGAGACTGGGCCTCTCGTCGGTTGCCGGGAGTCTAAAGACCAAAAGGAGAAACTATAATGTCGTTTAAATTACTCCTCCGTAGTTACCACTCAACGGGAAAACTACACTGAACGGTCGCAGACATGAGCACGATTTCAAGGCAATCCAAGACACAATCAAGACCAATCGCTCTGACCATTATTGTTGATGTTAAACTAGGATGCCACCGTCATCACTCTCATTTTACCCGGTCCTTTTCTTGAACGGAGAAAAAAGCGATACTCCGTGTGTGGCGGAATTCCAGGCCTGACCCTATCTACTCTACTCCGTTGGCTTGAATCAGATATCCCCGCTGGCCCACGCCCATCAACTTGATCAGGGGCTCTTCTTGTCTCTCGTTCCCTTCGTTTTTGAGTTTCTGTTTCGGTTACATATCCAGACTCCAGACAATGGAGGCTGTAGATAAATAGATAGATAGAAAGTCTGCACAGATACTCTGCAGGGACTGCTAGTAAAAGTACATCCTACACACTAGTACAAACTACTACACAAATACTGTGTTGAATGCAGATGCAGGAGCATTGACCATGTTACACAAAATGAAACGATGGAACGGCAATAGTTGATCATCTCATGATTGATACTACATTGTACTATCCAGTCTGGTGGAGGGTAATACTACCTATCCAATCTATCCCATAAGGAGAGATCGTCCGAACAGGAACTCGATGATGAATGGCCGTTGAACTAAGAGGTAGAGACTTTCAAGAAAACAAGTTCTCCCCCTTGTCATGATAACAATATTATTCAAAGTATTGACCAACTTCTCACCCAAGACGGAAATTGGTAATGCAGATTGCCAACTGTAACGGACACCCAGTCCAACCAGAACACGCCTTGGTCTGTGTTCCCGGGCAGGCTAACGTAGGTACGGTACAGCCTACATGAGTCTAGTCACACTAGTCGTTCTAGTTCAGGATATTAGTTCTCTCATTGGAAATCTCGATGTCACCGCATTGTGCCTGAGGAAAGTCCAGGAGAGACAAATACGAAAGAGGTACAATAGTCCAACGTCTTATAATTTTCATGTGATTAGCTGGGTACTTGTAGCTTATCTACCTTGTAGCGCAGAAGGAAGTATCATCCGGTGACAGATGGGGTGCAGAATCTGACACCTCTATCCGATGTATCTATCCAACAGTGCTGAAAACGGCGAACAGGCTCCGGACGGGCTCCTGCAGATGGAAGTCACGGGTGGCGGTCCGTTGCAATAAGTACACGTGCCTGCACAGGTCACATTGTGTACTGAGTACACTAGTCGCCAGCACCAGTACCTAGGCACTCAGACAGATTGGTAGTAGCGTCTACGGGTATCTACTCCGTAGCTTCAAGGGCTTAGAACAGAAGGATGAAATAGAAAGCTGTTCAAAGGATCCACGGAGGATTACCATATACCGGGGTTACGATCCCCTATCTCGAGGCAGACATTGCGAATGAAGAATGCTTCTCCAATTCTTGACTTATCTTGGCATATTATAGGCGATCAACATGGCCGACTGACGAGTGACGACTCGGATTGGCCACGTCCTCCTTAATCGTGAGAGTGTCTGCTATCCCTTGATTTCGATACTAACAATTGACATGTCGTCAAATATGTGCAATAATTGTCCGTCTCTTCCTGTCATTGATACATTGATCCAACAGCTGACTACGCCATCTGCACGATTGTCTTATCCATCATATTTGGCCGTCCAGTCAAATTATGGCGTACCATTTCCGGACTTGATATCAGCTGCAGCCGTCGAGCTCAGTTGTCTCGTACAAGTTATCAACTACCCATCCATGCGCAGCTGAAGGATTCACAACTGGCCAAAGTCCGACCGTATCTCCATTACTGCAAGCAAGTTCGGATGATAGTAAACTTATGACCTCTGCAGCTAGCACACAGTACAGTTGTTCTCTTGTTCAGGCGACACTGAAGACGAGACAAGTACATCCGTGGTCAGAAAGTACTACGGTGAAGCCGGACTTGTGGCGGCGTCTGAGCATAGTAGATCGGCCTCTGTTCTCGATGGTTGATGTCGGTGCACTGAGGGCCCCTGTCCCAAGCAAGAGGTCAAACCAAGCAAGGTCGAGTATAAAGCGCTTTAAGCAGCTCACGACGGTGTACTGGAAACACAGAAGAGGCTAAGATATAGTAGGATGTTTACAACATCGTACAGCATATATGCTTGTAGAATGAGGCTGAATTGTCAGATTATTCCTTGTATTGATAAGCATGTCTTCTAGGATGACAGTGACATTTCCGCCTTCCAGAAATTGTTGGCTAGCATACCGAACAAGAATCGAGGACGTATGGAGTAGAGTAGCACAAGTCGGGAGACTTCGACGCGGGAACAGCCTCGATCATCGCTTTCGTCTTAGTAAGCCATAAGTGCGACCCAACTGCTTTGACGACCCGAAAATACCCATGAACAGATTAATATAGGCGCTGATGGGATCGATTTCAAAGATCTGAAGCCAAGTGTCGAGGGGAAAGCTGGAGATTTGGCGGGTTGGGCTGGTCTTGGCCCTGTCATTGTTGGCGAATCATGTTCTCGCTCAAAGAATCACGTGACCATACGACTCCCGCCTTCGATGCAAACCACTTCGCAGCATCAAGGCGACAAGACTGCCATCTCGACCAGACCCCTTGATGCTTCTACTTCATCAATCGATAAGGATACTTGTTCGCATTTTTTGATCTCCTTGGCCCATTCACACTTTGGAGCCTTGATAGCCATCTGGTACAGGCTCATTGCCCGGGACCTCCTCCCTCAGCGCTTGTGACTCGCTCGCCCGCCCGCTCTCCCGCCCCTATCGTTTGACAATCGCTTGCTCGGTCGGCAGATTAGCGAATACTAGAGACAGGAAGGAGGCTGTTTGTGGTGAATTCCGCTGCAGTCAATACTTCGGAAGGACTATCTACGGGGCGGTTCCGCTTCAGGACCCCATGTTGAAGAGAAGGAGAGACCGTATTATCCGATCCTCGACTCCTCCTTTCTCGCCCTCTGCTACTCTCAGCCCTGCGTCGTCGACTCGGAGCATCTTCACAACCTCGCTTCAAGCAACCCGCTCACGGTTTCATCTGCCACGTTAAATGGCAGATGGTACCTACAGGTTCCAGCAGCCTGGGGCCGGGCAATTCTTCTTTCAAACGCAACCACAACAGCACTCTCACCAACGACATATCGCACGAAACGGGACGAATTCACCCACTGGAAGACTGAAGTTCAACCACGATACTCCCTCACCTTCCCGATCTCCTCCTCTCAGTCAGGCCGCGGCTCTCAATCCGTTCAACATGTACAGCCAAACTCATCAAGGGCAGCATGTCATGATGAATAGCGGCCAAGCACATCAGCGGTTTGGCATGCAGATTCCCAAATTTCAGTCGCAGAGTCATCACCCGCACCATACGCAGCAACCTCATCACCACACGCACCACAATCAAGCTTCACACAACATCAACCACCAACACAACTTCTCGAGCGGGGCATTGGCTTCCGCGACTCCCCACTTTACCCCGAGCCACATCCAGAATGGGGCTCACACTAATGTTGACGAAGATATTGACGAATCGATGAATGAGCACTGGCAGCAACAACTTCAGTTGGCCGCGGAATCACGGCAGGCCAGCTCGCCCCACTATCATGCCCGATCTGTCGCACAACAAGCCAAGGGCATCCAGATTGCCCCTAGCCAACCGGAGACACAAGAACAAGTCTCTGACGGGCAGAATGGGGTGGTCAAGGCCAAGGCATCTTCACGGCAAGGTTGGCACGCATTGGATTTCGGCGGACAGGGACTGCGCGCGCTGTCCACGTCTCTGTTCAACTACGTTTTCCTGGAGAAATTGTATCTGAATCATAACAAGCTGAAAGCCCTCCCGCCGACCATCGGGCAACTTCGGAAATTAAATCACTTGGACTTGTCAGGCAACGACCTCACCGAGCTTCCAGAGGAGATCGGCATGCTCACGAACCTGAAGAAGCTCTACCTATTCGACAACAATATCCGCACACTTCCTTACGAGATGGGCTACCTTTACAGGCTTGAAACACTTGGTGTTGAGGGCAACCCGCTGAATGATGTCCTGAAGTCTCACATTATGAAAGAGGGTACCAAGGCTTTGATCAAATATCTCAAGGAAGAGATGCCAGGTTAGTAGAATTGCAAATCTTTTCAAGCATTCTTTCGTGCACAAACATACTGATGCTGATGGCAGTTCACCTCCCACCCCCGGACCGGGACTGGATTGTCCTTGACGAAACCGCCAGCTCCTCGAACCATCGTACTGACAAAGTTACTGTCTTGTCATACAACACACTCTGTGATTCCTCCGCGACCCAGTCACACTACGGCTACGCTCCAGCTCGCGTTCTATCATGGGAGTTTAGAAGGGAGCTCATCCTGAACGAGCTCAGGTCTCACGATTCGGATATCATTTGTCTTCAGGAAGTCGACCAAAGAAGCTATAATGAATACTTCCGGGAACAGCTGGCTTACAATGATTACAAGGGTGTTTACTGGCCACGAGGAAGGGCTATGGGGATGCAGGAGGAGGACGCCAAATGTGTGGATGGATGTGCGACCTTCTTTAAGGGCAGCAAGTTCATCCTTCTCGACAAACAGCTGATCAATTTTGGCCAGACAGCTGTGCGGCGCCCAGACGCAAAAGGTCAAGACGACATCTATAACCGACTCTGGCAGAAGGATCATATTGCAGTTGTCGTATTCCTTGAAAACAGGCAGACCGGTTCGCGGTTCATTGTCGTGAATGCCCACCTCTACTGGGACCCAGCGTTCAAGGATGTGAAACTGATTCAGACGGCTATTCTGATGGAAGAACTCACCAAATTGTCGGAGACGTATGCCAAATGGCCCCCGTGCACCGACAAGGCGGCTTTCCGATTCTCCAAAGAGGAGGGGCAATCAGAAACGCCACCTCTGGAGGAACCGGCGCCATCCGTGCAGTATGCCAGTGGCGATCAGATCCCTCTCCTGATGTGCGGAGATTTGAACTCGTCTCCGGGATCCGCAGCATACAACCTGATTGCGCACGGCCGGCTCGACGAGGAGCATCCGGATTTGGAGAAGCGTCTTTACGGCAATCTCAGCAAAGTCGGTATGACGCATCCCTTCAAGCTGAAGTCCGCATATGGAGCTATTGGCGAACTTCCCTTCACGAACTACACGCCAGACTTCAAAGATATCCTTGATTATATCTGGTATTCTTCAAACTCACTTCATGTTTCGGCGTTACTCGGAGAGGTGGACAAGGACTATCTACAGAGGGTGCCCGGATTCCCCAATTATCATTTTCCAAGTGATCATATCGCATTGCTGGCGGAGTTTACAGTTAAAGGGAAAAAGGGTAAGGTTGTGGAGGCGGACTTTGGGCCGCAACGGAATTGAGGGAATGGAGCATGTTGAACGTCATGAGACTGGTGTTTGTGTAGCCGGTTTGTCTTGTTCTTTCGGAAACTTTGGGGTCCTCTCGTGTATCTCTGGTGTTGTTATTTGCTTTGCTCTGTCGTTTTCTACATTTCCTGTGGTTACATTCCTTGCGTTTGCTGTCAACCGAGGGCACTTGCTCAATTGAACTCGCTTGTCATGTTCTTGGAAATTAGTCAATTGCGCGGTATCCCTTTCTACTCCTGGATCTTCTGCGCCTTTGGTGTCTTCTTGAGTGCTTTCACTGTCAACTCAGTCATGCCTAGTCACGATCGGCACCATAGGCAGCGAATGCGGCTTGAGGTAGCAGGAGAACATCGCCCTGTCTTTTCATCTTCTCAATCTAGGCGAATGTGGTTCATCGTTGCCGTGTACGTCTTTGATTTCGCTACTTCATGAATAAATGCCGTGGCCTCTCGGAGCCAGAGGACTGGCTTGCTGCTGTTTGAATTATCAATCGCTGGTGTGATTGTAGCGATAAGTGAAATTCCCCGAATGGGTTGACGATGTTGTACCTCCTACGACCTACAAACAAGTAAGGAATGAAGATAGTATACATTCTAGGCTAGTTTATTGTACAGTGCAGGAGGATGATGGGGATGCAATGCGATATTCTGTCACAAATGGGTATCCTGACATGTTCCTCATCCAGAAACAGGCAAAATAGGCTACTCCTTCGACGAATCTTCTATCCTTCTCCACACGCCGACGAAACCTCCGCCCACGATCCGGGTCCCGACTTTAGGTCGGCAGACCAGCACGCTCTCCTCTTGCCTTGCAGCTTCTTTAGGAGCGGCAGGCGCACTTTCTACGGCAGCATCAGAAGAGTCTTCCTCTGTCTCCGCCGAGTCCGCGGCCTCAGTCCACGAGGACGGGTCGGCACGCGACTTCTTCACGGCAAACCGCACATCCCAGAGCCGACCACTGCTGATGCCGGAGCCGAGCTCCACGACCTTCTCAAGGATGAAGGGGAGCTTTTGCCGCCGGATGAGGTCCACGCAGTCACCGACCTGGGTCACGCTCGGCATGAACACGACGAGGATGCCGTCCCTTTTCAGGATGGGGGCGACGTGGGGGATGCGCAGGTGCGCGGAGGGCATGTCGAGGATAGCGTAGGAGAGGAACGGCTCGACTGTGGGGCCGCTCGAGAGGAGGGATCTCGACGCGCGTGCCTGCTTCTGCTCTGCGATCCAGTTCTCCACGTGGCCGACGTAGAAGTCGACGTTGCCGGCGTAGATTCCGCGGCGGAACCCGCGCACGATCTTCTCGGCGTGGACAGAGAATTTGGGGGACACGTCTACGGTGTGGATGATGGCTCTTCGGTGGGCGCGCCAGGTGTCCCATTGTTGTTGTTGTTGCTGAGTCTGGTGCTGGGCGGATTCGTCTGGTGATTCTTGGGCGGTGGTGCTGGTCGATTTGGGGTCTGCCTTCTCCGCGCCGGTTCCGGGCCGGATCGGTCGGCCCTGCAGGTATTGGATCTGGGATTTCTGTGGTACGGGAGGTGGAACTGAGTTGGCTGCTTGGATCGCGCGCGCAAGGTGTAGAGTTAGGGAGCCATGACCCGTGCCGGACTCGAGGATTTCCAACGGTGGCTGTTCCTGGGATCCTTCTGCTGGGGGAGTGACGTGGATATCGAGGAGGGAGACAATCAAGTTGGCATCAGCGGAATAGATCTACTGGGACGTTCGTGAGTAGGAGCTTAGCCTAGAGAGCAATGGCGATTGATCTCATACTGGTGTGACGAGTCGCGGTGTCATGGAGACATATTCGTCGAGGGTCGGAAGGCTGAGGCGGTAGTCAGGGCCTGCATTGCGACGGTGAATTAGCTATATACTCCTTGTGATCAAGAGCCTCAAATTGACTTGCCCTTATGCGCCTTGACAAGATCTCGTACTCGCTGGCCGATGATGCTATCGTGTTCCAGTATTCCTCGTCGCACATCGGTCTTCTGCCCTCTTCGAAGGGGCTTTGTTAACGATGGAGTTTTGCCATGGACAACGACCCTGTCGCCCTCTAACATGACATTGATCAGCATACACAGACTCAAAAGGCATTGATTATCTGAATGGGCTGTACCTCTAAAATAAGAAAAATTCGTGTCAATTGACCCCAAAAATTTTGGAACGGGCTTAGAGGGAGTCAGCCCCAAGACTCGGCGCAGAGATTGAAAAAGATGAGCCATCCAACACTGCTTGCTGATAGAAGAAGGGATTAAAAAGAATCAGGAAAATGTCGAGAAGAACTGTTGTTCAATTGCGATGGGGGTTTTGGCAATGGCCAGAATCAAAACTTTTTGACGGTTATCGGACTTGTCGCTATCGGCACTTCTCTATCTCTGTCCACTTATCAAAAACAGGGGCGCGTGGGGACTGGGCCTCCGCATTGATCGGCCCAGTAGAACATCGGAAACCCACCCAATTATCGTCCTGAATCCTTTCACCAGTACCTAAACGTACTTGAGTCCTAACGGTGAAGCAAGTAAAGCGAAGAGGTCAAATCAAATCGAGTTTAGTTGCATCTGACCGAAGCGCGGGGCAGTAGATAACTATTGATCCCACCCCGCGGGATGATTCATGGGACACTATCTTTCATTCACTTCTTTGATTCCTGTTCTTAATCCATTGGGCCATTTATCATACTGAATCAACCTAGGATTCTCCAGCCCTGCACTCAGTTACCAGCCGATTCGTGCCTTTCCCCTATCCAGTGGGTCTCCATTAACACCATCTGCATCACTGAGCTAGCATCTCACCATAATTCTGTCTGTATTCAGTCTTTCATCGTACTCAAGGGCTACCTATTGTCACCATGGGTTCCACCGAACTCCCTTATATGAAGACTAATCCCAAAATCATCTTCTTCACTGATTTTGATGGGACCATTACACTGGCAGATAGTAAGCACACCTGGCTGTGAACTATACTATCAGAGGCTAATTGTCCGCTGTTAATCTCAGGCAATGATTTTCTGGTAACTTCTGGCGTGAAACCCGATCTAGCGTCTCAGGCTGATATATTCAGACCGACAATCTCGGATACGGACGAGAAAAACGTCGCCAAGGAAACTACGATGTGCTCCATGGCAGAGCTAGCTTCCGGTATGTGCAAGTGCAGGGCATTGTTCCCAGCGAAGGCGTCCGCTGACGTCTTCGATTGTTTACAGTGATGCCTTCCGCGATATGTTGGACAGCGTCAAGACGCCTTTCGACAAGTGCATCGAGATCCTCCAGGAGAACATGAAACTTGACCCCCACTTTGTCGAGTTCTACTACTGGGCTGAGGAAAACAACGTTCCAATTGTGGTCTTGTCGTCAGGGATGAAGCCCATTATTAGTGCCTTGTTCGAGTCATTGCTGGGACACAAGCCTCGAAGCCATTTACACATTGTTTCTAACGATGTGGAGAGCCGCGACGGCAAGGACATCAACACCGCAGGCGGTTGGAAAATCAAGTACCACGATGACAGGTGAGACTATCGAAAACACTGGTTGTAAATGTTGCTTCTAGAACCTAATTTGCGCCTTCGATAGTCATTTCGGACATGACAAATCCTTGGAGATCAAGCCTTACGCCGCATTGCCGGAAGACAAGCGTCCTACTTTGCTCTATGCTGGAGATGGTGTCTCCGATCTCTCTGCTGCCGCAGAGACTGACCTTCTCTTTGCCAAAAAGGGGCATGGTAAGCCAGAAATCCCCTGGACCTTCGATCTTCGAGTACGCTACTGATCACAATTCAGATCTGGTAACCTACTGCGAGCGGGAGGGAATGCCATTCACCACGTTCGAAAGTTGGGAGACGATCCTAGACACTACAAAAGACATTCTGAGCGGTAAGGTATCATTGAAGAAAGTGGCTGAAGAAGGATTGAAAAAGGTGCATGAGCAAGGCAATTGAGATGATTCCACCGACGCTGTATAGATTCGGGAGACGTTGGATTCCTTCGACTTGTTTCGGATTTTCAATAGACAAGGGGAAATATCCTCCGATAGTATCTATACATATATAGAGGAAGATAAGCTATATAGAAGGTTGATTAGACGAGGATCGCTAGTTACCTAAGATTTCATCGGACAAGTGCTGAGACAACTATGACTCGCCAACTAGAAAGGCTGTATCGAAGCAATCCCAAATAGGCTTAGATCAAGGAGGGCCCGCGGATCAAGGGACTTCGAAGCCGATAATCAAGAGGTAATATTAAACTTTAGTTCACATGTGACCGCCTTCCGGTCTCGACTTTCCTGGTGCTACCCAATACGGGGCTCGGACAATCGACTCTTCCATCCCCAGATTTGGCCCCCCTTGAGATGGACTGACGGTGTGGCCTGCTTTCATCTTATAGCCTCGTGTGCCCCATCATGCTTGAGCATCCAGCTATTTACCATCCGCTCGAAGATCTCCAGGGGCTCCTTTCCTTAACATGACTCGCCGACTTGTATGGATTATCTTCTCGATGAGAATCGATGATTTCATGTTCCCGCTGCTAATTTTCTTGATGACAATAGGTTCGGACGGGCGTGCAGCTCGCTATCATCGCCGCAATTGCATTACTCCTTGTGGTGATTCTAGACAATAAATTCCGTGTGCTACCGGCGTCCATCCATGGCCACCTTCCCACTCATTACGCTGGCTACGTCGTTACCGATGTGACCGTGGTTACATGCTCTTCTCTCAGCATTTTTTCCAGTTGCAAGGTCGACCCGAAGGCATGGACTAGAGTTGAAAAGGACCTCTATCTGCGCTTGGGGTGGACATCCAGTGCTTACGTACAATTTCAACGGAAGAAGGAAGAGGAACTGCTCGCATCTGACAAGGTGGTGATCGACTTGAAAATAAGCCGACTGACACCGCAATCCTCGAATGACCCACATGGAGAGAAAATTGAATGGGAGCAGAGGCCAGGTGGCATCTGGCTGAAGCGGACGGCCAAGCGTCATGCGAGTGACTCGCAGAAAGCGATCACCTCGATCGATGTCTTGTTCGGTGCGGACGCGGTTGATCCGCGCGTGGGCTGGGAGGTGAAAGATACTCCGCTGCTGCTGGATAGCAAGACGGAGGAGTTGGAGGCCCGCGTCAGTATTCGAAGGGGCGACCCGCCAAAGACCAAGAAGCCCACTCCACGCATTAATGAGAATGGGAAATTCAAAATCATGCAGCTAGCAGACCTTCATCTGAGCACTGGGCTTGGAGTGTGTCGAGACCCAGTTCCGGTAGAGCCCGTGCCCGGTCACAAGTGTGAAGCGGATCCTCGGACCTTGGAGTTTGTGGGAAGACTTCTCGACGAGGAGAAACCCGATTTTGTTGTTCTGAGCGGTGACCAAGTCAACGGTGAAACTTCGAGAGATGCTCAGAGCGCGCTCTTCAAGTCTGTCAAGTTACTTGTCGACCGCAAGATACCTTACGCAGCCATATTCGGCAATCACGACGACGAAGGCAACCTTAGTCGAGAACAGCTTATGACCATACTTGAAGATCTCCCTTACTCCTTGTCAACCGCCGGCCCTGAAGATGTGGACGGGGTTGGAAATTATATTGTCGAAGTACTCGGTCGTGGAACGACCGCGCACTCGGCTTTGACTCTGTACCTACTCGACTCTCATTCCTATTCTCCAGACGAACGTCAGTTCCGAGGCTACGATTGGATCAAACCGAGCCAGATTCGGTGGTTCAAAAGCACAGCGCAAAGCCTCAAAACAAAACACCATGAATACAGTCACATGCACATGAACATGGCTTTTATCCATATTCCGCTTCCAGAATACCGCGACTCCTCCAATTACTATAGAGGAAATTGGTCGGAGGCCCCTACCGCTCCAGGGTTCAACTCTGGTTTCAAAGATGCTCTAGAAGAGGAAGGAATTTTGTTCGTGAGCTGCGGGCAGTAAGTACCCTTTTTAATACTGGGAGCGAGCTGTATGCTGTTTGCTAACATGTCTTCAGCGATCACGTTAATGATTACTGCATGCTTAACAAGGATCGGGATCAGAAGCCGTCTCTCTGGATGTGCTATGGAGGCGGTGCTGGCTTTGGAGGCTACGGAGGTTATGGCGGCTATGTCCGTCGGGTTCGTTTCTATGATTTTGACATGAACCCCGGGCGTGTTGTGACCTACAAGCGACTTGAATACGGCGAAGTAGAGGCCAAGATCGACGAGATGATGATCATCGACGGAGGTGCAGTGAAGGGACCTGATGAACATCATTGAGCGTTCTGATCCCTTGCAACATGCGTCCATCTTCCTCTTCTTGACTTGCCGCTTCTGTCAGGGAGTGCTCTTTACGTGTGGCTTCGAAGCAACTTCGCAATGAGGCATATCGACACTCTCATACCTTGATGTCACGGCATAGATACGCTGTCTATGGTTCACATCTTGCTATCTCGGGCGCTTTTTTTCCCTGCAGTCTTTGTACCTTATATATTGAGTTGAGAAGGCAGGTTAGCATGGGTCTGAATTGTCTCATCATTGAGCAGAGGACCGAGGATCTCACTCTGCAGCAGCATTTATCTAGAACATTTTGCGATTGTTGCAGCGCTAGTATGCCTTGCCTCAATACACTCTCCCACATCTTACGAATGAAAAACTTGATCACCACCATTTTTCGAACAATACCCGCTCCTTACCATCTCCCAGCAAACCTCGAAGAGTAGTGGCAACTTCATCTGTCATCCTGGGAGGCGCACATATATAGCAGACCGTCTCCTCAGGCCTAATAACACCATCAGGTCCTTGGAGCGCCTGCCGCAGATCGTCGGGCTGCTGTCTTCGCGCATAAATAGTCAAATCCTGCTGCGGTTCGGACAGAAGTGGTGCGAAGTCATCGTGGAGATTAGTGAGGAAGAGCCGTAAAGAGATCCGCAGACGGCCCGACTCTGACTGGCAGCGAATGATCTCGCGCAGCCGCGAGAGGAAGAGGATCCGGTCCAGGTATGCCTGGGGCTTTTCTCAGGGAGGGACGGGACAGCTGACCGGGGCATCTTGGTGGAGTAGAAGAAGTGAATATCGGAGTGCTGGCGGTGTAGAGATGTTTCGTCGTTGTTGTTCTTCAGATGCGAGAGCATGGAGATCAGAGGGCTGGGCTATGATTAGCTACTAATTCTCTCAACTCAGTCGTGACTTTGTAGGAGTGCATACTTGATACCCACTCCGCCTGCAATGAAGAGCACCTTCTTGGTTTCATCGAGGTTGATTCCCGATGGAGGCCAGACGAAACTGCCTCCGATGCGGATGCTCAGTTCCTGTCCCTGGATCTCGTCCTTGGGTCTCCAGAGCCATGCGCTGGCTGGGTTGGATGGAGCGTGCTGGACAGCTAGTTCCAGGTACGGCGCTCTGCCTCGCGGGTCCATCGGCGGCAGGCCCGTTTCCTCGTCCATGGGAGACTCCACGGGAGGCCCTGGCGAGGGAAGCACCTGAGCATCTGCCGGGGTGGAGGTAATGCTGTAACCCCCCGCGTCAGCGAGGCCAGGTATATGCACGTCTACCCACTGGCCCGGCAGGAACGTGAGTGGTTGTGGTTGATCAGACTGAGGTCGTTAGTTATATATATATATATACAAGTATTGAGTGGCATAGTCGCGAGAGAAGTATACCTCTCCATCAGCTCGCTCTTCCTGCCCCTCCAGGCTCTGCACATGAGGAGGGATGGTTAGCTGTATCAGTCGCACAGTAGGATTGACCTCGTCGATGTGTGAGAGCCGGACGGTATACATGCGGTTCTGTCGGGGCTCTGCCGCCGTGCGCACCAGATGCGGCACAGAGGCCTTCCTAGTTGATGCGTAATCCATCTGGCGTCGGATCGCACCCGGAACAGACTGGTGAGGTGACAGGGGTTGAAGCCGCGCAGTAAAAGGCACGCGCTGAGACTGAGAGACGAGGATGCCTGGTGCGTGTGATGAACGGTGGAGTCGGTGGCACCACAATAGTCGGGGAGTCTGCATTCGGATGTTCGACCTACTGATTTTGACGTCAAGGTATCTATATCTTTTGAATTATCCGCGTAGACTACCTAGGCTTTGACGTCGGAGACTTTGTTAAAACAACATTGTACGATCAGTTTAGATGAGTACACCTCTCTGATGGTGGATGAGTGGTATGACGTTTACCAGCGTGTCATACTGGAATCATCCTCCATCAATTCCATCCATCTTCCTTAGCACTTCCTCAGTCTTCGAGTTAGATCCGTTTGCGAGGAGATATTGTATGAGTAACGAATGCTTGTTTGCATTAGCCACGCCAATTAGTTAGCATGATGAGGATGAATAATAAGGCGAATTAGACTATGCTGCATACACAATCACAGACACCCAGTGATCTTCCTTCCGTTGGCGCTTCGCTCTTCGACAGACCACTAGCTACGGATACTTCGCAGCTAATTGACTTGGTCAACTAGCTCTTAGCACATCCCCTCAGGTCTACTAGACTACTAAGGCCATCCGCTTAGCCATGCAGATTGATCTCCTCGTCACACGGACTAGCGTGTGATGGCGGGCAGCCAATGTGCGTGTTCTGCAGCCTCATTGGCGATAGATCCCGGGCTTCGTGCTTGTGCTGGCGCTTTCAAACCCGCCAGCATTGGCCAGATGCATCAGCAGGAACCTTTTGCATGTCTTGATTTTCGACTTTCCTGGCTTATCGCTGCTACGGTTGGTGCCCCTCTTCAGGTCTGCTATCTGCTTACAGGGGCACCATGGACGACAAGAGTGCGCTGTAGGCCATATTTGACCCCCTAGGTACTCCGTAGTTAGTCTGACGGTGCTTCTTGCTCTGTTCATATCTAAAACCGTGTTTCCGGCTGGTCTACCGAGTCGTTTTCTGTGATTGTTGCTTGTTTGAACTTCTTCCTCTGGTTGAGTGGTTTGGTTCCTTCAATGCGAGTGAACTGAACGCCCAGCCAGCCGGTCTGGCCGCCAGTGGACTGTTATTTCGACTACACATTCGATAAAGACGAGGTCTAGCTCTTTCATACTTGACTTTCCAGAAGATTTCGGTTTCGGTCGCCATGTATTTCCCACGGAATCATCGCTATCACAAAGTACTTTTGTACTTGATGGCTGCCGAGCTGCCGTTTACCATTGTTATCCTTACACTCACGGGAATCGCTTCTCATAATCTATACCGGACGAAGCTGTGGCAGGATGGCGCAGACAACGGCTTCAACAGTTCCCCCGATGAGCAGTTGTATGCGGCTGCCAATTATCGACCTTATAAGGTGCCTACGGTCTGGAGCGAATTGTACGTTTCCTTGTCTCTTGCCTTTCGCTCTGCTTCTTTCTCTTCTCCAGCGTTCCTTGTTCGTCTAATCCTGAAACCGGAGAAGAATGTCGCTGACGCTGGCTGGGGCTGCAGCATCACCGATTACAACCTAGTACTTAGTGTTTTAAGCACATTTTTCTTGATCACCAAAGTCCCCATACACTTCCTTCGACTGTTCTATCCACCATTGTCGGTTATTGTCCACGGGGTCTTGTTGCAGTATACATCGTTTCTGCTCGGTACCAGGCCGGCCCTGATATGTCGGATCCCGCGCACCCGCAGCCCGGTGCGCCGTGGTACATCACGAAGAAGTGCACCGTCGCTGCGAATAAGGACAACATCAATTACTGTCGTCAGTCGAAGGCCCTGTTTGCATTCACAATAGTAGTCATGTGAGTACCATGCCCCTGCGAGTCGACCCTCAAGGCTGTGGTTAACGGAAGAAACAGCGTTCTCTATTTTGTCGAGTTCGTTCTGAGTATCCATTCCTGCGTTCTGACTCCGGAGGAGCGCGCGGAACGATTAGAGAAGGCGGAAGAGAAGAGAACCTGGAAGGAATATGAAGAAGCCGTTCTCAAGTCTCCCGCAATGATTCCGATGAGCCCAGCTTATCCACAGGGCATGCCTGCTATGACACCCCGTAGCCTTGCCTTCAACCGATTAGGAGGAGACGATTCATCCGACCTACCTCTTCGGGAATATCTCGGCGGTTCAGATCCCCGCCACTCGATGCAGCAGGAGTCGTCGGCGGAGACTCTCGCATCAGGGCAATACGCCCAGACTGGGGCAACGGCCCAGTCTCAGCCTCAGATGTATTTCCCTCCGCCTCCCAAGAAGGCCGCCAAAACGTGACGGCGCATTTTGATCGTGTTGAAGTGTGTATAGGATGTGTGCGACCGGTTATTGAGTGTGAATTTTCACCAAATTTGTTTGCTGCTCTATTCCCCTGTGTATGTTCATGCGTTCGATCAAAGTTCTGTTGATTGAGCTGGTTGCGAGTCATCGATGTGCCATTGAGAAGGCGTCGCCCTCATTTCTTAGATGATAAGAATTGCGACTGGTATCGATGCTGTAATCCATAAACCCGAGACTCATACGACTTCCTGTCACATGAAGGGGCAGTAAGGCTGATCTATGTCTCAAAGCCAACGAGATGGAGCTCAGGTTCGCCGCATATGCCAATCGGTGAAAGGAACCAAAGGGTATCCCTTCGCAGAAAGGGAGTATGAAATCTCGATGATACGAGCCGATATAGTCCAGGGGTTGATAATCAATTTGATTCCTGACGTTTCTTCTCTTTCTTGGCCCAGCGTACTATTGAAGATAGCAGTCAGTTTCAGTCGAGTAACGACAGGAGTAGGTTCAGGAAAAGCAACTTACATCCACAGGCATTACACAAGGTCTTTGGTCCGTCCGGTCCCTTTCTCCATTCCGGGGAATCAGAGGTCCCGCAGTCTGTACACAGGTACTCTCCCTTCAATCTTTTCCTTCGATCGATCTCCTGTGCGCTCCGAGCTTGCTGCTCAATCGTCGCTATATCAATATCGCAGTGCACGAGACAGCCTTGGCGCATGCCCGTGCTGAGACCATGAGACCGCTCGCCCTCGCGGTAACGCAGCCCTGTCATCATCTCAATTCCGTCGATGTGGGCCATATCTTGTGCCTGTCGCGTAGTGCTTTCAAGAAGCGACCCTGGTTCTCCATCATCGGTGTTGACCGTATCGGACGACTCGTTCTCCTCACCTGAGCCGGTCGCATCGTAAGATGTGAATGGAGGCAAGTTCTGGCGCAGGGCAGATGATCCCGAGCTTTGCTTGAGGTATGCCTGTCGACCTGCATTTAAGTCTTCCTCCTCTTCTGCTCTGAGTTGTGAGATGCGCTGATTTAGCCGGATGTTCTCGATCTTGTGTTCGAGAAAGGAATCGAGTAGCGCCGAGCTCCTGGTGGGATACGGCCGGCAGACTAGAAAAACGCCGTTGCAGTTATTATTCTCGTCTTTGATATGTGGATGACCGTGCGCTTCTATGACGCAAAAGGTATTATTCGGCTTGTAGAAGCGGAAATGGCACCGGAGCGGACGGGCCGTGGCGATGCACTCTTCGAGTTGACGGGTGAAGACGGACTTGTCGTCATCGTGAATGAAGCGGGATAGGGCGTCACGTTCGATCTGCTTCGACTCGTATCCGGTAATCCATTTGCAGGACGGCGAAGCGTAGAGAACTGTGCCATCGGGACGTAGGAGGAGGAGCATGTCTGTCATTTCGGCGAGGGCACGCTGCACCCAAACCTGTTCTGTAGTCGCATGGAGAGACGGCTGGGGTTCGGCATCTTGGGGATGGCATTCAAATAATTGTTGCTGCTTTCATTGCTAGAAATTGACCTTGGAACTGTTTGCACATCCATTATATCTCCAGTGTCTCCCTCGTGCTGCAATGCATATGTCTCGTTTGATCTCACCGTGTCCGCCTCCAGAGGGGCGATTTCCATGGTCGCGCGGAAACAGGAAGGGCGAAATGATTGTCACTATAAATGATTCAGTACATTGAGCGAGAGTCCTGATGATACAGGTGCCGATAATGTGAAGAGGCTCGTGAAATCTGATCGTTCAAAGACGGAAAAGATATGCACAGAAAAAGGACGAAGGATTTCCATATGGAATGTGAGGACCTGTGAGATCAACGCCGAAAATGACCGCTGTTGACGCTGTATACCGCCGCATTTTAACCCGTAACTCCCTTCGGCCCTGCTCTCGCTGGCATAGAAACTTTTACCATCTGAGTTCTCGAACTCTTTTAGAAAGGAGAGAGTGGTTTATATTTACGTGATGTACATCGGGGATGTCCTCTAAATTTATAGGTATTTGTGGGGTCAGAGGCAAAACATAGATGACTGGCAAGACTCTCGATGGGCGGGATGAAGGAAGTTGCGCTTGGTCGGCTATGATAGATAACTAGGAAGACAGCGAAGATCAAAAACAGCGTAGTTATAGGAGCCATGACTTCTTGAAACTTAGTTTTCTTTGACATTAGTTAACTCTAAGTGGACGACGGCAGGATTACCTGGACGGGGTTTCTGTGGCAGTTTATCGGGACGTCGAGAACAATATATTGTTCATCTTTTCTTCTTTGATCATGATGAAATATTGTCCATTCCAGTAAGACCTTTCCATGCGTAGTAAAAGCCGATCACGATCTCTTAGTAATTCAAATTCCACTTCTTCTGGGCGACAAGGTCGTTCGACCCTGAAAACGAAGAATCTGCGAATGGTTCTTCTGGAGTGGTCTTACGTCCCGATGCAGCTGATCAACGACTCCGAGACGCCTACAAGTGTGGAAGGAGGCGCCTGGACAATAGGTTCTCAAATGGCTCATCAATAAACCCCACGCCTTGATGCAGCTTGAGCACCAACTCCCAGTTTCAGAGGAGTGTCAGACGCTCGAGATTCGTCGATATCCGCTGCACTGGTCGGAGACCGTAATGCTTTGACATTCGACAATGAAATTTTCTGGTCATATCGCGATGACGTCTGACAATCTGTTCAATCACTTGAGAAATAGAGGGGTGTCGTCAAGCAGGTCCGAAACGAGAGCATACACCACAGCAGCAAGATCTGTGTTGATACAGGACCTCTGTCGGGAATCTCGGGAATCACGTTGACCTTTGGCCTCAGGCATGTCAGGGAAAATTAGAGAACCGGCCTTGCGGAGGACTCGACGGTTTGTAGTTGGAAACCATGGTCGTGGTCTGGCCAACACTGGCGTCTAGGGATTCGGCCGTGCAAAGCTGAGAGTTATAGAACTCTCCACTGAGGAGTTTCTTCGTCGACATCAAAAACACGACGTACCACTGCAGAATCGCCGGTAAGTCATAAGCATTTCCGAGCATGCCCACCGCCCTCTAGACGGCTGGCATACCATTAACACGTAGAAAAACAACACAAACGCAACTACAAGTTGCACGGCGGCTGGCACACTGCTTGCAGAGGACCGATTTCATCGAGTCCAACTCGCAGTTGATACTGAAGGTTCAAGTGCCGAGTCGTATTGGTTGGTTCACCATCTGGCGCGGTTCGGTGAACATGACATCCATAAAACCATTGAGCTCAAGCTGTGTGACAAAGGATATCGAAAGCTGGCTTTGAAAAGGGTTGTCATCATGGCGGCAAGGCGAGGGCCCGCAGTTGCTGATGGGTTCCAACGGCAGAATTGCTCGCGGTTCAAACCAGGTAAGCATGGGCCAGAGTTCAGGTTCAGACAGGCGTGCTGCCTCATTCACAGCAATCACGTTGAAGGGAGTGCTGCCCTTCGCCTTGCGCCGACTTGCATTGAGTTATCAAAAAGAAGCGGCGCGTTCCCAGCTGCCCTCATGGTATGGGACACTGAGGAGCCTTTCATCCCCCGATATTGAGTATGCATTGCCTTTGTCTCTGTAATACAGCTGGATCGAAACCCCAGTTCAAAATGCAGTTCCAGACTCCATTCACAGCTCCCTCAACACTGCGCGGGTTCAGGCTACGAGTCTCGACAGCTCTGCTGGATCCACGTACTAATGTTGAATCAGTCAAAAGGATAGACGTCTCTATCAAAGTCCAGTACGTACAATGCTTTCAATCCTAGCAGGATTTTGATCGATAACAGTCATGTTGTCATTCAGTTGCTTTGTTTTGGATGTCAGCCAGGTAAATAGGAGATTGAGGAAAGGAAGTCGGAAGAGACAATATTGTTCTTATGGTTCTTGGCTAGATATATATACCCAAGAGGCCCTAGCAGGAGTGGATTAACAATGCAGTGTGCCAGGTAAGAGTGAACTAACCGTGAGAGAAAAATCACAGCTCCTTACGTTAAAACGTGAATAGACTGCTACTGAGGCCACTCACAGCTGCTCTTCCACCCATCCTGTCACCCATATAATCGCGCACTATTCCGCTCCCAAGCATTATCTAGTAGTGGTCACCGTAGGTGATGTTGTCACCTTAACCTCAGCAAGCAACTCACAACTATGGAGATGCAAAAACGTAGCCTACTCTCTTCTCAACCAGCACATGACGGCGCTCTACAAAATGCTAGTCATCCATAGTCCCAAAGCAAACAAAGCCATTACTGTCAAGCACGCCATTTTGCGGAGAATAATAAAGATAACGCTGCAACATACTAATGTTTCTTTCAAGCCCATAGAGCCATTTGCGCATATCATGTGACTTCGCGCTTCCTTTCCGCGTCTCTACGCGCAGGCAGAAGCGGCGATATTGATAACGAGCTTCGATTAGGCTTCGGGCACCGACAGTGTTGGGGCGGATAGTGGCTTGACATCCTTTGAAGACCTTTAGAGTCTGGTGGGTAGCGCTGTAGTGCTTGATTTCAAAATGTGAGTCTGCACGCTTCGAACAAACATAACGTCGAAAACTGATAAGCTTGGCAGGTGTAAGTGATGCGGAGTTCGATGACGAAGCACAAGACTGATGCTCTGCTCCAACTATAGCGAAGATAGACAAACTTTCAATACTTGGGTGCGTTCATTCCTACAAAAGCATATGCTCACGATTTCGATTTTTATACTGATTTGTGATTCTTTCTCAGTGTTCGTTCCTTCGACAACACCCGCAGCGAGACCATCCAATTTCACACTCCTCTTACATTGATCGTCGGCTATAATGGCTCAGGGAAGACTGTATGCTTCACCAAACGGACAGCTTGTGAGTGTCATTCATGCTAAGTGGGAATACAGACAATCATTGAATGCCTCAAATATGCTACGACCGGCGATCTTCCACCCAACAGTAAGGGCGGTGCTTTCATCCATGACCCCAAGGTAACCTTGGAACTCACCTTTCTGTTACAGAAACGTTGCTAAGTTATTATGCAGCTCTGCGGAGAGAAAGAAGTCCTAGCCCAAGTGAAATTATCCTTCAAGAGTACATCTGGAGCGAAGATGGTTGCTACACGGAGTCTACAACTTACAGTGAAGAAAACCACTAGACAACAAAAAACACTCGAAGGACAGCTTCTCATGGTCAAGGATGGTGAAAGGACAGCAATCTCATCCCGAGTGGCAGAGTTGGACCAAATCCTGCCTCAGTATCTTGGTGTTTCGAGAGCTGTCTTAGATTCCGTCATTTTCTGCCACCAGGATGAGAGTCTCTGGCCCATGAGCGAACCTTCGGTGCTCAAGAAGAGATTTGATGAGATTTTCGAGGCCATGAAATATACGAAAGCCATCGACAATATCAAAGCCCTTCGGAAGAAGCAGAACGAGGAGCTGGCAAAATACAAAATCATGGAACAGCATGCCAAAGAAGACAAAGAAAAGGCCGATCGTGCAGAGAAAAGATCCATCAAGCTACAGGATGAGATCGAGGCGCTCCGCGCTGAAACCCATCAGCTCTCCCAAGAGATGCGCCGTGTTGCGGAACTCGCCGACAAAGCTTGGAAGGAGTCTGAAAGCTATGCTCAGGTTCTAGGGACTCTGGAAGGAAAGCGTATCGAGGCAAAGAGTTTACAATCGACGATTGACAATCTCAAAAGGCACCTCGTTGAGCTTGATGATCCGGATGAGTGGCTGCAATCAAATCTAGAGCAGTTTGAGTCCAGACAACTCCAGTACCAACAACAAGAGGAAGCTCAAAAGGAGAACTACATGGAGATCAAGGACCGGATTGAGCAAGCCCGTCAGAAGTTGGGAGTCAAACAAGCCGAATACGGAAAATACGAAAATGACAAAGCCAACTTCGAGCGCCAGGTAGAAAGAAGACAGAGGATGACAAGGGAGATTGCTCGCAGTCATAACATCCGAGGCTTTGATAATATTCATGATCAATCCGATATTGACGACTTCATGCGAAAGATTCGGAAGCTGTTGAAGGAGCAACAGCAAGCGCTGGAGCGGGTTAAGCGAGAGGCGCAAGGTGAGCTACGCGAAGTACAGTCTACTCTAAATGAGATTGGGCAGCGGAAGTCTGCGTTGCAGGAAAGTAAGAATGCGGCCAAGCGTCAAATTGCTGCAAATGACAAGGAGGCCTCCAATTATCAAGCAAAGCTCAACGAGATTGACGTCGACGAGGGCATCCAAGCTGCGTTTGAAGCAAATATTGAGGACATTTCATCTCGTCTGAACGACGCCAAAGATCGTGCTCGATCGGCTTCACTGGACCAAGAGATTCAGGACGTGAACTCAGAACTCCACACCCTCGAGGATGAAGGCACCCGCCTCAATGCTGAGTTGATTGGGGCCACAAAACGAGCCGGAGATTTCGCCCGGTTAGATCATCTCAAGAAGGAACTCAAAGAACGAGAACGCAGCTTGGAAACTATGAAAGCTGCCCATGGCGAACGTCTTGCAAAGTACATTGGTGCAAACTGGGGCCCAGCCACTTTAGAGCAAGAGTTTCAGCGTGTCCTTGAAGAGGAGACCAGAAACGTCTCTAATGCCGAAAGCCAACGTGACGGCGTCAACAGGGAGCTGGAGCAGGTCGAATTCAAGCTTAAGTCCGCCAAGAAGACTCTGGCTCAGCGACAGAAAGAGCTCAATAGCTGCGCCAAAGAAATTCGCGAAGCCATCCATGAGGAACCCGAAGAGTACCCCGATGCACTCAAACAACGACAAGCACAGCTCGATGTCGCTAGAAGGGACGCCGAGCAAAGCGCCGGACTCGGCGACTACTTTATGCGTTGTCTGGAGACAGCCAAGCAGGTGAAAGCCTGTAGACTCTGCCAACGAGCGTTCAGGGCCGACGCAGAATTCACTGTCTTCCAGAAACGACTAGAGGGCTTGGTGAAAAAAGCACAGATTGGTGTCGAGGAAGAAGATGTTGAAAGATTTGAAGCTGAACTCGACGCGGCCCGTGCAGTAAGTACAGCCTACGATACATGGACTCGCCTCTCCAAAACCGAGATTCCGGATCTAGAGAAAGAAGAAGATCAGTATGTTCATCAGCGGGATGAGCTCCTGGACCAACTGGAGAATCATGACAAGACCGTCAGTGAGAAGGTTGAAAAGAAGCGAGACGTCGAGGCTTTGTCGAAAACTGTCAATACTATCGTGCGATATGAGAGCGAAATCAAGACCATTCGGTCCCAGATACAGGATCTGTCCGCCAATCAGCAGGACAATACTGCTACACGTACCCTGGAAGATATCCAAGAGGAGATTGCCGGTATTGGCGAGAAGACCAGAGCTCTGAAAAAGACCCTGACAAAGCTCACAAATGACAGAGAGCAGGCACGGACTGAGATGAATAACTTGGAGTTGCAGCTCCGAGATGCTAGAAGCAAGCTTGACAATGCGAAGTTCCAACTAGAGAGAAAGTCAGACATGCTTGCTCGCATTGAGGAATATAGGAACCTCAACAACCAGCAACGGGAGGCAATCGCAAAGGCTGACAGAGACATTGAGGAGCTGACACCGGAGCTCCTCAAATACCAAGCTCAATACGACGATATCAGCCAGCGGGTCGAGGCCCGAGAGAGGGAGATGCAGCAAGGAATATCTCAACTGTCTGAAAACATACGCCAATTGGATCTGGCAACGGAGGAGATTGATTCTTACAACGAACGAGGCGGGCCGAGTCAGTTGGAGCGTAGTAGACGCGAGCTTCAAACGATTGAGACTGAAATCAGCCAGCTTGAAGCGGAACAGGCCAATATTACTAAAGAGATCAACAAAATCTCGGCACAGCTCAAAGACAGCGAGAACACAAAACGCCAATACTCCGACAACCTGACATACCGACAAGCAACTCGAACACTGGCGGAGGTGTCTGCAGAAATTGAGGATTTAGAAGCTCAGAACGCAGAGGTGGACCGAAGCCGTTTCAAGGAGGAATCAGAGCGCCGAACCCGCGAACACAACGCGCTTGCTGCCAAGCAAGCCAGCAAGATGGGGGAAATGAAGTCTAAAGATGACCAATTGATGCAGCTTCTGGCGGATTGGAACACGGACTACAAAGACGCCGCTTCCAAGTATAAGGAAGCGCACATCAAGGTGGAGACTACCAAGGCGGCTGTTGATGATTTGGCTCGGTACGGAGGTGCTCTGGACAAAGCCATCATGAAGTACCATTCGTTGAAGATGGAGGAGATCAATGCAATCATAGGAGAGCTCTGGCAAAAGACATACAGAGGCACCGACGTTGACACGATCCTCATCCGCTCCGACAACGAAAATGCAAAAGGGAACCGATCATACAACTACCGCGTCTGCATGGTCAAATCGGGCGCAGAGATGGACATGCGAGGACGCTGCAGTGCAGGACAGAAAGTGCTTGCGAGTATAATTATTCGCTTGGCCCTGGCAGAGTGTTTCGGTGTCAACTGCGGCCTGATCGCACTCGATGAACCGACAACCAACCTCGACCGGGACAACATCCGCTCTCTTGCTGAGTCCCTGCACGACATCATTCGGGCACGTCAGCAGCAGGCAAACTTTCAACTTATTGTGATTACTCACGATGAGGAGTTCCTTCGGCATATGCAATGCGGTGACTTCAGTGATTACTATTACCGGGTCTCCCGCAATGAGAAACAGAAGTCAATCATCGAGAGACAGTCCATTGCAGAGGTGAGTTATGATTATCTGCGTTGCTAGCATGGTCGCTTTATATACTAATGAGCTTTAGGTCATGTAATCTACTGTCGAAACCCGTACGATGCTTGCTTCCGTGCTACATAGCGACTCCGACTTCATGGTAGAGCAGGGAAGATGACCAGCGCATGGACCAGGTGACATGCATTGATAATTGTCTGCTTTCATTGTATATTATTAGCCGAACCAAGTGATCTTGGGTTACATATCGCATTTGTACGGCGTTGGGGAAGGGGAAATTAGTCCTCAGCAATCGAATTTTTATTGATGTCCTTATTTTCAACGTTCTCTTCCAGCTTCGACCAAACATACCGCCAACTTCTACCTAATCCATTTCTAGATCAACATCATCTTCGTCTAGTAATGGTACAAAACGAAAGTCCACGAAAGTCACAGTGCCCCCAGTACTTGCTCCCGAAGACCGCATGCCACCAGGTGCGCCACCATGCCCATTGTTGTCGAACTCAATCATGAACTGAAGACTTAAAACGCCTTGTCTATCCCCTCGAATACTCACTTTATTGGCTACTGCCATAGCGCGAGCTGCCTTTTGTATCATGGAGAAACGATAATTCTGGTTGATGCGAGTGCCCATGGAAGAGGGCGGGCTGACGAGAAATG